TCCTTTATTCCGTTTCTGTTACTTCTTGTACTATAAATACTTTGATGTAAGTATTACTACGTACTTCAGTTTGTAAATTAATGTTGCTAGTCTCTATCTCCCAGCGTCATCTTGACTCCACTCTTCTCTTCTTGTCTTGTCTTGGTCAACTGGAAGCCCTGGTCACCCAAACATCCTTTCTGTGGTGTTCCGCCCCAAGTGCTCTCCGACTTCGATTCTGTTCCAACTCCATCTCCAACTCCGTCCCTCTTGTCGACACAGCACTTAACAGTTGTCAACAGTGTTGGTCTCTGACACCATATATACAGCCACAAAAAGACCTTCCTCCAGCCCAGTTGACTTGTACTGAAAAGGCTGCTTCCAATTCTGCCTTGTGGAAATCTACTGTGGACACAGGATAATGGAAAGTACAAACCCAACCAGATCTATCTTCATCAGGTGCTGAAGAACTGAATTGGATGTCTGTTATCTCAACCTGGAGTTGAGGAAATTTTGATCAACTATCCCAAAGCTGCAGCACAGGAGACAGGTAGAGTGACTGATATATGGTCCTCTCCTGAGCTCAAATCATTGGGAAACCTCATAAATGCTCCAGAAAATGAGCACAGACTGGTGTTTGGTTTGGCAGGAGATGGATTTAATCCATTCTATAACAAGACAGCTAAACAAGTTACCACTTCAACTGGATGGTGGCTTAATGGTGCCAATTCCGTGGTGTAACTTGCATGGTCATCAGCTAGCTGTGCCTCATATACCACAACTCCCGCCAACGAAATGTCCGCCGATAAAGCAGGTATTTTGAAGTCCGCAAAGAAGAGGTTACAGAGACCTGGCTACACCGAGTCGAGACCAACCAGAGAGAACAACTCTCCATTTGCACCTCTAGTCACGGATTGCATTCGCGCGTACAACATCCTCGTCCAATCACGATGGTGTTCTCTGACACTTAAGGATACTATTGTCCGATCCTGAGCTCGTACATTACTATAGGGATTATCAAAAGGAAATGGTACGACAAGAAAGATCCTTTTTAAGAAATAAGTACCAGCTACTGCGCAGAGTGTCCATTACTTGCACTTCCCAAGTTACTGCTGGCGAGAGTGCCTCGAGGCTGGGATCTTGTTGCGATGCATGGTCCTAAGAGTCTCGATGCCAGCGACTGCCGATCGCAGCCGTGGATGATGTTCTTTGAAGCGTCGAGGTGGCATTTCATCTCATCGACCAAAATCAAACCGGAATCCTCCTCGTCGAGCGAGATTTCCAAGCCTTCGTAAACAGGCAAGTAGGTGGGAAACATCCCCTTGCGCTGAGCCATAGAAAGTGAAGAACTAGCGTAGTTCTCGTGCTGCTGCCGATAATGCTCATACCACTCCACGGCTTTCAAGGCGAAGTCAGCTACGAGGCCATAAGTAAAGGTACCGTTGAACACAAAATGCAACGAACGAGGATCGGTAGGCGTTTTGGTGAATCCGAGATGGAGACTGAGACTACGTAACTCTTCGCATCCAAAAGTGTCGCGGGGGATTAAGGAACCGATAGGAAGAACAGGGACTTTGCGCTTGCAGCAATGTTCTACGGCATCCGAGAAGCCAGCGATGAAACAACGTGCATTGCCATTTAGGCGAGCGTTTTCTGTCAAGTGGGGGTCCTCTATGTCCAACAGAATCTGTTGCAAATGCCACGAGTCGAAAAAGTCCGATTCAACAAGCTTGAAGCCCATATCATGAAATGCTTCAAACGTACGACCAACGAGTACGCTTCACAAGTGTCAGCTGACGAGGAGGAAAAGACTGCTTATCCCATACCGGTTTTGCCAAGTATTATATTTTGTTCGCATTAGGCTTTTCCACGAGATTCCGCACCACTGCGTGAGAGTGAAGAGAACAGTGCCTGCCCAGTCTTCAGTCTTCATCATCCAGAGACCGAAATGAAGTGGAGTGATGACTCCGGCAGATGAACTAAGGTTCCGAGCGGAAAACTTCGCATCCTGGAGCAGGCGGCTGTAGATCTGATAGTTGTTGGATTCCGGGTCTCGGATTGCCTGCGACGCGTTGAAAATGAAGCGAAGGCAAAAGCGGGTGCCGTCGACAGCAATCCCTTTGGCGTAGTAAATGGTTGCCATATCTTCGAGTCCCCAAATCGGAGCATTGGAAAGGAAAGCACGTTTCCGTTCCCCATCTCCTGGCCCAGTAGCGTAGAATGCTTTAGCGGGTACGCGCAGAATTTGTGCCACGTCAGGAAGAGCAGCAAAGCAGACGTGCTCGCCGGGCATGCGCAACTTGTGAGCGGTAAAAGCGGACCGCGAAGACGGATCCATCTCGTCGAATTTGACCTGAATTGTGCGAGGTGCGATCCCCATGGTAGTTTTGTGGCAGTTGAATGAAATCACGTGCAGTGTCTTCTCTCTTCACTTCAAGGGACTACTTCAAGACACATGTCGATTCCCGCCGCCGGCAACCAAGCCTCTGCCTCCAATGGTCTCCAGCAGTTTATCGAAAGCCTGACAACTTTTGTCACAAATAATCCCGCCTTATGCCAAGAAATTGTCAACATCGCCAGCGACAGCTTTCGCCCCCAAGATCAATTCCCAGCACAATTGCTCATTCTGGCTACCGCAATAACCGATCCCACGCCACACCCACCCCACCCTCCGCTGGAGCCTCCAATGGTTATCGACGAGGTCGAACAAGACAACTCCTTCAACATATTCATGCAGAAATTAGACCTCAACGCCGTATCTTCAACACCACTTGCATCATCGTCAGGAAGACCGATTGAGAGCTCGCCATCAATCTTCTCCTCTGATTCTGCTGCATTCTCTGCTAGCTTCACACCGTCTCCATCTGTTGATTTGTCAATTTCGTCTACCGCACAAGACGCAACATCGTCACAAAGACCAAGCTTACCATCAATCTCCCTGTTTAACCTTTCATCGCCGCCATCTCGACAAGTTTTGTCAGATGTGTCTACCGCCCAAGAGATCTTCGCCGACGAGCCTGACATAGACTTGAGTATCTCTGACAAGTCTGTTCATGTAGACTTTTCTTCGTGTCCTCAGCCGACCCTCCACGACCTTATGCTGGAGAGCCAGACTCTGCTCCCATCCGTTGGACACCCAATCTCGGTCGGTATTCGGGACGCGCGCGGGAACGAAGTCGCCACAGCGTTGAACGAGGAGACGACCCTGAAAGAGTTGATTCTGGACTATGACATGCCACGATCTATCATTGAACTCAGTCGAATCCACGACGACAAGGCCGAATGCATCTTGTCAAGAGAGTTGACCCAAGAAGAGCTACAAAGGCTCACCTATGGTTTCCAAATCGGCAACGGCCATCAACAAACTTTTGGAGAGCAGGATAATCAGTTCCTCTTCTCTGTTGGGGAAGCCCTTTTCGTGTCCGAGGCAGTCAACATGCTAGACCACGACATGGACCTGGACAACCCCAACCGAGTGTATCCCCATGCCGCAAGAATTGGACATGTGATGAATCCCCGCACAAGGGAAGTCTATATTGTGCGGCCAGATGTAGAACTCGAGCACCAAAAGCACACTGTCGAAATAAAGACAGACAAGACATTAGATCAAGGTTTTCTTCCCAAACTCTTTCACATGACGCAAGCTTCGCTCCAGGACTACTCCCAAAACGAGACAAGGCCACTGCTGTTTCAATTCCAATCTCCCAAGGGTGAAGGCGGCGATAAGATGGGTATCCACACACAACTCATCTATCAAGTCTGGACACAAATGTGCGCCAAAAATGTCCACTTTGCGCAAGCATCAAGCAGGACCTGGACGTTTTTTGCGATCAGGGATCCGCAACACCCGAACAGGATGTACATATCACCGTGTCTGGCCACATTCAACACTCAAACTCGCCCGTTCCCAGCTCCCAGCAATAGTGAAGAGCGCCGGAACGAATCTCAAGCGATTGGTCCAAACGTCGGACTCTATGTGATGCTGCATTTGGGTCGCATTTCTAGAAGCGACACCACAGTCGCGCAATTTCTAGCATCGTACGGCCCGGCAGTAAACCAAGCTCGACCAGTGTCTGTACACTTTCGGCATCGTGCGAATGCTGATGTATCGCCGGTGATTTTGGACTCGATGCCTGGGAAGACGACGGTTGGCCCCATCTTCTACTCAGACCGGCAGTTGCGACAGCAGGACCCAAAGGTGCCCTCACAAACAGGTGATGTTTCTACGGAAACCATTGACGACAACGTGTCTGCTGGTGACATGGAGAAGGTGTCAATACCGCCAAAGTATGTTCCAAACTTGAGCGTTTCACAAGACTGATCAGTAGTGTCAGGAAAGGCAGTGCCCGTATCAAAGGAAAGGGTAAAGCTGTCAGCTTGCCTGGGTATGTAGCCTAGACAATTGTATTGGTGCGATGTATCTCATTCAAGACATCAGGGCCATGAGTTCAAAGCACTCCGAGTACGTTGGAAACTTGCGTGTTTTATTCAACACTAATGATCTTCAGGAAAAGTCAGATTACAAAGGGAAATAAGAAATCCCGCAACGCTTCTGAGTAAGTGACTTGTACATATAACAATTTATCTCCATTCACGCTGTGTTCATCCCTTGCACAGAATCGATGAGAATATCAATGTCGCAGGACCAAGTGCTAAAGTTGCCCAGTGAGTGTCTTTGCCTTCGAAATAGATCTTATGCTAGAGCTTCCTAGACCGGTTGGAGGGCCTGACAATGACTCGGAGTCAGTTCCTAAAATCAAGCGGAACGAAAGGGCAGCATGGAGGTATTGAGAAGTTGTATGATCACAGTGTCCAAGTGAAAAACTGTCGAAATTTGTACCAAAACAGGCATTTGTGAAGAACAAAATGAAACAGTCGACGTTTGAGCTCTGGTACACTACACTACAACATAGGTACAATCACCGGGGACGCACCGAGCTCTGGTGTAGAATGGTCCTAGTTCGGAAGTGATGTGCACGAGCAGTATCACATTGGTTTGGCCACCCCATTGGTTTGGCTACCTATCTCTTCCGTATTTGGACTTGCGCCAAGCTGTCCGGCAAGCAAGCAGATGCCATATAATGATTCTTCGGCCGTGGTCCGTTGTCGACAAATCGGACATCATAGTTGAGCACGAGATGTGCCAACATTGCTTTAAGCTCGACTGCTGCGAAGAACCGCCCCGGACAAGCATGTCTTCCGTGTCCAAAGGGCAGGTAGTCCAAGCTCGTTGTGATGACTTGGTATTTGGAGGTTCCGGGTTCTTCCGTCGCTTGACGCATCTTAGAGAATCGGAAGCCATCGAAGACGCTTGGGTCAGGGTATATTTCTGCGATAACCCGACGTTGGCGGAGTAGGGCAAACGAAAAGTATCCACTCACCAGGATCATGGTGGATGCTCCACATCGGGGAGTGAATGTAGGTCCCATAGGGAAGAGTGGTGCCATTCGAGAAGGTGAAGCCGTCCTTTTTGACCACCTTACGACCCATAGAAACTAGTCGCATGTCAACAAACAAGTGTAGCATCCCAGATAAAATTGACATACGGGTTCCGATCCCATGGAATCGCTGAGATTCGGCCAGGAAGCTGTCCACCTTGTACATTTTGTTGAGCGCAGCGCGTGTCCACCCCTCATTGGTGACGATGCTGCTGATCTCCTGGCGCAACGGTTCGACGTGTTCTGGGTGGGCTGCGATATCATATACCATATGCGTAAACGTCTGAGAAAAGAGTTAACCCGGACCCACAACAGGCACACTGTAGCCCTACATCGGTAGAGGTTCTTATCGCGGCGAAGTTGACGAACAGAACGCGCTGAACCAGCGCAGGCACAGTCCGCTCGTCTCCCCGAGCCTCGTCCATGAGCCAGGTGATGAGGTCATTCTGCACAGAATAAGAAAGAGGATCGTTGAGCTGATGAGTACGTACGGGTCGGTCGGGATACTTTTCACCCAGTTCCTCCGTCTTCCTGAATCGCTCCTCGACAACGGGTGTCAAGTGTTTACTTGCCCGTTTCAGTATGCGGTTCCGAGGTGACAAGAAGGGTGCAATGTATCTGCGAAAACGTGAGTCCGGTTGAAACCGCTGAAATGCATACTGACGGTCGGAGGAAAGCGCTGGCTAGATATTAGTTCACAAGCTGACTCGCGAAAGGAGACTACATACGGGAGAACATTGATGAATTGGCCAGCAATGATAACGTCCATCGCATATTCCACGTTGAGCTTGGTAAAGTCGGGGTCTCTGCCTGCTTTTCATGAGCTCGTTCTCAGGCGTAAAAGACGAATGACAGACATAACGGCAGCCCAACAAAGAGACGATTGCTTGTTCTACAAACGATCTGCATCATTGTGTCGAACGCGGGAATAGTGAGCCATTCTATTCAGATTCACAGTCTGGTTTTCTCAGCAAGATTGGCGCACCTTTCCCTTGAAAAGGAAGCACGTCGTCGAAGGCGGTCACGATCTCGTCGCGGACTTCAGGGAATAGGACGCTGAGATTGCGCGTAACTGATGTTCGAACAACGCCAGCATGGTACGTGTCCTTGACTATTCCCCAGCCACACGTATAGCCCGTTTGCAAAAACTAAGGCTTTGTCAGATAAAACCTTGTCACCATAAGTATGAGCTCACCTCGTTGATAGACTCGTAAAAAGACAGTTCATTCTCCGGCGCGGTAGCGATCTCCTCCATAAGATCGTGTCCAGTGATCATAACGTTCCAGCGGTCGATAGCAGGGATCTTGAACATGCCGCGAGGGTATTTCTTGTACCCTTCTGTGCACAACCTAGTCACCGCTATTGTCAACGCATATAAAACGAATGGCGAACACACTCTTTCGCTCCGAACAAGTACCGGAAGACCTCTCGGAAGGACAGGATGGCATTGGTCGACCCCAAAGCAGGTATTGCGCTGAGCTAGACCAAGTTGAGTGATGTTGAAGCAGAGGTAGAGTGAGAGAGCGAACGAACATCAGGCCCCGAAAAGGCCTTCAAGAGGGCATAAATACCGACAGCGCCAGCAAAACCGTAGACGATGGCCTTTGGGTCGTCCATAACGGAGACGAGTAAACATTATTGCGGGCCAACTGGTTGATTTAAGGAGTGCAAAGGTGGGGGGTGATTGATGTGCTTGGCGTTGCCGTTGTGTATAGAGAGAGTGCCTGATCTTGCAATCGGCCAACAGTGGAAAGCATATTTCAAATCCACCAGCGAACTTTCCATGCGATGCAAACTGTTCATCAAGCCCACAAGGACCTACAACCGACAGCAGTCACCACCAGGAAGCAATCGGCATTATACATAACAGGTAACCGGTAAGCACTAACGAATAATAATAACGACTAATACACGTCCATTGACCTCTTAAACTGCCGTTTCCTGAACATCACTTGTGCCGTCCGGTTGGGTATACAAATCGCCCCAAACCATGTATGCGGCGGCCTTCCAACCTCCTCATGCTCAAGCTTCACATCATAATTCAGGAGAACGTGTGCCAGCATTGCCTTCAGTTCGGTCGCCGCGAAGAAGCGCCCCGGGCAGGCATGTCGACCATGGCCCCACGAAAGGTAGTCCAAGTTAGTCGCAGAGTATTGGTGCTTCAGAGACCCTTCATCATCCGCCAATCGCCATCTATAGAAGCGGAAGGGATCAAATGATTCGGGATTGGCGTAAACAGCTGCATATGGGTTACAACTAAACCAACTCAAGAGGTGTGTTTGCACTCACCAGGATTATGATGGGTCGGGCCAGTCGCTACATTGACGAAACATCCTGCCGGGACAGTAGTACCATCAGAGAATGTGAAACCTTCGGGCTTGACGACTTTCCGTCCCATCGAGGCTATCAAAAGAGGTCAGTTGCATATCGAGAAAAAGTGTTAGCAACATACTAATGCTATTTCCGTTGTAGCGCTGTGATTCACGGAGGAAACTGTCGATCTTGTGCATCTTTCCGACGGACTCTTTTGACCACCCCTCTTTTGCGATGATCATTTCAGCCTCTTCACGCATCTCCTCGACAGACTCGGGGAACGCAGCCAAGTCAAGTAGTGCATGGCTGAACGTCTGTTCATCATTCAGCGCAGTATTGAAGCAGGCAAAAGAGAATCAGACATTGGCCGAGGTGTGGATGGCTCCAAAATTGATGACGAGAATGCGTTGAACGAGGAAAGGGACAGTTCGTTCTTCGCCTTCGGCAACGTCGAGGAGCCAGCTGATCAAGTCGTTCTACCAATATGATCAGAGTCGAAAAGGCAAGACATACTTTGACGCACAGGCCTACCAGGATAGTCGTTTCCATTTTCAAGCTCCATTTCAACGCGTTCCGTTACGAGTTTCGTCAAGTGCTTCTCGGTGCGCCGGATATAGCGTTTCAGGGGAGACAGGAAAGGACCAAGGATTCTTGTGGACGTCAGTTCGTTCATAAAGACGCGATTTCGCTGCACTAACGGACGAAGGAAGCCAGGCATCATGTTGATCATATGTGCAGCCATAACCACACTGATAGTGAACTCGAAATTAATGTTCAAGTATTCCGGATTACGACCTTGGAATAAGTTGAAGTGGGCAGGCTGGGCGGAGGAACGGAACGCACACAATGGGAGTCCAACGAAGAGTCTGTTGCTGGTTCGGCAGATGACTTGCATTACCGTAGCTTGAACGGGGACGGATTTCCACTCTGCAGACTGATTTAGCTAGAGATCGAGCTCGAATCGCCAATAGTCACCATTGCCTTCCAGCTTCAGATGATCTTCAAAGGTGGTTCGAATTTCATCGCGAACCTCGGCGAATCGCGCATCGAGATTCTTCGTCATACCAACACGAGTGACCGAAATATGGTAAGGGTTGCCGAGGATGTTTGGGCCCATGGTCATGTTGGTTTGTAGGATCTCGCGCAATTATAAGCCAGGGAAGTGTGGTAAAAGAAACGAGATACTTCATTGAATGCCTCTCTAATTGAGAGGTCTTCTTCTTTGGACGCTCGCAACTCCTCAACAAGGTCACTCCCGCAGATGATAACGTCCCAGCGATGCATGAGGGGCACACGAAACACACGATATTTCGAGCAACCTTCCTCAATCATCGCCTTTGCGTTGACGAGGTACCTATACGCGCCAACGTAGGACGAGAACGTTCCGGAGGGCCCAATTGCCGGTATCGAATCAAGCTGTGAGGGTGCAGATCAGAGGTAATTAGTGAGTAGGTTGGTGTCGACATACGTTCGGGGCAAATAGCATCTTCTTCAGAATGTAAGCGCCCATGAGCGTCGCCGAGCCATAGGTAGCCAGACGAAGGTAGTCAACGTCCATGGTGGCTGGGGATTCACCATCGTGCCTGGTTATTTATTTTGACGCTTCATATAATGATGCGCAATTTCCAATCTCGAAAGTTTCAATTGCAGATCCTCATCTCATGGCGAAAGATGCGGGGGAGAGCAAGGAGCGTCAACTAGCGTCAACAACTTACCTGATACCATCTCGAACGCGATCGGCTGGCTCGGGTGAACGTAAAAAGGGAAATCCGGAATCAAATCGCAACTCTCCAAACCCGCGCAATGGGCAACCTCGTTGAGTCGTCGTGTACTTCAGTAAGAGCTTAAAATGAAGGTGGCGGTGGCTGTCCACAAGTCAGTGTCACGTTCCTGTTGCCAACTCTGCTGAGAAACATAAAGCCCTGAAAATCCAAAATCTCTTCGGTTTACACGGCAACGAGAGTCAAGACGTTGTAGACTGCATGCGGGCTCAGCTCACATGAACATTCAATGTTCAATATCCAAACGCGCGAGCGGAAGCTTTTCCAGTGACAATCAAACATGGCGTAGCCGAGGCCACGGCAAGGAAATCGTGCTGACTGAGCCGTTTCACACCACACACAACTTGCCATGTCCCCCACAGACGACTGGTCGCCCGACCCAGAAGTCGTCGACTCACTTGACTCGGACCCGCTTGTGTCCATATTTCCTTCTCGCTCGCGTTCAGTCGCAAATAGAACCGAAGCTCCTGCTCTAGATGAAACTGTCCCCCTTCTCGGTCATCCCAATCCGGTCCGCCACAGGAAACCTTTCTATCGGCCGCGACCATTATGGTGAGGAACGATAGAGCCAGAAGAGTTACCCAGGTGAATACATGGATTAGGCTTGTCCCTTTCGCGATGACGGCCGCTCTGGTGGTAGGTTGCTTAGCTAACCGTGTCTGTCTCGCGGGCTAAACTAGTTCAGCGGGGAATGACCCTCGCTTCACGCGTTGAAATCTTTACTCAAGCCGCTTGTTCCCAAATCCACCACCAAAACACGCTCCTTGACCCGTACTATGTCGATCCCTCCTCAAGCTTTTATGGAAATGATACTCGTCTACCTTCAAACCCCCGGTTGTGCACATCAGATCCAAGAGTCACCGCAGGAGCAGGTATTTGCTTATCGCTAAGCTACTACTAGGCATCTTACACGGTCCGCAGCGAAGATCCAGTTGACATATGCAATCACGATGGGTATTTTAAGCGCCCTTACTACTGGCTGGTACTCCTTCCGCTCTATTCTTAACTTCACTCTGATTTGATAGGTGGGGTCAATTTGGCGACCGATATGGGAGAACCAAGGTGCTCGCAATTTCGACTTTTGGATGGCTGCTCAGGTTTGCCGGTTATAAAACTTGTGGGGCTCGACCAGGACTCGACTCACACGTTCATCAGTGATACATCTTTCATCCTCGCGTCTACCCCTGGTTCACCTCTAATTTCTCATGCACATAAACTCGTTCTTCTTGCTCCCGTTTTCGAAGGATTTTTTGGTGGCTGGTCGACGATCCAATCAAGCACTTCTGCGTATATCTCTGATTGCACGTCCAGCGGCAGTCGTGCCTCTGTCTTCTCGCGATTCACCGGTGTCGAGTTCCTTGGATTCAGTGTGTGTACCAACACTGTCAGTTTGTTCTATCTGGAATGACAGCTTACAGTGCGGTCCCATCCTCGGTGCTTGGCTGATTAGACACCCACTGCCTATCTTCCCTATGGACATTGGGAGTCAAAGTGTCACCACGGTTTTTTGGGCAGCTGCCTTTGGTTCTTTGCTGAACTTTTGTTTCGCTGCCTTCCTGTTACCGGAATCAGTGCCGCGAGACAAACGTGAACGTATAACAAGTCCCCAAGTCGTCCAGATCGTGACTGTTCCTACATCCGGTAAAGACGATGGCATTTTTACTGTTCCTTCGTCCGTCAAGCGCTACTTCAGTCCGTTGCGCGCCTTCTTGCCAGTCATGATACCCATTCCTGGTACAACGACGATGCGGAGGGACTGGAGCTTGACACTGCTCATGTTTGCGATGTTCGGGTATATGCTCTCAGCGGTCAGGCTATCCCGTCGGCCTTACTTGGTCTCACATTTATCAGGGTCTTTATCAAATCAAGTACCTTTATGGGTCTCATGTCTACTCCTGGACACCAGAACAATTGTCCTACTACATATCTTTCATGGGTGGAGGTCGTGCCCTCTTCCTCCTCTTTGCTTTTCCCCGTATGCCTCTTCGCATATTGTGCGTGTGTTAAACATTGAGACTTCCCTAGTCATCATTTCGACCTTCAAGCCCAAGTCGGCTCCCAGCCAAACAACCGTGAACGGCGTCAAAATCAAGCCCAAACCCACGCAAGAGCATCTTGCAAGAGAGATCAAATTCGACCTCCGCCTTGCGAGGCTCTCCCTTTGCGTCGACATCTTTGCCAATGCAGCCATCGTCTTGGCGCCTGCACCGTCGAACACGATGCATATTGACACTAGCTCCAATTCTGATTCCCAGTTCCGCAACTCACAGGCGCTTTTTGTTGCTGCGAGCTGGACGGGCTCGTGGGGTGCTGGGATGATCCCCGCTATTCGCAGCCTGGTCATGAGTATCATGCAAAGCCGAGCATTGCTTACTGCAGGTGACGATGTTGAACCTCAGGGAGTCGACACAGGCAAGCTGTTTGGCTCGGTGGCCATTCTGCAGGCCATCGGACAAATGATTCTGGGGGTAAGCTTAGCCTGTATTCTATTACCTAACTGACATGTATTAGCCACTACTGTTTGGCCTGATATACAGCAGCACAGTTGCGACCTTTCCGAAAGCGGTGTTCTGCACTGCGATGGGCATCGTGTTTACCGCCCTTATTGCGACTCTATTAACGCGCAGCCCGCTCTCCCAAGTCAAAGGCAAGGGAAAAGCACCAGAAGCTCCACGTAGACGACGACGGATGCCGGTACCCGTAGAACAAGAAGAAGAGCGCGGCAGGTCGAGAGTGAGCAAGGACCTTCGACGGCAATCGTCTGGCTATGACAGCGTCATCGCAAGCGGATCTGAAGCCGGGCCTTCTTCATTAGGCTCCAACTAAGGCCAGTGGCAGAAGGCCCGTATAGATTTTCTGTATTTTTAGCGACATATATCTTACCGTAGACTATTTGGGCTAATACTTAAATTTCCTGCTGACAAATCGAGACCAATCCTCCGACCTCCTATTATGATTCAGAATGCCTGCAGCAGCATCTCTTCCCTGTTGATTCATGTCTTCTTCTTTGGGTGCCCCTCATGATTCCCCACTCGCAGGAGACCTCGGTTCTTATGCCAGTGGGTCGTCATTGATCTCCTCTAAGAAATCCAACGAAACCCACAGATTCCTATGATGCTTGCGACTTTTTGCTTGCACTGCGTCCTCAAATGAAAGTAGCAAGCAACTTGCCGTTCAAACAATGGGAACCTCGGAAGAAAACCGAGTACACCGACGAAGCAACATTGGCGTTTCTGGAAGCCCTCCAACTCTACCAACAACCATACATAGGAAGCCTTCATATGATCCTTCACAACTTGGGCGGGTTCCAGGACGATGAAGTCCTCCATAAACGTCTTGTGAACATCTTCAGCCCAATGAACAAGTAAGCAATAGGTGAATTTCCATTCTGACAGGAACTAACTTTTTATATCACAGGTTCCTCGTTAATGCCTCTGGAACTGGGAAAACTCGTCTATGCTACGAAGGACTTTGTGCCAACTGGGGTTTTTATTTTACCTTTTCGGTTGATTCGGGGCGGCTTGGGTCACTCGACCTTGAGCAATTGGAGCACCCTTATCATGACGACAACGGCAATGGCCGCACACCACGCGGACTATCTATACTATTCAGAGCGATTCTTTTGGCCCGCCTTCTTCTCTTCGAGCTGTTCCTCCAAACGAAAGACGTCGTAGTTGCAGAAGAACACAAAAAGCATTGGTTAACCCTTCAACTTCAACCTCAACTAATCAAGAACGAAACTGAAGGCTACGATGATCCGTTTGAAGCACTATCCAAGATCTTACGCAGACAGCATCCCGACGATCTTTCGCAAAGCATAGCGACAACTCTACGCTCCATCCGCACGTTTATCGGTGACCAACCATTGTTCCTCGTGCTCGATGAAGCAAGTGATGCGGTCAAAATGCTCCCCCTCATCGATCTTGGCGGGGCATCCGTTCTCCAAATTGCACTCCAAACGTGGATGGACGTGACAGCCAACAGTTGTCCAATCATCTGCGCAGGAATTGCTATTCCGCCTGAACGATTCATCCATGGGCCAGGCAGCGACTTTTTCTGGACTTCCGATACCGGTGGTTTCGATGACCCCAATAGACAAGAGGAATATATGGCTCAGTTCATGCCACCAACCCTGCGTGACTCCCCACAGGGCAAATTTCTGATAGCAAGAGCATGGCGATGGTTACGCGGAAGGTCAAGCATTTTCCTCTGTCATAGAAGTGGCGACTGTCATCTAAAATGCTGCAGACACCGAGTCACAGCTACTTTTATTGAAACGCTCCTCAGACACGGTCTCGACCAACCTCATAGCCTTTTGGATGCATTCGTCTATAAAGCACTTGGTGTTGAACCAGTCGATGCTCTCGAATATATTGCCGCAGAGCCGAAACTTGAAGGGAGGTACAATTTGGACTTCGTTTCTCTAAGATTCCAAAAGCTGCCTGACGGTATGTTATTTAGTTGGTCAGTATTTTGTGGAACTGAATCATAGTTTGAGACGAGTACCAACTTTTCCTCAAAATACTGTTCTGCTACATGGCTACACATAACTCGTCGTTCTTGGCTTCACAGATAGGTCTTATGTATCGCGGGTTTGCTCGTTTCTCAGACCAAGGTTTGTCGAGAATCTCTTGCCTTACCCAGCAAGCCCATATCCTGGACTGCCCCACGAAACTCCAGCAACCTTCATCCACTGTCTCCGTCTCAATGCACCTCAAACTACTGAAGCCCTTTCCCATTGTCTCGTCTTCTATCTCACTGAAGCCCTTGCGATGGACCTCCCGCTAGCACGTATCTTCACCTTTCGCCATCCAACGCCAATATGGGCCCAGCAAACTTCCGAGCTGGTCCGCTTTCATCATCTTGAATCGGGAGAAGTCGTCTGGACGTCGGTGGCTGCCCATGACTTTGAATCCTTCCGACCTCTTGCGCATCATGCCACTTCCGTCGAAGAAACGCTATTGTGGATGGAGCATTGGATCGGAACCGCATTTTGTCTGCCCTGCCTGCCAAATGTCGACCTCATGTTTATCATTCGCCTGGCTGATGGCACCTTTATTTGGGTGGCCCTCAAAGCAATAGCGACTGAAGAAGCAATGCTAATCCCCCAGCTGCGATCAGCATTCTCAGCATTAGAGGTCGTCGACGTTGTGGGGGTATGTGAATTTATTTAGACCTGGATATTTTTTCTTACTTTTTCCTTTGACGCTGGATCCTGAGATGCAATCACGATTCGCCCACGCCTTGGAGTCGCTTCCGAATCCCGGAAGCTGCAAATTCCTGAAGACAATTTCGACGTTCCCTGGTGATTCCACTCTGCTCGAAGATTATGTACCCAAAGAGACCGATGATTTCGCGCTGGTCAATATTTCTGCCTTACGACACAAGTCATACCAAGTCATGCAACTAGATTTCTTTGACGCCATAGTTGCAGGTGTTCTTGCTGGTCATGCGCGCAAGTCGAGATGGGAATCCAAAGAAGGGACGTTGTATACAAGCCATTTAAGGCTCCCATGGAGTGATTGGCCAGAAGCCTGTTGGGATGAGCAGGTCGAAATTGAGTACGATTCGGAGTGTGACTTAGAAGTTGAGAACGATTCGGATTGCGACTCGGAAGTTGAGAACGAAGGATGTTGAAGACACATATATAACACTCTAGTAATTGCGCTCCTATAGACTATTACTAGCCAGCCTCTATGAGAAATTGTAGCGAACCAGCCGCAACGTTATTAATAGACCAATATGACTAAGTAGCATTACGGAATCACACATCAACTTGGCTTTGAACATGTCCCTCAGCAAGAAAAAGGCAAAGTCGCGGGGCTCGACGCCTGTGTCTTCTCTATTCACTGCTCTGTCGCAGCAATCAGAACGAAACAGCCATGAATTTGCCCCCACCACTACCCCTGCTCTCTCCCTGTCATCCTCCATGACCTCCTCTTCTGAAGACACCGTCCTTCACGAGGACGACGACGACGGACTGGCCATTCCTCCCCGCCCACCCAAGTCTGCAGACAACTTCTCCACGGTTCACACCGAATTCGGACATTGCTCAAATTCGGAATACAGATATGTCTCAAAACACGCTGAGAATGCGAGTATTCTACCCCACGTAGACCAGGTCCGTCATTACTCCACGCAACCCGTCAATTTCTCACAGCATTAGGCAGCGCCATACTACATTCTGTTCTCGACTTACTTCAGTTACCTCATCTTGATCGTCCTTGGCCACATACGCGACTTTCTGGGAAAGAGATTCCACCCAGCGTCATACAGGCATCTCATGCCCAGTAATAATGTGCGCCATACTGGCATTTGGTCGCGTTTCTTCACTGAAAACCCCCCCTAGTATGCGCCATTGAATTCAGATTTCGACTCTTTTTACACACGACGACTGAAAACCAGAATGGACGAATGCTTCTCCCAGCCTGTGACCGGAGTCGCTGGACGCACCATTCAGCTTCTGGACAGGTACTCTTCAGACTACAATCATACCCAAATCTTAACTGGCGGCCAAACTCGGGCACTCAACATCTCGAGTTACAACTATCTTGGATTTGCTCAAGCCTCCGGCGGCTGTGCTGACGCAGTGGAGACCGCAATCCGTGAGCATGGCGTGTCTTCTTGTGGCTCGCGACTAGAGGGTGGCTCGACGGATTTGCATGTCATCGCGGAGTCTCTTGTCGCACGTTTTGTTGGGATGGAGGACGCTTTAATTAGCTCCATGGGTTTTGCAACCAACTCGGCATATATTCCAGCCCTGGTGGGAAAGGGCTGCCTGGTCATCTCCGACGAGCTGAATCATGCTTCCATTCGTTTCGGGGTTCGATTGAGTGGTGCTCACGTGCGTATGTTCAAGCACAACAGCATGAAGAGCCTTGAGAAGTTGCTCCGCGAAGTGGTGTCGCAGGGGCAACCGAAAACGCATCGCCCGTGGAGGAAGATTTTGGTTATCGTGGAAGGCTTATATTCCATGGAGGGGACATTGGTCGATCTCCCGCGCTTGATCCAGCTGAAGAAACGCTACAAGGTGGGCCTCTTTACTAGATCGAATGAGGAACCTTGTTGAAATTCTATATTCAGTTCTCCCTTTGGGTGGATGAAGCTCATAGTATTGTTCGTCTTTGTCCAATTCTGTTGTTCGACGACTTACTTGACTTCCAGGGAGCATTAGGACCTCATGGACGTGGCGTGGCAGACTATTTTGGAGTACCTCCGAAATCAATTGACATTCTTATGGGCACGTTCACCAAGTCTTTTGGTGCAGCTGGAGGTTACATCGCTGGAAACAAAGAATTAATCGATAGGCTACGCATCCGTGGTCATGCTGGTCCTTACGCGGAATCAATGACCCCTCCTGTTCTTACACAAGTCGTAGCCAGCATGGCCAGTATCATGGGAATCTCGTCACCTGTCTTGACGAGCTCCAACAGCACATCCTCGACAAACACAGTGCAAGAGGCCGTGGCTTACGACTATCCCTCGCGTGCTCCGGCTTCTGCACTACCAACCTGGCTAAAACTTCCTCCCGCACTCGCCGACGGTAGCGAGGGCGAAACTCGGTTACGAAGGCTGGCCTTCAACTCTCGATACCTCCACCAAGGTCTCATCAAACTCGGTTTCATTACCTACGGCCATCCAGCATCACCCATTGTGCCGCTGTTATTATTCAACCCCGGGAAGATGAACATGTTCCATCGCCTTATGAAGGATCGAAAGACGCCCATTGTCGTTGTGGTTGTGGCATATCCAGCGACCACGCTTGTCACCAGTCGGGTCAGATTCTGTGTAAGCGCCGCCCATACCAAAGAGGACATCGACACCGTGTTGCAGGCTTGTGATGAAGTGGGGGATGTGCTTGATCTAAAGCATGGCATACCGCGCAGGGAGCGGTGGGCTATAGAGAATATTTGTAAGAACGCGGTAGAGCTGGCTAATTCCTAAAAGTATCATATTGTCGAGTAATTAGAGCGACTTATTTGGCCATGAAAAAGATTTTAACTGCAGTCAATGATCATTACGTAAATACTACACGTCGACTTTCCTCCAAACTTTCTTGGTCTCTCCTTCGTCACGGTTTATTATCGACTAGGATGCGTTTGAATCTCATCCTTACCTCGGCTCTTTCACTGGCTGGCCTAGCGCTCTCAACTCAGGGTCCGTTCTGGTGCCCAACTGGTGTTTACTTCTCTAACTAACATGCTTGCAGTGGTCCTCGACCAGAATGCCCAGACTGAAGCGAAAGCTGCTCCTGAGACTGCCATTCCTACGGACCCGGTTCTGGTGACTGCCTCCTTTCCGGAGACCAACGCCTTCGGCCGTGCGTCATACTTGCTGGCCACCTGCGCACTTTCTAACTTCCCGCCTCAGACATCGTCAACGGCGAGAAGAACACAATCAATCTTGCTGTAGAGAACAAGTCGGGCAAGAATGTGACCCTACTCAGTGTCGGCGGTGCCTTCCTCAACGCACAGACCGAGACGCTTGTCAAAAATGTTGGCATAGTTTTTGGTCTCTGTGGCAGTCAACACTGATACTGTAACAGCTCACGGCTATGACCTTCAAGGTCCCGTTGATAGACTCGGTCCGGCTGCAGGTTCCCTACGTTTTTTACAGCGAGTGCGTCAATGTACCATGATTGTTGATTCAAAGCTAACATAGCTTTCTCTAGGTTCAAGGTGTGTGGATAACGGGTTACGACATCTCTTCTTACGCGCCTTTAGCCTGGCGATATCCGTCTTACCATCTGGCTGGACCACACCCTCGGTGTGCGTATTGCCACGTATTTTAGCCTGATGCTAATTCACGAAACCAGAACGAGACCATCCGGGTGGACGCGTTTGACTCGATTGTCACCGTGGTCGAGCCTGACGTCTCTCTCTTTGATTTCAAAATGTACGCTATCCGCCGCGCAATACGGGTCGATGTCTAACTCTCTCAACAGGATTACCACCTATCTTATGACTGCGGCACTTCTCGGTGGCTTGGGCTACGTTGCCTATCTCTCCTTCGGCCCCAAACCTACCCGCAAGAGCAAGAAACGGAGTGTTCCTGAAGTCAGCGCTCCGGTTGGCACCGTCACGGCTACTGGCGCTGGCGGCTACCAAGAGGAATGGATTCCCGAGCATCACAAGCGCAAGCCCAAAACTGCTCGCAGCAAAAGTGGCACGTTGACCAGCGGCGACGAGTTTTCGGAACTGAGCGCTGGTGAGCTGAGCGAGTCTGCAAAGAAGGTCAAGGGCAAGGGCAGGAAGTAAGTAATATAGGACGGAGGTTACTCGCAAAATATCTACGTGTTATTTCACTGGATAATGATCGTGTACACAAAATGTTAGCTTCTCCGGCGCTGCTTCAGTCCTCCCCAAGCAGTCATCACGTAAGCTCTTTCTTCGCATGTGAGAAAGAGGTCGGCACAGTCACGAAGTACAGCCGTTTGCATAATTACTTGATATAGACCAGGAATTTTGGGCAGGCAAGGCTGGCAAGACCATCACAACTAAAGATGATATTGATATGATTGAGGGTCTAGTAAAGAAACTAAGAGGGAGAAAAAGAGTTGCAGAGGAAGAAGCAGGTCAAAGCAAGGCCAAGATTCTACTGTAACGTACTGGTACTTGAGCTGTATTTCCTAATGTTGATCCAACTGTCCAGAGGCATATTGACCCTGCACACAGTCTAAGTAAGCCTTAGCTGTCCTGTGCTGCAGTCAGTACATATGGTGCAAATGGCATCGCGTCGCCGTCACGGCTCAGGAAAAGAACCAGTGAGGCGGTGCGACGGATCAAACTTCTACTTCTGCGACTGACGTCGCCGTGGACCACGGATCGACAAGGCATATATCTCCCTTCGGGTCTGGTACAGTTGAGTCACATCATTTCATTTGTCTGAAGTCACTACGGCGCCATACGGCGCCGTACTGCCGTAGCACGGTGTGGCCAGCCTTGATTTGTCCAACAAAGAGCTGTATGACCCTTGAGCATCAATGACCTGCTTGGGCCGTACGCGTTATCTGTGTCGCGAGTGAGCCGCGAGCGGCGAGATTTCTTGTCACAAATATCAGTCAATCACCTCGCGTGGTTTTAGACCTTGACCTCGCTTTCTCGCAACTTTTCGCGCCCGCCTGGCCGAGCCATACATTATGATAACTAATACCAGTGACGTTATGGCACTAACTTTTTTTTTTTTTTTTGTGGCACGTTAGGTAGTAGTAGACAATCGCTTTCGCTCCCCAGTAGCCTGCCGTAGTTCTCTCGCGAGATTCCGTCAAGCATCCTAGGCCGACATCTGTCGGTCATCCACCACCCGTGAGTTGTGAGGCGGGGACTTGAAACCCCGCCAGCCGGATCAAAACCACTCGAGGAAATGCGCTGTCGCACTGGGCCCTTAGGCATCTGGTGTGGGGCTGCAGTTTCGACAAGTTCAGGGCGTGCAGGAGGGAATTGGCCCTCCCGATCACCACCCGTCATCACCCATCTCAACCGACACCCACTAAAACCCCGACCTCCCTTGACGTTGGCCAGTCATCTGGGAGTGATTCTTCGTCTTTCAGTGTTCCGTTCCAAGTTTTGTGGACTAATGCCTTGGGAATGGCCTTCTTCCCATATTTGCTTTCATTTGACATCTCTCTGTCAATTTGTAGTCTGTTGTTGATTGTCCAACACCATTTGCGCTTTATCTCGTTCTCTGAGGCGGGGTCTTTCTCGTTGATCACTCTCTCATTTCGGAGTTTCCAAATCAGGTGCGCCGACTCCGAAATCACTATGCGGAACAGTCTCGTTGCGCCGATGTCGGCCTTGTCAATCATTCCACACGCCATGATCTGGCCAGTCGTGGGCTGTGGCAATTCATTCTTCGTTTTCATCTTCCACAGCTCGCTAGCGAGTTCCCAGACCTCTTGCTGGCCTGGCGCCTCGCATTGCGTTAAGATATGCTTCATTGTTTCGTCTACGTCCCCACATCTGGGCTCCTTGCACTTTCCTTTCCACTCGTGTTCTGGTATGTGTTCCCAGTGCTTACCAACCTTATACCCATCGTGTATTAACATCCAGAGGAAGAATCTGATGTTTTTGGAGATGTCCTTGTGCCTTATTGACTTCCATATCTTCTTGTCAGACACTTCTTCCGCGCCCTCATCTGTGGCCGCTCCGCGAACTAGCGGTAGATTCCTCAGGGTTCCAGCACGCGCGAGTTTTTCCTGGTATTTAGGTGCGTTCATCTTGAGCGTTCGGATTATTTTCATCGCTGATGACTGGGTTAGTGTGTTCAGTCTAGCGCCGCTCAACCTCAGGTCCTCAACGTCGTTATCTCTAATTTCGTCTGGTTCGCTCTTCATTGCGCCCTCGCTTGCTAGGAGGTCGGCTGCCTCGTTTCCGTCGACCCCGCTGTGTCCTTTCACCCACTGGAACAGGGTTGGCGCCCTGCGCTGTCGCAGCCTCATCAGGGTTAATTTCGCTAGATCGCCGTTGGCTACCATGATGAATCCATTGTCTTCCCACCTCCGTGAGTTGACCGTCATGCCATCGATTGCATATTTTGAGTCGCTCATAATTTTTAGAGGCTGGTCCAGCGGGCACATCTCAGCTGCTTCTTTTATTGCTGCCAACTCGCCAACTTGGTTGGACGGCTTCCATTTTATTGGTATCCGTAGTGCCCGGTTTCTTGGGTCATCTGTGCCGAAGTAGATTCCAGCCCCAGCTCTCGCCTCCGCTGTTCCATTCCCAATGGCGGATCCATCAGTATACACAACTTGAAGGTCTTCGATTCCGGCTTCGTGTATCGGCTGCCTGTTCGGCGCTCTCGTGGACATGTTCCTCGTTCCGCTTTCGAAGATTCGGAACACATCCGACTTTGTTCCTTGCGTTGTTACACCGGCATCGAATACAACAACGCTTTCGTCGTCGAGGTCAATCTCGTCATTCATCTCTTCCCACACCTGGGGTTGGGCCATGCGGGGGTCCCATTTGTCTTCAAGCTCGTTCATCAAGTCCCTCGCTTTGGCGTAGCATTTGTGCGGGTGGGGGCACTTAACTATTGCCCTGGTTATCTGACATGATGCGCATCTGCAGTCTCTTCTCGCGGTGTGTCTCGCGGTTTGCATTTTCTTAGCAAGCTCTTCCGCGTCGCCTACCGTCCGGATTCTATGTCGGTTTTTTAAGCAGTTGACCACCGTCTTAGGTTTGTTGTATACTTTGACATTCCCCTGCGCGTGTTTATGGTACCATATAGGCATCGCCCTCTGTATCTCGTTCGACACAGCTATAGCTTCTATCCTTACTCCGTATTTCTTTCCTACCTGCACCATCTGGTGTAGGTCAGCACCGATTGACCTCTCTGATGATTTTGGCTCCCAGTCTTGTAGGTACGGGTTCGCCAGCACATCCATTCTGTACTTCTGATTTTTGCGCTTAGCTGCAAATATTTCATCGACCAGGTAGCACCATGTCGGTCTCGACGCGTCGATGTTTAGGTAATGCTTCAACCACATTATCGATATGGCTTCGTTTCGGGCGTATATGTCTAGGAGCTTCCTGCCTCCGACTTCGAATGGGGCGTACACAGTTTCCTGGTTGACGGTGACCCGTTCCTTCTCAGCCCATATGTAGTTCCTTACTCTCTTCTCTAGTCTCTTCTCTACATCTCGTGGCATTCCTTGGACAGTCGTGAGATACTGAGACATTCCGCCAACGATCATGGATATTATTAGGCGTCGGCCCTCCATTGTCGGGTTGCTTTTCTCCCAGAGAGCAAGGGATGTGTCGATCTTCTCAAGTGTCCTCGACCATATTGTGGCCTGTGCGACTCCGTTACCTACCCAGGCACCAAGGGTGCGTATTGGTTCTCCTTGTGCCGCAATTTTAATGTGGTCTGGGATTCTAGTTCCGTCCTCTCCGTTTATTGCGCGGTTCGCTATTACCTTGTCTCGGTATTCCCGTTTACCGATTGGGATCATTTCGGTTTTAGTGACATTGAATTTTGCGCCCGCCGCGATGCACCATTCATCAAGGACTGTCATTAGATCCTCCCAGTCGTCAGTCTTGTCCAAGTATACCATTGTGTCGTCTGCAAAGAGGGACGTTATAATTTTATCTATTTTCCCCTTTGTCTTGAATCCTTTGAGGTTGGATTTCCTTAGTGCTTCTGCAAGGGGTTCTATTGCTAGGTCAAAAAGCAGACAGGAGAGTGGGTCGCCTTGTCTGACGCCCCGTGTCACTTTGAAGGGTTTCTCGCTACGTTCACCGTTCACCATTACATATGTTTGTGCGTCGCGGTACAGCGCTTTGACAGTACTGATAAAGTTGTTTGGTATATTGAATGCTTCTAGTGTTCTCCACAAGTAGTCGTGTTCGACTTTGTCATACGCTTTTTCCTGGTCCAGTGCTACGATAACCCCATCGTGTTCGGTGGCTTCGGCCCATTCGATTATTCGTTTCGTGAGCCACACTTGGTCTCGGATCTGTCTCCCCGGGACAAAGCCGGCTTGGTCTGGGTGTATTAGGGCAGGCGCGACTTGTGCAAGTTTGATGGCCAGGGCTTTTGTCATCACCTTATAATCGGTGTTTAGGAGAGATATTGGCCTATAGTTGGCAATATCTGCCTTGTCGTTCTTCTTATACAGCGGGCACATCCAGCTCTCGGAGAACCCAGAGTTACTGACCATTCCATTCTTCTCGATGTCGTTGAACACAGTTTGCATGGCCCCGACTACGTCAAACGTCGGTTTGTTGTTCTTGGTTAATGTCTTGTGACGTTCATTCAAAGATTTCCATACCTCGTAGGGTATGCCGTCTAGCCCTGGTGCCTTGTAGTTGGCGGATACCTTGAGGGCATATTCAACCTCTTCGCGTGTCATCGGTCCCTCGAGGGTCGGTGCCAGCCCCTCCTCGAGCCTTCTGTCCAGTCTTGAAAGTACATTTTCAATCGCCGCCTCCCGGACGTCAGCAGGAGTATCTGCTCGGTCCGCTTGGAGCTTGTTGTGGTAGTTCCTGGCCATCGTTGCCATCTTGCTGGAGTTGGTCTCGTACCTCGGGTTCTCGTGGTCGCCTCCATTCGTTCGTAGCCTGCGAATGAGGTCTCTCGGTTTCGCTGGCTTGTTCAGCTTTGACCAGTATCGCCCAATGATTTCTCCTTCTAGTCTGTGGCGTACTTTGACGGTCAGTCTCGAGCTCTTATACCTCTTCTTCTGGAGTTCTACCAATTTTGCAGTGATGACGGCTCCCGCTAACATTCTCTCTTCTTCATCCATGGACGAGTCATTGATGATGTTGTCCAACCTGGCCTCCATGTCCATGATCTCCTTCGTCATCCTAGGTATGAGGATTTTTGCTCTCTCTCGCGCTTTGGCGCCGACTTCCTTTTTCAGGTCACGCCAAAGTGTCTGGGCGTTCTCGTTTGGGTTCCATTCGTCTTCGCTGAGTTGTTCTACTTTAGCAAGGAAATATCTGCCCCGTTCTGTAATGAAGTTGAGGAGGATGCGATCCTTGAGTATGTGTGCTGGCCACACCCATCTCCCATGTCCAATGGTGGGTGCTTCCGCTGTTGTCAGTTTCACAGATACCATGTCATGGTCTGTTTCTATTCCTACTGACTCAATTTTCCACTCATAGGTATCTTCAAGCATTTCTCTCTGGACGTATATTCGGTCCAGTCTTGACCTTGCACCGCCTTGCGCGGCGGTCTGCGAGTACGTGTACGCTATTGTTGTCGGGAAGGTGTCCCGCCACCCATCTATTAGTCCTAGGTATGACTTCAGGTCGTCTAGGGCGTCGACAGCATCCGGTTCATCTTCGCGTGCGGGCAGTCTATCAACAGCTGATTCGACAATGTTCATGTCGCCTCCCATTATGTCTGGTCTGCGGATCTCTGGGTGGTCTTCGTAGAATCTCTTGATTGTCTTCCAGAACTCCTCGTTCTCTCGGTCGTCTGTTGGCGCATACACGCCCAGGACGGAGAGGGGTGTGCCATCACCATTCTTCAATTCTAGGATGAGGGCTCTCCCCGGTACTATTTCCCGCCTGGTAATGTTCTCAGTTTCTACAAGAAATTTATTCAAAACTATTGCCACGCCTTGGGCATTTGCTGTTTCAGTGTTCTTCGAAAACTCGAGTCTAATTGACCGACCAAACAGAGCGTCGACTCTTTCTTTCCTTTCGTCATCCATGTGGGCTTCGCCCACAATCAGTACCCCGGTTTTCTTCTCGCGCATTAGCTGCCATATCTCGGGCCACTTGTTCTTCTCATTTCTGACGTTTGCGTGTCCAAACCCTTTCACATTCAGGGCTGACACCTTGATCGCCGACTTAACGTTTTTCTTCCCGGTCCCGCCTGCTTGCGCCGGTCCGGGGTAGAATCTGTCGTTTGCATTATTTTCTATTCGGCCCTGTCTATAACAGTGGTTCTGCTCGTCTTGCTCTCCAGACGGCGTCCCGTTTCCATTTCGGGTTCCGTTTATCACGGTTTCCCCATGATCTGGGGTTGGGCTCCTTCGTTCGGGCCCTTGCACGTACTGTGCATTGTCAACGTTTGCATTAACGTTGCCCGGAGTCTGTATCGCATCCGGGTTGGCGTCCGGCCAGCCATCATCGAAATCCTGTGGGGTTATGTTCCAAGGGAGCAGACCCGTCCAGAATTCCTCCAGCTGGTCATCTGCCCATTCCCCTCCATCGGATTCGCTGTCACTGGAGCTCTGCTGATCGGTGGCGGAACCAGCGTCTCCTCGAGCGTCACCGTCGTTGTCCCAAGCCGTAAGTTCGTCTCCATATGAATCTGCAAAGCAGTTAATAAAGGTGGTTTGAGGTTGAGTAGCAAGATAAGGCCCGCCGGGATTCCCGCTAAGAATGCCGACGGATGTGCCTACCGTTTGGGGTTGGCGGGGTATCGCTTCGTGTCTGCCCGAGCAGACAAAAGCCCTACCCTGCCATGCCAGGACTGCTGGCCGGCGGACCCCGACCTAAAAAGGTCCCGCCGTTGCGGCGCCACTGACCTGGATTCGGCAGAGTTTGAGGCTCTGCTCGTCACCAGGTCAATGACGCGTAACCCTCCCCCGTTTCCTGTCCCGTCTCTACAGATGGTCAGTAAATGTGGCGGGTTCGGGCCGCGTGTGCCTATAGCACACGACTTCTTCCAGTCTCGGGCTTGGGGTTGTTCAAAAGCAGTACTATCGCGTCGAAGAACATGTGTGTGTAGGTAGCATTAGATAGCTCGGGTCAGGTATCGGAACGGGCCTCCACTAGTAGGACGTAGTTAGCTGTCGCGTCATCTATGCCTTTCAAGAGCCTCTCCGCGCTCCATGCTCTGCGCCGGAGTACTCCAACGGCTCCTTGGTTCGATGTCTCTTCGTTGGATATTTGTGGAGGTGGTTGGCCCTCGTTCTGAATTTTGGGGGGTCGGAATCGTGGTTCCATATTCGCAAATGCTTGCGCCGTTGACGACGGCACGTATGGGGTCGGGATCTCCGGTGTGGGGGCGCTACTGGGTGGTCGCGGGTTCGGTTCGTCATTCATCCCTGCTTCCGAGGAATTCTTGTCGGTTTTCTTCGACATCCGCGAGTTTCCTCTGGGGTAGAGTCACTCATCCCTTAGTTCCGGCATTTTCGGGAGGCAGCAGGTAGTGCGCTGAGGGCAATTCGATGGGGGGCTGTCACAGCTAGCCAGCTTGCAGGCCACGTGATAGGAAGTTTTTTTTGGGTGTGAGGGACGGTCCAGCGTCGGAGCCCGGTGTCGGGATGCTTGGCCATCGGTGCTCCGCAAGTGTTGGTCAGGTTTCCACTGGGTCCATTATGACACGTTGGGGGGGAGCTGGCTCTTCTGGGCCGTAGAATTCAGGAAGGGTTCTGTGGTTTGTCGACCTCCCGCGGTGGTCAACGGGGTGGCTCCTCGGGCAGAGCTCGTTGTTCTTAAGGTACACGGTGAAGGTTTACGGGGAGAGGAATCGTATTTTGTCGTGTCGCGCGTCAGGATTGTACGGCAGGAAGGGTAAGATGCCCAATGAATGTGCCCTTCGTTCGGCAAGTTTGGTTTTCGACCCTACAGGCCGCCCCGTCTGTGCAGGGTCCACGACGTGTGGCCAGAGCGCGTATATGCCTCCACACCGCGCACTGCGGTGGGGGGTTCTGTGCGGACTCGTCCCATCACCAAAGAGATGGTGGTGGTTCGTGATCAACACAGCCCCCTATGGCACTAACTTCAAGTGCAGGTGTTCGCAGTTTCCCCCAATTGCGGGCTTTTGAATTGGCGCAGCAAACTATGATCAACAGATATAAAAACCTCAGTCTCCCCATCTTCAACTGTGGGGATCGACCGTTTTTCTTGTTATCTCCCTTCGTGTTATGGCTGCATGGGTCGTCTTTTCGCTATGCGCCGCTTCCCTCTCGCTTGCATTGACGCAAACTTCCTTTCAAGTCCCTCTTCAACCTGAGCAAATCCATCAGAACGACTCCGATTACCACCAGTTCAAGTGGCCCATCCGCAAAGTCGCTGTCATTGGCGCTGGTGTAAGGTTCGGGTTGCAATTTCGTGTCCTGAACTTCGCTTCCAACTGCCTTATAGCGGGCTTGTTGCATACCGCGAACTGGTCGATGCAGGCCTGGACGTCAAAATCTTCGAAAGGGACGAAGTGCCAGGCGGTGTATGGCATTATTCAGATGAAACCCAGGGTCAGCCGCCAATCCCGAATGTGGACCCTCAGGTGGCCGACTTTGTGCCCTCGCTGCCACCTCCAAACGCACCCCTGCCGCATGTGGTCTATCACAATGACCGCAATGACAACACAGGGGTGACTAGCGCCGAACGCTGGAGGGATCATCGCGCCCCACATGGAGTCTGGGCGTCACTGACTTCAAATGTACCTGCTGTGAGCCATCATTGACTTTGGTTTTCCGACACTAACTGATCCTCTAGCCTCTGATGAAGGTAGATTTGTGATGACTCGTATAAAGTTAATGTCATACGCCTTTTACAGTTCAACAGGCACGAGTGGCCCCCAGGGAGTCCTTGGAGTCAGACTCTTCTCCATCGCACTCGTTCTCATCACTAAGCAATCAACAGATATTCCTCACCTTAACCTCCAGCGTTACCTCCGCTCTGTCTATTCCTTCTATGGGATCAATGCCAACGATCGCAGTCCCCACATCTCGTACAATACTCGCGTCGAATTAGTCGAAAAGCGACATGATTCTTTCGGGAATGAACATGGATGGAAGTTGACCGTTAAGAAATTGGAGCGGTTGAGTCCTTCATCGTGCAAAGAAAAATGGTGGACCGAGGTTGGCTCTTTTACTATTCGTGTCTTGTACTAACTGGCGTAGGATTTCGATGCCGTGGTGGTTGCAACGGGCACTTTCAACGGACCAAATATGCCGAACATTCCGGGACTCATTGAATGGCACCGCAGATACCCGGAGTCCATTCTCCACTCCCGCGAATATAGGCGCCCTGAAATGTTTGCCAACCACTCCGTTCTGATTGTTGGAGCCGGGGTACTTACTTATAGCCTTCCATTTTATTCTCGCTCATCTGGTGTTGTAGCCCAGTGCCACAGGCATTGCTGCAGATCTCAACCCGCTCGTGAAGCGTAACGTGCTTTCCTGGAGGCAAAGTGAACGTACGCCGACTTGAATGTTTCCGAAGGAATATATCTAACGCTTCTTCAGGATCAAATACGCCTGTTGTCTTCCTGAATCTACTGCCTCAAGGCATTGAAGTTGTGGTCGGCATCCACCAATTCCATCCAGAGAATCGCACGATTGAACTGTCGGATGGGACAGTAGGCACCATGACAATTTTCTGCGCAGCTTGAATCAATCCCCCGTAGTTTCTTTCTGACATCGACGAAATTATATTATCCACTGGATACCGATACACATTCCCCTTTCTACCTCAATATCACAACTCTTCCATCAAAGGCAACGAAGAAGGGCCGCAAGACCAACCACAGCCGATAGTGACTGACGGCACCCACTTCCGTTCGCTCTGGCGGGACCTATTCTACATCGATGAGCCCACGCTGGCGTTCATCAACCAGGCATGCTATTCTAGGCCATCCTCATTCCTCGCTGACAGAGAGCGAACCAGAACCTCAACGTTGTGACTTTTACCTGGGGCGAAAATTTCGCGATTGCCTTAGCCAAGGTATGGACAGGCACTGCGCGGCTTCCAAGTCGCCAGACGATGTGGAAAGAATATCGGGACTGGGTTGCATCGCAGGGCGGCTATGGCAAGTGGCTGCTGTTCATAAAATGGCAGAAACAAGAAGGTGTGTAACGAAAGTTGACCTTGACTTCGACTCTCAAATGTGATCACATAGAAATCGTGTCGTTCTTTTCGAGCTGGTTGAACACCGCGGCCTACCAATTCGGCGGCAAACAGGCAAGCCGTCCACTACATCTTTCGAATAATATGCTGATTGGCCACAGGCTACTCCCTCGGATCCAAAGTGAGTTCAAGCTGACCATTCTTTTCCTTTCAGAAGTTGATCACGTTCTTGTGTAGCGAGAGGGAGCTCCTGAATGTCTGGGGTCGCGCATTCTTTGCAAATAGCAATCCAGTCAAGTTACCATCAACCGAGCGCAAACAACAGTTCGGTGGGCACCAGCAACAAGTAGATAGTTTAGAATACGCGCACAGTTTACTGGCGTACTTTACCAGTGGATACTAGGGGGAGACGAGACGAGACGGTACATAAAGATGAAGAAGGGCGTTGATAATACACAGACCGACTTTCTTCGTCCCACAGTGTTGCTAGCATAAAAACCAAGCCGTGGTCTCCGTAAACGCGAAAAAAAGAGTGTTCAATTCTAGATATATAATGAGCAAACCCCAAAGGCCAGATGGAAAGCAAAGCTTGCCTCTGGAATCCTCACTATTGTGATTTCCTGAAAGGGCATGATTAGCACTGTGTAAGGCTAGAGAAGGACGCCGACCTGTTGTTTGAAATACCGGCGATTCTCTTCGTCAATGAGGACGAGGTTGAGGTAATACCGCGTGCTGAACTTCTTATTAATATCGCGGAAAGTCGGTGTCAGGTCGAAGCCGCCGAGGAAAAGTCGAATGGGAATAGTCTCGCCGCGGACTGGAGCGCCGTCCATTATCTCAAACTTGGTTATGGTTTCGCTTTCGTTATATTGGTTGGGTGGAGAGCCTGTGGTTTCCCGCCGGATGATAGAGAGCTCCATGTGCTTGATCTTGATTCGGACAAGCAAGAAATAAATCTTGCCGACAATGACGTCCTTGAGGTGGTATCTATATGGTGTATAGGAAAAGAGGCAAAATGAAGCAAGGCTATTGACTCACTTGGATTTGTTGTACTCAAACTCGATATGCAAGCAGTCCTCGATACCGACCTCCATCTTTATGGTGGCGTTCGTGTCTGCTGGGGGACGGAAGGAGTGCACCCAAATGTCGCGCTCTTTGGTGACGTCCGCCATCCGCCGTGATATGCCGACTCGAATAAAGTATCTGTAAACGGAGTTGACGACGCAGAGCCATCTACTGAGAAACCGTACCTTAGCTTGACGTTGATGCCCTGGTAGCTCTCGTATTGCTTCTCCACATTCTTGAAATTGAATTCGAATGTCTGTGCTTGCCGCATCTCACCCGGGGCGGCGAGTTCCTGTGAAAGTGACAAGAATTCATGGTGGTGGCCCCGGTCATAGAATAATTCTGGAAATGTGAGATTGGTACATGCCTCGACGATGATGAACACACCTATACTCCCCACAAACTCGACTTTGATTCCGTCATGCTGCAGTTTCTTCCCGTCTCGGACTCGTATCGCAACCTGGGTTGGCACGTTTAACACAGAGAGCAGTCCAGGAAACCCTCAGCACGAACTTGGCCGCTGACAGAGTCTCCGTCGAAATACACAGGACAAGAGACCGTCTTCTCCTTGTCGGTTTTGGCCTCGACCTGTTTGCGCTGCTCCTCTGAGTCAAGTTTGATGTCGACGTCGATGGGGGACGCAAAGAAGTAAGCAGCCATGATTCAGTGCCACTCAAGACGGTGGAGAAGTAAAGTGGTTGCGCAGTGCAAGTCTGTAATAATCGCTCACGTGTCGAGGCACTTTCCGCTTTACCGTCTAACTTGCGTCTAACATTCGAGTTTGGGCTTTGGAAGCTTTTGCAACGCGCGCAACAACAACGACTAAAAACGCGGCTAGAAAATACCCTGACAGTCCCTAGCACCACTCCATCTATAGTTCCCTTCAACCATGTAATTTGGCGTTCTGATGGGTTTTGGAATGGCCCTACTATGCACCAGTGCATATGTTTTCAACGCAAGGGCTAGATGACCTGAGAGACGCCGGGTTGAAGGCAAGACGTAGAGAAAGAACAAAAAAACCCACCTTCGGTGCCAAACTAGCAATCTTTCCCCACCCTTTCATCCGCAGGTCTGCACTGACAACACCAGCAATACGGGTCCCGAGCATCTCGCGCTTGTTGTTGAGCAAGACGGCAGCGTTGTCGTCGAAGCGGATGAGTCGGCCGTCAGGTCTTCGCACGGCTTTCCGTGTCCTGACAATAACTGCCCTCCGAACGTCCCCTCTTCGCACTTTGACCGCTGTGACAGAGGCTGCAGCTGCAGCAGACACAGGCCGTGCCCGTTGAACAACAACCACAATCTCATCCCCCACCGAACCCCACCCGTTATTGACTTTTTGCTTCAATACGTTGACGCACTCGGCGACCAGGGCGCCGGAATTGTCTATTATCTATTGGCGGGTGAGTAATGTCAATTTGAACGTTGTGGCAGACCGACATTAAGTGTGCCCTTCAGCCCAATCATCGCGTCGAAAGCAAAATATGAGTGTGGTCACGTGATGGAACTTGAGGAAAAGGTGTATGAACGCCTGCGCAGCTCATCGTCGAACTTGTACATGATCTCAACGGTAGGCGTATATTCCAGAAAACCAAGATGACAAAGATTCGATTCACACAAAAGAAGAAAGTTGATTAATCACCAGTCCCCTCCACCATCGTCTCCCCCACCATCGTCTCCGCCCCATCCTCCTCCTATACGACGAATTTAAAACCACTCAAAGCAAAAAATTTCACGACATACCGTCATCGCCTCCGCCATCATCGCCTCCGTCAAACGCTGAAGCAAGCAAAGCACCACCAAGAAGTCCACCGGCACCGAGAGCAAGAGCGCCGCCCATTCCCATACCACTCTTCTTAGGCTGTTCTTGGACATACACCGTCTGAACGGGAGGCGGCTGTTGCTGATGATTCCCGAACATCCCACCGAAAAGACCTGATTTGGCAATCTCAGTCAAATCAGTGGAGATCGGGTAACGATAACACACCTTTGCCACCTTGGTCTTGAGGGGGAGGTCCTTGGTAGCCCTGATTGTAAGGTTGATATTGACCGGGAGGGGGAGATTGCTGGTAGCCTCCGTTGTAACCTCCGTTGTAGCCACCGCCTTGTTGTGGCGGGTAAGGACTCTGCCCGCCATATTGTCCAGGATAAGGACTACTGCTCTGAGAAGGGTAATATCCACTGTTGTTGTTGTTGTTGGGAGGAGGAGGCCCCGATGGCGCTGCATAGCCTTGAGGTTGTGGGGGGCGGCGGTGGGGCACCAAGGGGATGAGTCCAGGTTGTTATAGGCGGAGAAGCAAGCGTATTGACGTAGAACCTTGGGAGAGGAGTTCAGTGGAGTACAATCCAACCAGATTAAGGAAAAGCTAACCAGGCATTATAACTGTGATATTTGTAAGGAATCATTAAGGGGCATGAGTTAATGGACAGACTTGGGGTCGAACTGGGTAATCCATCCACTCGGTAAAGGACGGGCGTCTGGGTTGGTCCGTGGAGGGCCGCCTCCGTAAGGAGGTGGTTGGGACATGGAGATTGAGGAGAAGGACAAAGGTCTTAATAAGCTGAACAGCTTTGCGCGTGACAAGTCCACAACATTCGGACTGGCCGAGAAACAAGTGGCAATAACTGCGCATGATTCAGTCGTCGTAGATGCGGTGCCTGTTATGCTCGGAGAGATTCAACTCATTCATAGTTTGAGTCGGAGACTTCTATGAGTTCTTGACCATCGGGCGAGGAGATGGGTGAACAAACGGCAAATGCGCGCAGAGCACTTCCAAGGCTCTTTGGATCGAATTATTGAGTCTTTTTCGAGAGCGCCTCTGCATCGTGGTTGTTGAAACAATTGAAACTCAAGTTCACGTCCCGTCACACATGACAGTCACACTCTGCTGAACTTGTCGCGCGCCATGACTGAGGACTTGCACGACCCGACTTGCACCCAATCGCAATGTCTTAAAAGCCAAACAGTCGACCGCGGATAGATGCGCTGGCACATGAACAATGCCGAGTGCTTGGCTTCTATAGACTATCGGTACCAACTGCCTCAACTCCAACTCGAAGTTGAAGCTCAACACCACGTTTACACTCCATCTTCTAACCTGAACGCCAGAACAGCGAGAACGTGTCTGATGGTATCCCGTGTTGTTATTCTCCGACAAACCCCAGCCGATTAGGGACCGCAATGGACGTTGAGTTCTCCATCGAGGCACGTCATGACTCGAGTCCTACCCAAGCCCGGCGACGATTCTAAATAGCCCAAACTGTCAAAACGACGCTACTCTGGGAATTTACGGCCAAAACTCCCCACTTCAAGGGCTATTTTTAAACCTAGCCGCCCTTGCCCCGTACCCAGAATGAGGCGCCGCCAACCCGGCCATGCGGATGAAGGCGAGAACCAGTCCAAGGTAAAAAAAATGCTCATGAAAAGAGGCAAAAATACGCTTTCAATGCAAGCACTCGCGATCTCGACGGAGGAATGCCTAAAAATCGGCAATGAGGGATCATCGAAATGTCACCGCTACAGCTCCGGGCATGATTTCTGTCGTTTGTTGAATAACGCCAACATAGTTAGCTCGGCTTAAATACCGGTGGGGCAGCCGCGGCCAATGTAGGTGGCCTTCCTGCCTGTCCGCCCAATGTCACCCTCAGCCTCACTCGTCATCTCCCTCTTGTCTGCCTCAGCAGTCTTCGCCCATTCGTCTCTGGTCTACCCATTGCTATCTCCTCAATCAACGCTGACACTTCATAGAAATACCGCGCAACACCGCAGGTGTATGGTATGTCGGCGCATCTTTTCACAGCGGTGAGCTTGAATGTACTTCAGATGCGTGTATCAAGGCTAATGATGTCGCGTTAACCTTTGTGGGTACTTTTTCATTGCTTTGCGTCTTGGAGCTCATCGAAAGTTTCAGGATGATGGTGCATATACTCGACTTTTCGAGACTTGCTAGCTCAAATGATGCTACAGGACCATATATCTACCTTCGCAGTATCTCGGACCATTTCACAGCTGCTGGTGCGAAGGTGAGCACTTGGAGTCAAACGGTACTGATGCTTTGTTGACTTCAGGCAGGCGACATTTTTCATGAATGGTTAGTGGATCAATTACATCTTGACGTGCCATGGGGTGACAAAAAATATAGGAAATAACTGGGACTGCATCTACAACCCGGACCGAATCTCCGATGTAAAATACGCATACGCCGCTGGCCACATGATCGGGTCGCACACCTGGAGCCATGCCGATTTGCCCACCCTTTCGACGGCTCAAATTCAAGATGGGATGTTCAGAATGGAGGAAGCCTTTTCGAGGTTCGATCTCAAAACTTGGCTTTCTCGGCTCACACTTATGCTCTCCGCCAGAATTCTCGGAATCAAGCCTGCCTTCATGCGTCCTCCCTTCGGCGACTACAACTCGAACATTCAAAGTATTGCCGCTGCACGTGGCCAAAGTCTCGCGTTGTGGGACTGGGACACGGGTGACGCAGATGGCAATACGACCGCACAATCCGAGGCACTATATCAAGATGTCATCAACGCGAAGGTCACCAACGCGTTGATTTTGGAACATGAGACAGAAGGTACATGGTAGTACGTTGTTCGAGTGCGAATGTTGCTCAACACGCTTCTCAGAAACAACATCGACCACTCTCGTTCCGTTCGCCATCAACCTTTTCCAAAGTCATGGTTACAATGTGAGTGGGCCACACCGCGACTTTCTTTCTGTGAGACTGATTATATAATAGCTCGTGACCATGGCTGAATGTCTTGGCGTTGACCCATACCAGGCCATTGGCGTCCCTCAAACTCAGAGCGTGAGCCTTATGGTTATTATTTGGAACTGAGAGCTTAATTTACAGTCATCATGGACTTGCGATGGTACCCCTGATCCTGGAGCAGCATGTGGAGGCTCGATTGCTTGTGAAACGGGCACCCCAGTATTCTCTTCCACTACAACGAGTGGTTCTACAGGCCCGACACCGACACCGACCCCAAATCAGTACTTCCATCCTAGTGCAAGCGCGTCCAAATGCCTGACTGCTGCCTCCAATGCCGACGGTGCTGCGGTCGAAATTGAGGATTGTGTGTCGGGCGGGTCGACGTCACAGAGCTGGACAATCTCCGGCAACTTGTTGCAGATCTTTGGGACGCGTTGTTTGACGGTTCCCCCTGGCTCTTCGGCTGATGGAACTAAGCTCCAGGTGCGAACATGTTTTGTGGGATGGTCGACAGACTTAGCTTGAATCAAGATTTCAACCTGCACAAATGGCAACACGAACCAGCAATGGATTATATCTGGAAACACTCTGCAATGGAGCGGACACAGCTCTTGCTTGGACCTCACCAACGGTGTAGCGACCAATGACAACCCGGCAAGTCTTAAATTTTCAGTGTTTACCCTCCATCTAACGACCAACTGCTAGATGCAAATTTGGACCTGCACTGGCGGTCCTAACCAGGCTTGGACTCATACCACTGGCCCTGGTACATCCGGCGGCGGCGGACAAACCATCCGACCAGGTGCTAGCAGTAACACATGTCTCAGCGCCCCCAGTGCCGCAAACGGTGGCCCAGTCGTCGTCCAACCTTGCAGCTCTGGTTCAGCCAGCCAACAATGGAGCCATGTCGGCAATACACTTGTTGTCTATAACAGCTTCTGCATGGACATAACTGGGGGATCGACAACGGCTGGTACCAAAATCCAGATTTGGTCATGTACCCCAGGGCAGACAGGCGATGCGAACCAACAGTTCACTGTGACTTCTTCCAAAATGATCCAGTGGGTCGGGCAAAACGATTGCATTGACTTAACGAATGGGAACTTGACAGCGGGCAATCAGGTACTCACTCCGTTCATTCCCAACGTTATATTTTAATGTATCTCAAGGTTCAATCCTGGACTTGTACCGCAAACAACTCCAATCAGATTTGGAATTTCGTGTGAATTATCGTTTTAATGAGACAATTTGGACAATCACTGCTGTAATTACAGTCCCAATCTATCTGTTTCTTCTTGCACACGTTTTTCCAATTTTGGCTGCGAGCGTTTATGCTGATGTAATCACATGCAATCTCATTCATTCTGGCTCGTATTACTCGGCAGTCTGAGAGAGCTACGAGGCTGTGAACTGGTTGCTATGCATGGTCCAAAAAGTCTCGACGCCAGCGAATGGCGATTGAGGTTTCGGATGATAGGTTCTGAAGCGTCCAGACGGCATTTCATTTCATCAACCAAGATCAAACCAGAATCCTCGTCGTCGTCGAGCGAGATTTCCAAGCCTTCGTAAACAGGCAACTGGGCGGGGAAACATCCGCTTGCGCTGAGCCATAAGAAGTGAAGAACTAGCGTAGTTCGTGTGCTGCTGTCGATAACACTCATACCACTCCACGGCTTTCAAGGCGAAGTCAGCTAAGAAGCCATAAGTAAAGGTACCGTTGAACACAAAATGCAACGAACGAGGATCGGTAGGCGTTTTGGTGAATCCGAGATGGAGACTGAGACTACGTAACTCTTCGCATCCAAAAGTGTTGCGGGGGAGTAAGCAACCGATAGGAAGAACAGGGACTTTGCGCTTGCAGCAATGTTCTACGGCATCCGAGAAGCCAGCGATGAAACAACGTGCATTGCCATTTAGGCGAGCGTTTTCTGTCAAGTGGGGGTCCTCTATGTCCAACAGAATCTGTTGCAAATGCCACGAGTCAAAGGAGTCCGATTTAACAAGCTTGAAGCCCATATCATGGAATGCTTCAAAGGTACGACCAACGAGTGCGCTTCACAAGTGTCAGCTGACGAGGAGGAAAAGACTGCTTATCCCATACCGGTTTTGCAGAGTGTTATATTTCGTTCGCATTAGACTTTTCCATGAAATTCCGCACCACTGTGTGAGACTGAAGATAACATTGCCTGCCCAGTCTTCAGTCTTCATCAGCCAGAGACCAAAATGAATCGGAGTCAAAACACCAGCAGATGAACTAAGGTCCTGAGAGGAAAACTTAGCATCCTGGAGCAGGCGGCTGTATATTTGATAGTTGTTGGATTCCGGGTCTCGGATTGCCTGCGACGCGTTGAAAATGAAGCGAAGGCAAAAGCGGGTGCCGTCGACAGCAATCCCTTTGGCGTAGTAAATAGTTGCCATATCTTCGAGTCCCCAGATCGGAGCATTGGAAAGGAAAGCACGTTTACGTTCCCCATCTCCTGGCCCATTGGCGTAGAATGCTTTGGCGGGTACGCGCAGAATTTGTGCCACTTCAGGAAGAGCGGAAAAGCGTACACGCTCCGAGTCGCCGGCTATACGGAGTCTTTGAGCGGTGAATGAGGTTGAAGTTTCGTCGAATTTGACTTGGATTGTAAGTCCCATGGAAAGGAGTCGAAGTCACGTGCAAAACGTTGGAGAGCGACTATGTTGATCATATTTCCGACAACACCTTACGTATCATGGATACAACTATTCCGTTCTCATCCTCTGTCCCCACTGTAATCCGGACGCAGCCTGTGCATCCTGGTTCGTTGCCACGAAAACGCACAACGACGCCGTTTTCCTCCGCGAGAAGCTTATAGAGGCGCTGAGCGCGTATGTTGTCCGGGTTTCCGCTGCCATCTTTGTCGAGAATGGGTACCAAAACAAAGTTCGCATCATTACTGCCGAGGGGGGCGCCAACTTCGGAGATAGTTGAGAGGCTTTGAAGTAGTGCTGCTCTAGAGCCAATCAAGGTTGTCATTTTAGACCGCATAAAATTGATGGAAGTCGTAGAAAGTGCGGCGAGAGCGATATGAGACGTAGGCGTAGAGATATTGTACGGCGCTTTGGTGTTGGATAGTACTTGGATGAGTGGCGGCTGGGCGATGGCAACACCTAGCCTGTGGAAGAGTCAGAACTAATTGTGGGGGTAAACGGACTAGGCATACCGCACGCCAGCAAGACCAAAGCTTTTACTCAAAGTTTGCATCACACAGATGTTGCCGTAATCTTTGACCAACGAGACGGCAGACGCTTCTGGTGTCGCAAAATCGATGTAGGCCTCGTCAACGACCACGATGCCTTTGAAGTTGGGGTAGTCGAGCAGCTCTTTGATAACATGAATGGGAATCAAGGTTCCCGTGGGGTTACCAGGAGAGCACAGGAAAACAAGTTTTATCAACGGGTCCGCGTCAATGGCTGCTTTGACCTGCAGGACGATAGAGCAGGAGACATGGTCGCATAAACAGGACCGCGAACCTCCTTCAGCTTGACACTGAACCTGCCGTTCTCCCCGCCCTCTCCATTTGTGCCCGAAAGCTCCAGTGGACATCGTACAACGCCAATATCGTTGATTTGAGCTGAGACAGCATACATTCCATAGGTCGGAGGAGTAGTGAGAATCTTTTCTCTGCCTGGTGTGACGCAAACACGCATCAATAGATCGACCACCTCGTCTGAGCCTACACCGAGGAATATATGGTCGATAGCGCTTTCAGGAAACCCTCGCAGGGCAGCAATGCGTGCCTTTATTTCAGGCTGTGCTGGATCTGGGTAACGGTGAAGGTGGAGGGATGTCAGAGAGTCAGAAGTTGAGTCTATGGAATGGCCCAAAGCATTTTCATTCGCGTCAACCAGGATTCCAGAGGAATAGTCGTCGCGAGCAGCCCGATAAGGGTGAAGTTGTAAGATATTTGGTCGTATCACATTGAGGAGATCAAAGTGAAGAGGCTTCCCAGAGGTCGGTGTCGACTGTGGCAAGCCATGAATCGCCATTCGAGTCAAGAGACGAGAAGGACTTGATTTTGACAGAATGTCACGTGCCCACCACGGCGCTTCCGCCGCCATCCACCTCTCGACGAGGACCAACCCCCGATATTCAAATGGACGACCTTCTCAACCTTGAGTTCTTGTCGCTTGTGAACAAAATCGTGCAGGAGATTGACAACCACACCGGTATCAACGACAAGACACTTGCCGAATTCATCATCTCCATTCATGACCAGTCCAACAAGAGCCTCCCCGCATTCAAGGCAAAGCTCAAGGAGGCTGGTGCTGACTTCCCCGACTCTTTTGTCGAGAATGTAGACCGACTCATTCTCAGCATGCATCCGAAGCACAAGAAAAAGGCCAAGAAAAATGGCAAAGCAAAAGCCGTGCCAGAGGGCGAGCTTTCTGAGCAGGAGAGGAAGAAGCGCATTCTACCTGGTCTTTCAATGAAAAATACGGAGCCTGTTTCCGACGATGTTTTCCTGAAGGAATTGGGGGATCTGGTCGCAGGAAAGAGGCATATGCCAGTCAGCGAAGAGAGGTCGCCGAAACGGCAACGGATGCGGTCGCCATCACCCAGACGTCGCAGTCCAAGTCCCCCTCGTTATGGTCGGAACGGAGGACGACCTACTACAGATGATCGACCTGTGCTGTTCAAAATCTACAATGGGAGGGTGTCAGGTTTGAAGGATTTCGGGGCATTCGTCACACTGGAAGGAGTTGCTGGAAAGGCAGAAGGTGCGTCTCAAACAAGTCAATGCTTTGAAAGGTTATACCAACACTTGGCAGGAATGGTGCACGTTTCCAATATCCAGATAGGCCGTGTCAACTCAGCTTCCGACCTACTCAGCCGTGGGCAGCCTGTCAAAGTCAAGGTCATGAGTGTAGCCGGGAGTAGAATTGGCCTTTCTATGAAGGACGTCGACCAAGTGACAGGTCGCGACCTTTCTCCTCACCTTCGTATTCAATCAGAGGCTGAGATGTTGGAGCAGCGAAATCGGCCGTCGTTTGCGTCGTCTGGCGCCAATGCCGTCCCACTCAGAGGAAGGGACACATCCATGGTCAACAATGCTCCAGTCCGTTCTGCCAAACGCCTGACCTCACCAGAGCGCTGGGAGATCAAACAACTCATCTCGTCAGGCGCTTTGGATGCTTCGGAATATCCTGACCTCGACGAAGATTTCCACAACCCCGTGGCTCGTGCCGAGGTAGAGGAGGACCTGGACATAGAAATCCGAGAAGACGAGCCACCCTTCCTCGCTGGACAGACAAAACGAACTCTTGAATTGAGTCCCGTAAAGATTGTCAAGGCACCAGATGGCTCCTTGAATCGTGCGGCACTAAGTGGAGCATCGCTTGCCAAGGAACGACGAGAGCTGAGGCAACAGGAAGCTAATGACCAGGCTGATTCGCAAACTCGCGACTTCGCACAACCGTGGTTGGACCCCATGTCATCAGACACCGACAAAGTCTTTGCACAGGATATGCGAGGAAACTTCAAAGGACAACAAGCCAGCGAGACGGGCAGGTGGAAAGATGCCAAGGCTGTGTCTTTTGGTCAAGTTACGACTCTCAGTATTCAAGACCAAAGAAAGAGTCTGCCCATATACAAACTTCGCGATCCTCTACTTCAAGCTATCGCGGAACATCAAGTGCTGATTGTCATTGGAGATACTGGTTCTGGTAAAACAACGCAAATGGTCCAATATCTCGCGGAGGCTGGCTATGCGGAAAAGGGTCGTATTGGTTGCACACAACCACGTCGCGTTGCTGCGATGTCTGTTGCCAAACGTGTCTCTGAAGAGGTTGGGTGTCGGTTAGGTCAAGAGGTCGGCTATACGATTCGTTTCGAGGACTGCACAAGTCCAGAAACACGGATTAAATACATGACCGACGGTATGCTTCAGCGGGAGTGTTTAATCGACCCGCTATGCAGCTCGTACTCTGTCATCATGCTTGACGAGGCGCATGAACGGACAATTGCCACCGATGTTCTTTTTGGGTTACTTAAAAGTAAGTCTGCGTTTTCATCATCGCAAACGCAATAACGCCGTTTTCAGAGACTATCAAACGCCGTCCAGACATGAAACTCATCGTGACTTCTGCGACACTGGATGCCGAAAAGTTCTCTAAATACTTCTTTGGATGTCCCATTTTCACCATTCCCGGTCGCACATTCCCCGTTGAAATCTTGTACACCAAGGACCCAGAAACCGACTATCTCGACGCTTCTCTAATCACAGTGATGCAAATTCATCTTTCCGAACCGCCTGGAGACGTTCTTTTATTCCTGACGGGACAAGAAGAGATCGACACAGCTTGTGAAATCTTATTCGAGCGAATGAAGGCGCTGGGACCAAAAGTACCGGAGCTCATCATCCTTCCTATCTACTCCGCCCTCCCCTCCGAAGTCCAATCACGGGTGTTCGAACCTACTCCACCTGGCGCTCGTAAAGTCGTCATCGCCACCAATGTCGCAGAGACTAGTTTGACTATTCCTGGAATCTACTACGTCGTAGACCCTGGCTTCGTCAAGCAGAGCGCATACGACCCAAAGTTGGGCATGGACTCGCTGGTGGTCATGCCCATATCTCAAGCTCAAGCTCGTCAACGGGCCGGGCGTGCCGGACGGACCGGTCCTGGTAAATGCTACCGGTTGTACACCGAGGCTGCCTACCGAAACGAGATGCTTCCCAACTCCATCCCCGAAATACAGCGGACCAACTTGTCGTCCACCATCCTGCAATTGAAGGCCATGGGCATTAACGACCTGCTCAGTTTCGACTTCATGGACCCGCCACCGCCAGAGACAATGTTGACGGCGCTCGAAGCGCTGTATGCTTTGTCCGCGCTGGATGACGAGGGTTTACTCACGCGCCTGGGTCGCAAAATGGCAGACTTCCCTATGGACCCATCTCAAGCGAAGATGTTGATCGCATCAGTCGACCTCGGGTGTTCCGAAGAGATCCTTTCGATTGTAGCCATGCTGTCAGTGCAAACAGTGTTCTATCGGCCCAAAGAGAAGCAGGGACAAGCGGACCAGAAGAAGGCCAAGTTCCATCAGCCAGAGGGCGATCACCTGACGCTGCTGACTGTCTACAACGGCTGGAAGGCCGCAAACTTCTCCAATCCGTGGTGCTACGAGAATTTTATCCAGGCGCGGAGTATGCGGCGCGCGCAAGACGTACGGAAGCAACTGCTCGGTATTATGGACCGGTACAAGCACGAAATTCTCTCTGCTGGACGCGACTACAACATTATTCGGCGGGCAATCTGCTCTGGCTTCTTCCGCAACGCAGCGAAAAAAGACCCTCAAGAAGGATACAAGACTCTTGTGGAGGGCACTCCAGTCTATATCCACCCGTCGTCCGCCTTATTTAATCGGAACCCGGAGTGGGTGGTGTACCACGAACTCGTATTGACGACACGTGAGTACTGCCACAACGTGACCGCTATCGAGCCGAAGTGGCTCGTTGAGGTCGCGCCCCAGTTCTTCAAGGTTGCGGATGCCAATAAGATCAGCAAGCGGAAGAAACAGGAGAAGATCGAGCCGCTGTACAACAAATATGAGAAGCCGGACGAGTGGCGGCTGTCCAAGGCCAGGAGTAGTGCGAGGTCGAGTCAAACGTTTGGATAGAGTGATGTAGGATAATGAACTGTGCCTAATAAGCTGATTTTGTGCATTTAAAACAAAAAGACAGAGCATATGTTTCCTCAACAGCATCTTACGCCTTACGCTTGTTCCAGATAGCGATGAACGTGACAAAATGTAACAGCGTTTGCTGGTTTGTCTGGAGCCTGTCCTTGGAATTCTTCAATTCGAGCACCACCGGATACACCTCTCTTCAAACCGTACCCGTCACATAAGCATAGCATATTTATAGGTTTCTGACTAACTGCTCCTATGCCGCTACCAATTTTCGTCCCTGTGCTGGAGCTCCCCACTGACTTTCTCCAACTACGCGTTCCCTCTTCTTCTGTTCGTCTCTACTCGCCCTATACCCCCAACGAGGATGATGCAACTAACCCCGCAACGAAGCCTCCAGCCGGCGAGTCCATCTGTTTGTTGCATGGGCGGTTGGATGACTTCCTCCATTACGCTCGAGGCGAAGCCTCGGACTGGCTACTGCAGCGAGCCCATGACATCTGCGATCCCTCCCTCAAGCGAGGCTCCCTTGTCGTCTGGAAGCGCCATGAGCAGATTTGGGCCCCGGTTTCGCAGTCAGAGCAGTTGATCGCTTCAACATACGTGTATACCTGGCCGGCGGAAATGCCGACCACGTTGACGAAGATCAGCCACCGCGAGAACAGGTCCGTGACATCCAGAGGCGGGGACGGGCCCGCGATGCGAAATAGTGTCGCAACGCGTGATGGGGGCCGTTGCTGGATTTCGAAAGTCTCCCCCAGTGACAATCGCCACATATGCCCCAAACGCATGGGCGACCATCTCGCGCGGCAGATCTACGAGGATTTCACCGGGCAGACCCCTCCTCCAACTCTCCGCGTAACCGACAGTGCTTTCGGACTGAGTCTATCCCCCGTCCTGGGCCCCTATTTTGACAACTATGAGCTTGGTTTGCATTCCATCGGCAACGTGGGTTTTTTCTGCTCGTCTTGTATATATATATTCATGCTGCTTAGAATCAATACGAGGCTCACAGCTTCACGACCGTGGATGAGCAGTGGGTCAAGACTGTTTATGGCACCTTGCCCAAAGGTCAGGTACAGAACGAGCCGCTTCTCCACGGTCATTTTGTGGTCCCTCAGAATACCAATGCCACGGGCCTCCCCCCTCCCGGCCTCTTCCGCTGGCATTACCTGCAGTGTGTCATCAAGAAGTTCGGCCACGACGACTACAAAAAGATGACCAACATCGCGTACCCTGAACTGCCGATCAAGATAGTCAACGAGGACGACTCTGATGACGAGGAGACCGACAGTGACCTGGAGTGGCCGTCAAAGTGTTGGGATGTTCACAGATTAAAGGCGGCCGAGCAGACTGAAGCTGCAGAGCGCCATCGTGGAATTGCGCAATGGGCTGACTCGGCAGCTGGTTAGGCCTAGGTGTATGTCTTCGCTCGAGTCGCGCATTATTAGGCACAATGCACGCTACTACGTTCGACTCATTAGTACTCTCCATGGTGGGCCTTATTGTTCGTTGCTGCACACCCTCCGTATGTGCAGTTTCCGTTACCAAGATGAGGACGTGCTTGGATTGATTCAAGAACATGTGAAACAGACTCAATTACTATGCTCTTCACTCGAACTACCATTCCCGCCCAAGCTACTTTCATCGGAGTCCGACTTCTTCATTGCTATCGCTGCTGGGCTTGCCGCCATGTATTGCCCCCACAATTTGTACGCGAGATCCTCGCGGGTACAGGCGATCTGGAAATTTTCAGGGTGTATCTTGCCTTGACCGCCATCCCACAAAAGAAGCTCAGAGGTGACGTCATCACGCCTGACTCCACCAACTTCAAGGCCCGGATAAAGAGGGAAGGAGTTGGGAAAGAGCGCGGCGCGTTGCGCAACCAGGGTTGCGGCATTCGTATACTTGGGGTGGGCTTCTCTATAAGCATTGTACCACTGGAGGGCTTCATCAACAGGGGTCTCTAGGCTTTTTATGAGATTGGATGGGGGCTGAGGTAGTCTGAGCGTACCTGGAGGATCGGAAGACTTGAGCGGCTGGAAACCCAACAAGAGGCTCACGTTGACGAGCTCGTGACAGCCAAAAAACTCGAAGGGCCGCCATCTGACGAGGTATTCGCCGAATGGAATCACGGGCAGCCTGCGAGCGCATTCGTGTGTGCTTGCCTCAGAGAAATCGGCGATGTAGCAGCGTGCATGGCCGGCTTGTTGTCGCTTTAGCGTGACTCGCGGGTCGTCGACGTCCAACAGAACGTGGCACAAGTCGACATCGCTGCCCATTCTGCCGTTGACGTTGATGCCCACATCGTGAAGCAGCTCGAATGTGCGAGCAATGAGCAGTCTGTTGGACCAGTAAGTAGCATAGACGTAGCATGAAGGGTAGTACTTGTTAGCCCGCGTATTGACTTTTGTTCTCACTAGCGATTTCCACGGCGTTCCACACCACTGTGTCAGGCTAAACAACACTGTCCCCGCCCAGCCCCCTGTCTTCATCGTCCACATGCCATAATGATGCGGCACAAGCACTCCCGCAACAGCTTGCAGATGCTCGGTGTAGAAGTTGGCATCCGAAACGAGCGCTGATATGAAACGACGATTCGGGTGGCCATGGCGGACGACGCGGTCTGCATTGAAAATGAACCGCAGACAGAAACGTTGTCCGTCTTCTGCAGTCGCTCGCGCAAAAATTGTGCGCGTTTCTTCTCCCAGTCCCCATTTCTTGGCTCTGCTGAAAGGCAGCTGGGCACGGCGATCGTCCAGGTCATTGATGAAGACTGCGTCCGGCGCAACAGTGAGGATGTTTGCAGTGGGTCGAAGGGCAGTGAAGAGGTCCTTTCGGTTTCCGGGAATTGCCCACGGACGCGCAGTGAAGCTCTCGGAGGGGGTGGCTGTGAATCGGACCTCAATGGTTGAGGATAGCATTGTTGGTTGTGACAATATCATGTGCCGTGACCGAACGTGAGTCCCTCAGGTAAAAAAAGCGATTAATAACGATACAGCACTTAAGATAATACAGGAATCATAGCAATACAGATAGATAGATGGCCGTTATTTCCGTTTTCCGCGTGGCTTTGGTGCAGGCTTTGCTTTCTTGACAGCTACCTCTTCATCGTCAGTGGCCTTGCGCTTCGTGCCCTGATTGAACGACGAGTCCCCACTGTCCTCAGAGATGTTAGTCAGCCGACTAGGGCCAGGGCTGGCTCTAGAGCCATGTGACCCATGAGTCGACGCGCGCGAAATGGCAGACGAAGCAGGCGAGGCCCGCCTTCTGTCAAACGGTATGTCACCGCCTCTCAGCCGCGCTCCAATGCCCCCAAGACCACCATCCACCAGACTGGCTGCATCTGGCTCCATCCGCGTTTCACTCCAGTCTCTCTTCAGCACCGATTCCGTCGACAGTCCGTCTTGGAAACTCCGCATGTTGTTCATATGCCGGGTATCCCCGTCAGCATGCTGGAGGATGACATCACCCGTCAGTCGCGCCGCAAACAGCTCCAGCGATACCGACCCCGAGTTCCTGACCGACTGCGGTTTGTCGTCGCCCACAGGATTCGGCTCGCCCAGGTTCTCAATCCACTCCCACGGCCGATTGTGAACAGGCGAATGGGTAAAACCACCGCTCGAGTCCCGCAGCGAAGTTGCGAGTTGCGAAACGAGAGCAGGAGGCGGCAAGTGACGAAGCAGTGCCTGGACCTGATTTCGGTATTCGCGGGGAAAGTCGGCAGGTATATCTGACGGGAGCACATGGGGCGCATGAGCGAATGGGTCGAAAGTTGCAGACGTTCGTGAATTATGCACGAGCTCTTCGGAGCATTGTCAGTCAAATCACGTGCAACATACTCATAACGGCTCACCGTCCAACAGATAGTAAAGAGTATCAATGAGCAAGGAATATGCTCCAAGGTCCAGCATTGTACCGCTACCATGCATCTACACAAATTATTAGTCCAGCCCAAAAACAAAACACAGCCACCCACTATCACTAAACCCAAGATTGTCGACAAAAGACTCGAACTTGACTCCTTGATGCGCGCTGTCCACGAAAAAGGGAAGCCAAGATGGAACTGGAGCAGTCGCGACAGAGAAATGGCTGTGTGTGTCAATTTCTCTTGCAGAATATCATCCGAGGGATGCTCTTTCAATGCCTGGTCGACTTGCACGAATTTTTCGCTCAAGATGCTGAAGAATTCGTCCTGGATGACACTGTCGAGCGATGGGAGTAGTGATCCGGAAGTCCGAAGCGGTTCCGCGACATAAGCAATCACCCTCAACAGTTCCTCTGTGCGTTCAAAGCCATCACCGAGACTCTTCGAGGACGTCATGTCGACACCATGTAGAATCTCGGTCACACGCTTGAGTCCGTTGTTGATAAACTATGAGGCAGGTCAGAGTTGGAGCTTTGTGTTATATATTGTTACCTTTGCTGCAACGACACCCTCAGTTCCTCGTGCCATCTGCGCAACGAAATAAGCCTGTTCTGACGTCATCGAGTGGTGGAAGATCATTAAGATCAGTTTGTCCAGGCTGACTTGAGCGGCGGCGGTGTGGGCACCCTCACAAGACAAGGCGCGACCCATGTGACGAAGAAGGAATTGCAACTCGATGGCCGTGGCCGTCAACTTCCAAGGGCTCAAGAGTGATGTAACGTCGGGCCATGTCGACAGCTCGATGGCAGCATCTGTGAACAAGTTGGATTAGAGGTCAGAATAAGATTATGTCACTCACCTTCTGATGATTCAGAAAGCAGTTCTCGCAACGCGGCGACCATGACCTTGGCCCGATTATCGTCGAGCTCATCTTCGGCGAGAGACTGATTGAAGGTTTCCCGAATTGCATCCAGATTCCCGAACGCTGCTTGACGAAAATTATGGTGCGAAGACAAGGTGAGCCGAAGCGAGGTAAAGGCAGCGCGAATATCTTGTGAAAGGTATCCGTTGCTTTCCAAAGAGACGAGTAATGGGATAGTTGTGATGAGGAGTGAGAAGTGAGGGTCCTCGTAGACAGCCTGGCGCCGCGTTTGCATACGCTGCGATTCGAGTAACGTCATGGTTTCGTTTCCAACATCGTGCTGGAATAGGAGTTGTTCGAATAGACTGTTGATGGCGTGGAGCAAGACTTGACGGGACTGGCCTTCTTGTGAAGAAGAGACGGTTGCACCGAGTTGCCAGGTAGGATAGATGAGCCCTTCAAGAATAGTCGTCGCCTGGAGGGCTCCATTGATAGCCAAATGAAGCAATACGGTGGTGAGCACAGTCCACGCATCTGCCCCCAACCCACCAACTTCATTCTTCCCAGAGCCGAGGAACCATTTCAACACTTGATCGTCTAGGCCTCTAGGTAGATGCTCATTGATGTGCCACAAGAAAACGCCATAGCGAACAGCGCGAGCACGCTGACCATCGGGTTCTGTGTGCATATATGGAATTTGACGAACGCCTGCAACAACATTGTCCCAGACTTTGAGAGCCCAATCAGGCGAGACTCGATATCGGATCCACAAACCACTGGCAAGGTTTGAGGGAGCCTCGTCACGAGGATCTTCAAGAAGTAGCAGAATCTCTGGGAGTACATCAGGTATAGTAGGCTCAGGAAGATTCGGCTGGGGTTGGAGAGCCTGTTTGTCCTTTTAGTGCAATGACTATAGGTCACGTTCATCACTTACAAGAGTGAATGACGTGATATCGGCATCAACCTGGGCTCGAGATATTTCGTCGAGAAATCGGCCGCCATCAAAATCGACGAGGGCATTCAGCAGTGCACGAAACTCGCCCCCTCGTGTCTTCTTCCATCGTTTATGAGCGGCGAAAAGGGCATTGGCAATGGTCCCCATAACATTCATGCAATTCCAGATGCATCCAAAGCGGTAGAGTGTGTCAATGACAGCCGTAAGCAACTCGACCGTCGTGGAACGTTGAAGCGCACAGAGACTCAGCTTCACAACAAAGGTGAGATCCAACAATTGAAGAAGAATGCAAGACTTGCCTCGAGCACAGAATGGAAACATTTAGTATGAACCATGAGCTCCGTGCAGACAGCAAAACAGTTCACCAACTGTGGTGTCGATTCAACCTGCTCTTGATTGGGACTGGAAGCGACCAGATGAGGATAACTTCAAGAAATAGATTGTCTTGCTCACTGCGAGAAATATTTGCGCAACACAGGCATCAGCCAATGACGGAAAATTCTGACTTGTTCGAAACGGGAGGCGGAAGTCAGACTGGGGCACTTGCTAGCGACATCGGGGCTAGGTTTATCAATGGTGCCGTTGAGTTCTTATAGCCATTAGACCCGCAGGAATGTTGAAGTAGACTCCTCACCGTGACTGGAGAGCTGAGGAAGCAATGCACGAATTTCTCCTCGAATCTCGCGTTCATGAAGATCCTCGACTGTTTCCCGAGCACGAATGCCATGTAAAGTCACTTTGCGTTGCGTTGTAAGAGCTGCCGTTGTGTTCCACAATGGTATAGATCGCAGAAAATCACGATGTCGCGAAGTCGAAGTCTGAACATTAAAAACCGTCAGTGGGTTTGTTTACCAGAGAAGAACAGAACAGACATCGGAAAAATGTAATCCTTCCTCACCACGAGCAATGAGGTGCTGAATGTAGCCAGCGTATGAAAAGAGCTCCGCTTTGACCAACTTTCCGTAGAGGATGGAGACAGCACGTAAGTTGTGGGAATCCTCAGCGATCTCCGATGTGTCAAGCCATTCGAATAATTGCTCTTGCAAAAATTCATCTGGACTACAAAAGTCGCGTCGGGTAGCTCGTTCACCTATTTTATCCCTCCAGTTTTGAATCAACGTCACAGCCGCAGCAGGACGATGGTCTCCAAATTGAAGTGGGGTTACAGTCCAAGTCAATAGCATTTGCAGTTTGTCCTTGAAGACGGAAATGTCATCGAACTGAGTGGAGAAGAACGCCACGCTTCCAAGGTCCGTTTTGCTTGAGATGGAGTTGAGCGACTAATGACATGATCAGAATTGGAGTAGTTTGGAGAGAAGAGCTCACTTGAACATCAGATACCACTGTGCGTAGCTTGGCAGAAACATGGGCAGGTAGATTTGTGAATAACATAGCCTCGTTTCTGCGTTTGATGTCTGAAAATGAATCCAACAGGAGCTGCTGAATGTCCTGAGAATTCTGGGCGATATGCGCTTCCATCGAATCATGGGCAAGGCTCTCGTTGAGGGCTTCGCTGACGAGTGCAGCATGTGTTGACCACATTCTAGGGCTGACAAAAGCGTCTGGAAGGGCCAAGCAAACTCTCTAAAAGATTGGTTAGTCATTTAGAAGCAGGGGTGGGAGTTAAGGACCTGAAGTAAAACTCTAAGTACTGTTTGTGTGCTCATCATGAATTCTTGGGTGGGGGTGGAACTGATCTGGCCCAGATGATTTAGCGAAAACTGACCGAAGGGAGACTCGTACCTCCGCAAGCTTGGACAAGCAGGCATCGATGAATGGACGGGCCAAAGAGCGATTTTTCATGATTCCATCGACGTATTCTTCGGCTAAGCGAACAAGGAAACCAACTTGCGCTAGAGTAGAAGACCCCATTTGTTGGACAAGCCAAACCAGAAATGTGCGGCTATCGACTAAACCCTCCGAGTAACAGGGTCGAAGGAGCTCCAGACTATTGCACGTTAGACCATACATATGACAAAAATGAGTGGTTCACATACCTGTAAGAAAAACGCGATATCCACCGCTCGCGAGTGTCGGTATCAGCGAGGACTCCTTTGAAAGTTTGCTTGATGTTGAGGCCTAAACGAGGAGCGCTCGGCAGAGCAATATCGGCCAATTGCTTTTTTAGGTAGTTGGTAACTACATTTGCCCAGTCGACACTATACTGAGTGGGATTGTACGACGGTTTGTTACGCAGACCGGCCTGAAAAGAAATTACACATTTCCCAATATTTATAACTAGAAGTTCACCGTCTCATTTGCGCCGAGGACACGCAAGAACCAGACGGCACGAGGAATCGCGACTTGGTTCGAATGTAAGAGATCGAGGAGGTCATGGCCTTTCGCTCCATGCGGTACACTTTTACCAAGCTTGGCCAACGGAACCTCAGGATTGGCCAAATCCGCAAACCAGGCCTGTCGTTTGGAGTCGTTGAGTGTCACCCGGGTCGGCATGCGAAATGTCGAGGTCCTTTCCTCAGCGTCAGTTGGCAGGCATTCAGTAGTATAATATTGCCACGCACGGAATAAGTGCAACATTGTCTGTACGGCGCGCAAATACATCTTGCACCAGTTTTTCGAGGTTGTGCAAGGCATCCTTGGAACGTATAAGGGCAGAAACTTCCTCTTGGGCACTGAAACGCTCTGCCTGAGAGCTTACTATAAGGGCTGAGAGGACAAAGAAGGAGATGAACGCACTGGAACGACCTGGGGCGGACTAAACCCCTTCCTGATATTGTCTGTGGTCAAAACGTCTTCATCTTGACCGGGACGAGGCGGGTGAAATCCGATGTAGCCAATATCGGCTGAGGAGTGGGTCCGTGGCACCCAAACTGGCGGCCGAGAGTCGTACAGTGGGAGAGGCATCTCATTCATGCGACCTTCATAGTCGTAAGCTGACAGTGTTCGTTGTGACAACTTCATATTCCTCGCTACCCATGTCGCGTCAATCAGTTGCTCCAGGACGTGCTTCCTACGCTGCAGGCTCAAATACAGCCAACTCTGCGGCAGCGATGGCCAAATTTCTCGAGAAGAAGAAGGAATTTGACGCGGTTTCCGCCTTACACAAAGCCTCTACTCTCTATCTTCAACGCATCGAAGGTCTTGCTGAGGACTGTGAAACAATGGCCGATTCAGGCCAAAGTCGGTGCTTATTGCTATCCTCATTGACCCCCACTGATCTCAGCTACCGCAGTCCATGGGGAAGTACTTGAACAATGGCCGAGGATGTTTCAAATTCTCAATCTGTTCTGTTCGCTTTTTTGTCTTCACATCTTCGACGCCAGCTCATCCTATCAGTGGCAGGCAAGGGAGATCCTTCTGAGGACACTGCAGAGTCCCTAGCCAACTCAGATCCCAGCCAACAACGCTTAGTTCGCATCTTCACGGATTCGCTTCTCGCGACCAGTGAGGAAGACCGTGCCACTCGTGCGTATCACACAATGCTCCGACAATGATCCAGCTTGACAAACTTTTAGTCTGACTACCGCGCGCCTTTACTTTGGTGGCGACCCACCGAGTGTTGGTGAGCATGAGAATCCAATTTCATCCTTTTCCGAGGTTATAACTGGGGCTCCGAGCCAATTCGACAAAGAAATAATATCGAATCGCCGACATGCAGACGGTTACTCAGCAGTATGCTGAACTGGAACCGGATTTGGAGTTGTGTGCGGATGTGGTTTGCGAAGGCAAAACGGTTGATGCGAATACTTAGTATGAACTAGGCAGAACTGACTGAAAACAACCATGAGCATGATAATTACCTCCACCGAATAGACATGTACTAGAATCTTACACTGAGAACGACCTTATATGGTAGCGGCCCGGGCGATGGATAGCACTGCAGCTATCAGCCCTTGAACATCGTTGGAATCGGTATACTTGAACACCACTTCGCTGACATCTACGCCCCGCTCTTCGAGTCCAGACACTTGAACGTTGGCTAATTGTCGGGTATTTGGATGATATGTGAGTAGAATGGAGATGGGTTGTTGTTCAACAATGTAGTTCAATTGCAGTTCGTTTTCGGCGCCATGTTCCCAGTCGTGAAGCCCAACAATTGATTTCTGCAGCTTGAGGGACTCGAGATGACTGCAGGGAGCCGTTAGGTTAGAAAAATATGTTGTAGCGTACTGACCTGTGGTATAGTGGCATTAGTTGTGCATCGTCCTCATCTACTCTGGAGGCTTTGACAGCTTTTTCTGTTTCTGCACGATCGACTCTTAACTTTTCCACCTCTTGTGTCGTGTTCTTCAGCGTTCTTTTCATTCCGGCCACTTCTCGCTCTGCGTCCGACTTCTCCTCCTCCAGCACCTGCATCTCCTCGACTTGGTCAGTTAACCTCTGTTCCGCGCCAGCGATAGTAAGGTGTGGTTTTGGATGAGCCTGACGTAGGCGTGCAAGAGCTAGCCGGGCATCGATTATCTTCTGCGTCAAATCAGCGGCTTTCATTGCAGCGTCCTTGAGCCGTTTGTGTTCTGAGGGTGGATGAGGCGCTGCTCCGTCTAAAGAAAGATGGACCCAACCTGCCTCGACTCGGGGAGCTAGTTCGCAGTATTCTTTCCTTCCCTCCGCTAGTTCTTTCTTTGCGAGGCTGAGGTCCTGCTTCTTCTTCGCAGCGAGCGCATCGAGTGCTTTGTTGTCCTCCTCCGTTACGAAGGCAGCGTCGTCGATGTCTGTTACAATGTTCCGGATATACTTTGCCTTGGCGTTCTGTTCCAGTTGTTGGAACTTGAGTTTGCGAAGGTGGGCCTAAGAAGGTCAGTCTGCGAGCCTTCAGGGACACGATCCAAGCTACCGTTTGAGCATTCAGATCTTGGAGGACTACTGCAGGGTCCTTCACATCCAGTTTCTCCAGATTTACTTCCACAGCATTGAATTGTGCGACTCTGCCAGGAAGATCCAGCTGGGCCTGTTGCAAAGCGGTTTGGAGGGTTTCTGACAGTGACATCGTTGTTGGTTGAGTAGTGTGACGAGCATGTGACTGTGACCCAGCGCGTTTATGCTTGACGCCCTCAATCCCGCTCAACGAGCGGCTGTTCTCCACCCGCCAACCACAGCACTGCAAATTCTTGCGGGCCCCGGGAGTGGCAAGACCAAAGTACTCACTTCCCGAATCGCCCATCTTGTTCTTACCCATGGACTTGTCCCATCCACGATTTGCGCCGTCACATTTACGAACAAGGCTGCAAATGAGATGCGTTCGCGGCTCTCTGCCCTGATAGGCAAGCAGAAAACCTCCGAAGTCAGGATGGGCACCTTTCATGCTCTGTGTGCGCTATTTCTGCGGAGATTTGCGCACAAGGTTGGGCTGGATGTCAATTTCACGATCTGTGATGCCGATGAGAGGTGAGCGTGCCATTTCCGAGGCCAACCAACAACTCGCATTATTCGTATAGCAAGAAAATCATTTTGCACCTACTCAAACCACACAAAGATGTCATTGTTGCTAAAGATCTCATGCTCAAGGAGGGAACAGTTCTTTCGCACATATCTCGGGCAAAGGCAAAAGGACTCTCCCCGAAGGAGTACGCCAAGCAAACACCAGAACAATCTTACGAGGCCGAAGTCCACAAAATTGTCGCCGCAGTCTACGTGGAGTATGAAAAACTCCTCAGACGCAACAACAGTCTCGACTTTGACGACCTTCTCCTTTATGGTGTCAAACTATTCACAGAGAATCCGACAACAGCAAACTGGTGCAGGCATGTTCTCGTTGACGAATTGTTTGTGCTTTTCTGTTGGTTCCACCAAGTCCTGACGAGATGACAGTCAGGATACCAACACAACGCAATATGAATTGATGAGCGTGCTTGGCGCAGCCGCTGGTGGATGTGTAACTGTGGTGGGTGACCCTGATCAGTCAATATATGGGCGAGTTTGTCTATTGTTATCGAGGTTCTCGCTGAATCATGAATGCTCCTAGATGGCGTTCTGCCGAAGTGACTAACCTTTCTCGAATGAAAAACGGTGGATTACTTGAGTTATAGTCTAGTTGTGTTTCTAACATCCCCAGACTTTCGTGGAACCACGCAAATTCTCCTAGAAGAAAATTATCGCTCCACTGCTTCGATCCTCAATGCAAGCCTGGCTATTGTGTCGCAAGACAAATCCCGCATCAACAAACGTCTCCTCACTACCCATCCCCGCGGGTGTACTCCCGTACTACGAACACTTTCCACTGAACATGCTGAAGCTGATTTCATTGCCATCGAAATCAAGCGCCTGATTGCATCCATGGGAGGCATTCTGCGTTATGGCGATTTTGCCATTCTCTGTAAGTCGCTGCCAAGGAATCAACTCGTTACGCACGCTCATTTCACTCCTCACAGTGCGCTACAGTGCTCTTTCTCGTGCAATTGAGAGTGCGTTGCAGAAGGAAGCCATCCCAAACGTCCTCCTCGGCGGACACAAATTTTTCGAACGACAAGAGATTAAAGACATCTTATCATACCTTCAACTGGTAGACAACCCTTCTTTTGCACCAGCTGTGACCCGTGCAATTAATGTGCCGAGCCGTCAGATTGGTGAAAAGGTTCTCTCGTTTATCTTATCTTATCGGTTATCTTATCATTGCAGTCAATTGCAGAACTTGCCTCTCGTGCTGCCAAAAGGAATTCGTCCATTATGGATACTGTGGAAAGCATACACGACGCTAAATGTCCTGACATTAAGCCCGCGATTAAACAGAAAACCGCGTCGTTCGTCAAGACGATCAGAATTCTAAGGAAACTTGCGAGTGAGGTGCGCATTGGCACAACTGTTCCAATCTGGGCTCACAAAGTGCAGGGAGCAACACCTTCAGATCTCATCCGACGATTGTTGGATCTTATCAAGTACGAAGGTCACTTGAAGAAAACACAGCCGGATTGGGAGTCGCGTTGGGAGAATGTTCAAGAGCTTATTACCTTCGCTAGCGAGGTACAAACTGAAGCGGAAGATGAACTGGTGGACATTGACTTCGATGAGGAGCCTCAACCTACACAAACCCGGTAGATTTCGTTTGCTGTTAGCTTAACCTTCTCATCCTCGACTTAGCGATACGCCACTTCGTTTGTTCTTGCAAGCATCTATGTTGTCTTCAGAGGGAGATAACCAGAGTGAAGAGGACAGCAAAGAGGTGAGTATCTCATATCTACACGAGTAATTTACCTGATCCTTGTGATAGAAAGTCACCATATCAACATGCCATGCCGCCAAAGGTCTTGAGTGGCCAGTGGTCATCATTCCTGCCGTTGAGAAGGGCACTTTCCCCTTTTATCGGTCAGAGGATGTGTGCGAGGAGAGGTATGGTATCTTGGTTTCTTCTAATTAAAGCTCAACGCGGTATGTTCAAGGCGTCTGCTTTATGTCGCATGCACCAGAGCTCAGAGCATACTCTACCTCACTCATACGTCCAAGCGGAAGATTGGTGGAGTGACTAAACCGAAGGAACTATCTCAGTTCATCGCTTCAGTGGCAAAAACCGAGAAAGCACGTCTTTCGAACAATGTTCTCTCGTATTTGTTGACCCATAATCTAGGATCTTTTCACAAATCAGAGGCCTTCGCTCGAAACGGATGCTTCCGAACGCGATGTCATCTCCCGCGTCTTGGGAAGACCGCTGGCTGCCCAAATTGAAGTGACTCGTCGGATGGAAGATTTGTGCGTCTCCATTTTGGACGATGCTTCCGTCACTAACTAGCTGTCCCTCAGTCGGAGAACAACCCCTTATCTTGAAGAATACGATGCGTTGCCACAACCACAAGCTGCATGGCATCCGGGGCTGGTTACACCGGCCTCGGTGTCCTTTGCTTCCCCGCGAGTCGCGTTTGGCGCGAACTTCTCAACGAACCTGGCTACAAATCCATCCATCAGGCTTTCAGAAGGCACAGCAATCCTCCATCCACTACTGTCAAACCCAGCAATAGTAACAGTGTCGCATCCTAGCTCGCCGGTGAATTCCTCGTCTGGTAAACGCGCTACTGTCAGAGCCGTGCAACCACCTTCGTCCGATCCTGCCCTGGCTCCACCGACATCGGCATACGTCTCTTCCCCGCGAATCGCGTTTGGCCCAAATTTCTCGATGAACGTGGCCATAAAACCATCGATAAGACCCCCAATTCTTAAGGAAGGCATCCCTCATCCGCCATTGTCGAAATCCACAACAGTCTCGCATTCTGATTCGCCGACAGCCCCTTCGCTCCATGCAAGCAATATGCTTGCTGCTACTGCTGTGATCCCACTACCTTTGTCCAACCCTGTCGCCGGCGTCAAGAGACGGCTTGGTATGGGAAGAGGTGGAACGACGGGGTTCCCTAATAAGAAGTTTAAGGTTCCAACGCTGATGCAGCCACCATAATTTCACGTGCTATATTATATAGCTTCACTCTTGCACGGTTCTTACTGTATGATAATAATTGACGAGATTCGCAAAATTTGGGTTTGAATCAGTTTCTAGTCTACAGGAAGATGTTCCAACTCCAATCCAGCTGTTGGCAAAAATCCTAGGCCACATTAAAATTTCCTCTCTTGGAGCATCGGACAGAATTCAACCCAAATAAAGCAGTTTGCAGTGCCAATGCTCCACTGTTGCTCCAGTTAAGCGACCCTCCGAGCTCAGAGCGTGTGTGACGTCAGACGAGTAGAAATTTTGGAGTGGCCTAGGATTTTGCCAACAGCTGTCAAGAACGCGAAGTTCAGCTGTCCTTCAAGCTCGAGCTCCAAGCTCCAACTTATCATGGTTCACTTCGTTGGAAAATACTACGCGATCACGTGTGCTTTGAGCCATCACCCAACTGCGGATACCCGTTCAACGGAAAGGAAACGCTGATACTTATGGGGCCGGACACAGTTCAAGAACTTGTCGGGCACGACGGTCATTGCTGCGGCGCTTTATACATTCAACTTGGTGAGTCCAGCGGTAGGTCCAAACATTTTCGAAACAAGTCTGACGCTTTCCTGATATCTTCGAGTATCAGATTCATTGCAAATATAAGTACATACCTTGTGCTTGCCCTTGCTTGCCTGGACTACACAGGTTAACCGGATCGTCGCTCGGTTGAGCCAAGGTCACGGTGTTCATTGACGGATTCAATTTATGGTTCCTGAGAGAGCTGATTTTGTTCAACTTGAACTTTCAGGTATTTTTTGGCAGCGGTAGTGCCGGTAGTCGGGATCACAAGACCGCATAAGCGGAAGATCGGAAGATGTGCCTGGTATTATCACTTTGATGCACGTCAATCTTCAATAGCTTATGTAAGGTGGGACCTTCCGCACAATACCTCATCCTCAGTCTGCATCATTCCGGCGCTCCAGTGTTCAATGAACAACTATGGAACAGACTTTAACCAGCTGTCTACGTCTAGCATATACTTAGAGGAATGGAGACAGAAGCTGCGGCGGCTATCGGAGAAGCATGACGAGGCTAATTTGTTGGGCTCAGTAACCACGGCCGCCAGAGATCTCCGATATTGCGAAAATTCCCAGCCAAAATTCCGCATCCTGCGACTCTAGAACAACAAAAATAAATTTGCAACGCGTAACACCGCTCATGAAAAGTCTTGTGAAGTTCATACACGACAGGCGTCAACAGCAACTGGCTGTGGGTATTGGGCATGTGCTCGCAACCTACTCGATCAGTCGTCAGCCAGGGTGAAACGGAGATTGCAAACGGGGGCCCGTCCGAAGGTCCAAGCTCAACAACTTGAACCTGAAAGACAAGGAAGAAAAGGGCTCCCGTCTTCTACCCCGCCCCCGGAATCCGCCCCACATTTTTACATTCAACTTCTCCAAGCCGGGTGAGGAGGACTATACCGGAAGATAATCACAAGCAAGGGACCTTCCTGGTTTAGCCAATTAGTGCGAATCTCTTCACCCAGGTGTCATGACAGTGTGTGGAGTTTGATCTACCCCACATATCGGCAATCAGGTGATGACCTGGTCCACATGGTTCGCAACCTCCAAAGAGGAATGAGATTTTTCGGATGATGCAACCTCAAGCCATCTCTTGCTCCCGACCACCATGAGCGGTTACGAGCCTCGCTTTGCTGCTTCGGCGGCCAGCGTTGGGTCAAACACTGGGCTTCGAGGTGCGCCTTGTCATTCTACTCTTGCCTTCGTCTCTTGACGCGTTGTTGCTAGGCCACGCTCAAGCTCCAGCTGGCTCTCATTTTTCCGAAGGTCCTGCTAGCACTGGCAATGCCTCGCCAACACAAGGCGCGTCTGCACCCCCTGCTCAGCCTAAACAACCGTTCTACAAGGTATGTCCACAATCGTATTGCCGATACCTCTGAAGAACTAACGACACACAGACGAGGCGTTTTATAATTTCTCAACTAATTATTGTGCATCCTCTCTCTGTCTCTCTTTCGGACTAATGTCCTCGGTCAGATACCTCTTGGGATCGTGATTCTTTTCGTTCTACTTTTCCCCGTGGTCAAGGCTGTCGCTCAGCTCGTCGTAAATCGGGCTACTCTAGATATTCAGGTAGCAGCAATCACGGCTCCCACCAACAATTCGTGCGTGGAACACGCACTGTTTAGAGGTCATTGCGCTGAACATCTTGATAGTTTTATGCTGGCTATGCAAGGCAATGTCGCCCACACTGGCTTCATACCGGCGTCGATCAATTTCCAAGAGCCAGTCGACGTTACGTGGATCAGAGATGATGGCTCTCAAATTCCAATGGGACAACTTTCGCTCGATTCTCTTCACGCACGCAATAAACGCGCGAATATAAACCAAACAGCGACGCCGTTCACGATAGTCAACGAGACGGCGTTCAGTCTTTTCTCGGCCCATTTAATTACTGATCAAAACTTTACCTGGCGACTGGAGAGTTCCAACCTTCGCGTTCAGGCTGCGAAGTTCCCTGTCTCGAAGGGTTTGTTGGCCCACACAAGACAATGCTCATGCTTACCAAAACTTCAGGCATCAAATTCAAGAAGGACATTACGATGAAAGGTTCCGGTTTCCCGCAGTCCTGGGATCATTCTCACCAGCTTCTCTCGCAGGTTTCAACAGCTTCTCTGGAAACGTCGCCATCCAGGAATTCCAACTTCCCAGCGACAACCCTGCGGGTGGTATCGATTTTGTGGCAGTCACTGCGTTGAGCAATCCGAGGCGAGTGTCGCATTCATTAAATGCTATTCCCTGACTTCGCACACAGTGCATTCAACCTCAACCTTGGCACAACTATTTTTGCGTTGAGCTATAAAAATGTTTCTCTCGGTCTGGGCACAAGCACTAATACCGTAATCGTGCGTCAGACCTGACCCTCTTCTCTGGATCATGGAACGATGATTCTCTGTAGGCTCCTGGGAACAACACGATCACGCTGAGGGGTGTGCTCGAAAAACACACTGACCCAAATGAGATAGCAGTTATCTCGGAGTTGTTCACCAATTACCTCAATAGCAAAGTGACACCTGTCCTTGCAACTGGCGTCTCCACGTTACAAGCAGATGGATCCGCCATCTCGTGGCTCAGTGCGGGTCTCAAAGCACTCAACTTGAATGTCCCTCTCGTCCCGCCAACTCCGATCAACCCCATCAACGCCATCTCGATCGGTAATTTCGACCTTGCCTTCTCCCAAGACAAGCCATGGAGTCCTTCGGCCACGAGCAACACCGTGACCGCTGCGTTGGGTTTGTTATCGTCTAGCATGTTACGATGAAATGGCTTATTCGTTGAATAGGATTGCCCTTCGGTTTCAGCGTTTCGATTGGGCAAATCCAGAATACGTTCGACATCAAGATGATGGATGACCGCACTGTGGCTGGTTTATCTACACCGCTGGGAGCGTCGACCTCGAAGATCGCTGTTTACGGGCCAACCAACATCACTGGCCAGGTCGACATCAGCATCAACAACACAAATTTGAACTCCGCAGACGTCGACCACCCCACGTTCGCGGCTTTCAACAAAGACTTGACGAACAAGGATGTTGCGCCTTTCCGTCTCGTTGGCCATTCCCGTGCCGTTGCTACGCTGGCCCTTGGGACTATCACTTTGGATCCTATCAACGTGAATGTGACAACTTCCCTGAAAGGTCTTCAAGGCCTCAAAGGGATGGTGACCATTGGATCAGTCGACGTACAAGGCGGAACTACTGATGGAATAACCCTTGGAATCCAAGGTTTTTATCTGTCGAATTTATTGATGGGTTTCTTCTTATTCTCTCCTACAGTATCTATCAACAATCCGTCCAACTTAAAGCTCGCCATTGGCGATCTGAGTGCGTCTGCTTATGGTATCTAAACTATTTACTGATTAAAATAGCCCTGAACCTTTTGCGGGACGGTGCCAACATTGGTACAGCTGTTATTCCCAACTTGACTTTGAATATGGGAGTGAACAACGTTACTTCGAAATCAACATTCAAGGTTTGCACCACAACCTGATTGCCCATCCTCCTGTGTAACGAGTTCTAGGCCAATGCGAGCCCCCAAGGCCTTCAAACGCTCAACGATTTCGTCGGCGGCAAGGATGTGCAACTTAGCATTGCCGGATTCGACCAATCCACCAAGGTTGCTTCGTTGGCGGATGCGTTAGGATCAATCGACGTATCTGCTAACCTTCCAGCTCTCAAGACGAAACTGTTGGATACCGCGGCCCTGGAAATTTTGACGAGCACCGGACGCTCGAGTAACATCAGCCATGTTACTGTCTCCCTTGCCAACCCATTCACGACCCCGTTGCAAATTACAAGCATCAAGTCAACCGTCTCTGCATTTGGAATCAACCTCGGCACAATCGATTCCAAAACTGGCTTTGCCAGCCCGGGCAAAGCGACGACAAAATCGCCGCCCTTGGAGCTCAATATGAACGTCGAGCCTTCCACATTGTTCTCGCTCACTCGGCGTCTTGCTCTCGAAGCGGGTTTAAATGTCGACCCTCTGGATCAGATTGTCCAAATTGGCGGTATCTCGTACCTTCCCGCTGCCGCCACAGGCTCGTCCCCAATCCGCCGTCATTTCAGTCGTGACACCAACGTCTTTACGTATGTTCCTTATTACGACCGTTGATTGTTGTTGATATCGTTCAGTGGCTTCAATCTGCCTAATTTCGTCCAAGCGGCCTTCAAGAAACTTCAATCGGATGTTGAGCTGACTGCGGGTGTTAACATTGGAGACTATGCTACCTCGTTGACTTACAGTCAAACGGGACTCCCGACCAACACAGATGATACCCTCAACCTTATCCTTCCGGTTCTCGCGCAGCCTATCGTACAGAAGCTAGTCGGAGGTTCTAAACTTGGGTGAGTAATGACGCAGTTGAAGCGTCTCCTCCTCACCTCTTATCAGTCTCGACACAATCTTGATCAAAAATCCTGCTCAAGAAGCGTTCAGTATGGATCCTACCACTCTTGTGGGTCCCATTGACTAATGTTCTGGTAGCTGCCCAGTTGAAAGGAGCAATCACGAACGCTGGTCCTTGTGCGCGACCCGGTTCATGCATTGACATGGGCTAAATTGTTTTCTAGTTGACGCTTCGATTGCTTTCGCAGGGCAAGGCCTGACCGTCAATTGGAATGGTGGTGCGATTGGTCACATCAAGATGGACCCTCTCAAAGTTGTGGCTGACGCTGGCGCGACCTTGGATACCTCGTCGACCTTCTCTGTCGCAGATGCCGGTCGTCTCACGGACTTCACCAAGGCTTTATTGACACAGGAGAGCTTCGACTGGCAAATTAGTGGTGATAACCTCACAGGTACAACTCACCTCTTCATGCGGTGACATAATATCTCATTTTCATCAGTTTCAGCCCTCGGCATCGACGTGACATCCATTTCTGCTGCCTACAGCGTGTCACTCAAAGGTTCTTTCTTCTCAACGTTGACGATATGCATTCTGAAGTTAGATAGGCTTCAACGGTTTGAAGGGTGGCGTAGTCATCAAGACCTTCGACCTGCCGTCAGACGATCCAGCGGGCGGAATTCATCTTACCCTTGATGCAACTGCAGCCAACCCATCTCAAGTTGGCATAGAGCTCTCCTCTCTCAGCTTCGACACATTCGCCAGCGATACAAAGATTGCCTCTGTCTCGACTGGGTCTGTTACGCTTGCACCGGGAGCTACCTCGCAACTGGCTCTCACTGGTCGCCTCCTCCCACAATCATCTGCCGAAGGACTCGCAGTGGTCTCCGATGTGTTCAACAGATTTGTTCAAGGGCAAAATAGTGATGTCGTTGTTCACGGTGTTGGTGCTGGGTCGAGCAGTGTGAGTGATGTTGAAAGGTTGTCCATTTTTGTTGTCTTATGTTTGCCAGGTCACGTGGCTAAATGACGGTATCAAAGCTCTTCAGGTCGCCACCGTTCTCCCGAACCAAGGCAAATTGACCGTCATCAAGTCGATCTCGCTCAACCAGCTAACGCTCGCCTTCACCGAGAGCACCGCTTACGGACCATTGGCATCAACATCGAATACTGAGGCTGCATTCACGCTTCCCTTCGCCTTCCCAATCGATATCACATCGTTACAACAAACTATTCACGTTGGGTACCAGGGTAACGATATAGCACAGCTGGCTATTCCTCAAGCCCCTGCGAAGACGGATGTGGGTTCCCGAATCATTCACCTCACCTTCGAAGAGTACGTATAACAATCACCTGGCCTCAACTCTACCTAAATTTTCATAGTGTTGCTTTCGCCGCAGCTGATGGGATGCACTCGCAATTTGATGGCTTCGTTGCGGATACCACTGTCGGAAATCAGGTTACCCTCAAGCTGTCTGGCTCTGCTGCCGCAGACGCAAGGACTGCTGTCGGTGTCCTTGCTCTGAAAGGCATCGACTTTTCTGTGGATTCAACAATCGCTGGCCTTCAAGGTCTCAACGCGAGACCCATCACTGTTGCCAATCTTGATGTCAAACACGGCTTCTCAGACTATCTGCTCATTACGGTTGATTCTGCGCTGTTCAACCCTAGGTTCGTTGTTGCTCTTGGTGACCTTCGATCTAATTATTTCTAAGCAACTTAACGATTGGCACTGGCGACGTTTCTTTCAATCTTCAGTTCCAGGATCAAACCATTGGCAGCGCTGACCTTGTCAGTCCTTGCTTCCGGTGCCGCGTTCTCAGCTGATGGTTCTTTGCAGGCCAAACTCGTGATTACACCTGGAAACCGCAGCTACCCTATCGAAGTGCACTACGCTCCCCAAGGGTCGAGCGCTTTGACTGCTGGAAAGGCTCTGCTTCAGAACTATATCCAAGGTGTCAACTCTGATACTGCCATTGGGGGCTCAACCAGCTCGACGCCTATCCAATCACTAAAACAAGCGTTGTCCAAAATCCATCTCTCACCCGTCACCATTCCTGCGCTTCACCAAAACTTGATTCGGTCCGCTTCGATCAAGTTCCCGACTAATATCGTCCAAACCGGCATTGCCCAAGCTACATTCATTTTGGATAATCCATTCACTGCCAGCATTAACTTGCTCAAGGTCAACACCGTAGCAACTTTCCACGGTGTGCCCTTGGGAACTATCGACGCAGATGTGTCCGCCAACCCGATTCATGCGGACGGACACGGGTCTGTGACATCGTCCCCATTACCGCTGAAATTCAACCTAAACCCACTCGCTATCATTGGGTTGCTTACCACGCTTGCGCAAGAAAACAACGTCAATCTCGGACCACTGATCCCTCTCTTCCAATACGTTGTCAGCAACCCTGATATCAAGACAACTGTCACAACAGCCGTCGACCTCACTCCGTCGACCTGCGTCAGCGGACAACAGTTCGATTTCGCTGCGGCCATTCTGACCGACCTGAAGAACTTGAAAGCGGATCTCGCCGTCCAGTCTGGGTTGAAGCTCGACGATTATGCCACCGACCTCTCCTTCTCGCAGAAAACCGTCCCTATCCAGGTTCGTTTCAGCTGGTTTTGAATGAGATTGACGGTGATCAACTAACTCTCTCTTAGACTGACATGACTGCTCTGTTCCTCATCGGTGCGGTAGCTGCCCCAGTCGCCCAGCATTTGGTCGATGGTGCCAATTTGGCGTTCTCACAAGCTAACATCACGTAAGCAATCATGTGCTTTATTTTGAGCATAAATAAACACAACTTTAGCAATATCTCGGACGAAGGGTTCGATTTGTCGCTTCAAGGTTCCATCACCAACATCGGCCCTCTTGACGCCACTATTACCTTTGTGGATCCCTTAACGTGTGTTGCTTTCTGATATCCATTTAGCGATGTTGACCTGTTTGCAGCGTTACTTGGGAAGGTCAAAACATCGCTCAGATCGCCTTACCCCCTGGTATGCTCACATCCGTCTCGATTCAATATTTATTCATCAAATTGTAGTGTGTGTGGCTGCCAACACTGGTCTCCCCAACTATTCCACTAAGGCGCGATTGACTATTACGAACTCCGGTGCATTCACCGAGTTCGCAACCAAGATTCTGCACGATGCAGAATTCACGTGGACGGTCACGACTCCTAAACTCCGTCTTCAGGCTTTGGGAACCATCTTTGATAATGTGCAACTCACCAAAGATCTGAAGTTCAAAGCTTTCAACAACCTTCCTGGCGTTACGATCAGCAACTTCCAGCTGCCTTCTGATGACCCCGCCGGCGGAATCCATATCGAAACTGACTCTTTGATTCCTTCGACAGCTCGTAAGTTCCTTCCATATCCGCCGTTCCACTTGCTGACCGACAACAAAGAACTTGGTCTGGATCTTGGCACCGTCACTTTCTCCAGCTCGTTCCAAGGAGTCGAAATCGGCCGTAAGTCAACAAGGCTTAAAGTGACACAAGTCCTTAACATCTCTGTAGCTCTCGCCGCCAGCAATCTATTCCTTGCCCCCACTGCGACCACCAAGACTCATCTCACTGGCCGTATCACGCCGAAGAGCGGCTCTGACTTGGACACGATTGGCGTTTTATTCAGCAACTACCTTGCTGGCAAGAATCAAACGTTGGCAGTCAGTGGCCAGTCGGTGCAGCCGGTATGAATACTAGTTCTATCGCGTTCGTGTTACTCACAGGATGGGTATAGAGTGGATCCTCTGGCCCCGTAGCATGGTTGAGCGCTGCCTTCAAGACTCTCACTCTCGATGTTACTCTTCCCGGGCAGACCTTCACAGTTATCAACGCTATCACAATCAACCAGATTGCGTTAACTATGGTCAACCAGGACCAGGCCTCCGCAGCATTGTCTTCTTCGGACAATACGTTGGCCAAGTACAAGAATCCATTCGGCTTCTCATTGCAGGTTGTCGAAGCTGGTGAAGAACTTCTCCTGAGTGAACTTGGTCTCGACATCGCGAGGGTAGGCCCACATTGGTTCGACTCTTGCAAGACCTATTGATATATTTGATCTTTAGTTGTCACTCCCCATGGCCCCCGTGGACGCTGGTGTCTCTACTGGCAACGAGGCGGACCTTCACATCACTTTCAAGGACCAACCGTTGACTGCCGCGACCGACAGTGGATACCAACTCCTTTTGGCGGTCGCGCTTTTGACGCCTTCGACGCAATTCGTGATTTCAGGCAATGCAAACGTGTTTGCAAAGACAACAATAGGAAATGTCCCCATTTCGGGCATCCCCTTCAATGTTGATTCCACGATTGTGGGCATCAACTCGTTCAATAACAAAGCAACTTTGGCGGATGTCGCTATTACTGGCAGCGGTGGCGCAGGAGGCTCAGAATTCATTGTCGTGCCTCTCACTACTACACTCCAGAATCCCTCGAACATTTCTCTGAAGACCGTGGACATCTCATTGCCTGTCATTTACCAGGGCGTTAGCATCGGGCGAGCAGCGATAAAGGTAAGAACTTTTGTTTACCTGAGCTACTCACTCACTCTGTCCTCCAGGAGTTGGACCTTGTTCCAGGTGAAAATAAGGTGGCGACCGAGTTCCACTACGGCCCTGCAGATGCCAACAACACTGTCGCGCAAGCCTTCGTTACCAACTTCATCCAGGGCAATGCTGTGATTCCGTTGGCAATCCAAGGTGATCTGCAAAGTACTCCATTCGCGTCGCTTGCGCCAGCGTTATCAAGTTTGGCGCTGTCTACTGGCGTGCCAGGTCTCGGTCAGGCGATCCTCATCACACATATCAATGTGTACATTACCCTGGAGTCGCTGGTGACCAACATCGTCAGCATTGACTTCGATGTGCGTGTTTTCCTTCAGCGATAACCAAGCCTGACCAGCCCGTTAGTTCCAAAATCCTCTCGATACTGAAATAACCATCAAACACATCCAAGTCGACAGTGGTCTGAACGGCATCATCTACGCGTTCGTCACGACCGACATGGACTTCACCATTCCCGCCCATGGCACTGCCAACTCTGGCAACATCGGCAATGTGTTGTTGACGCAAGGAGCGATTGCCTCGCTGGCCATCATTCCCGAGCAGAAGTTGGACCTCTTCGCGGCATCCACGGTTCAAGTTGGTAAGGGCGGTTACACGCTTCCTTGGCTCAAGATTACGGAGTCGAGCGTGCCGACTGCTTACTCCCTCCAACTTGGCTTGGCCGCGATGCAGAAGGCTGCAACAACGATAGCCGCCAGCTCGTCAGCGGCGCTCGCCAGCTCTGCAGCGGTAGTTGTGTCAAGTGCAGTCGAAGTCAAATCTCAAGATAACACTAATACCCAACCAACAAAGGCCCCTGAGGCACAGGAGCCGGCGGAGTCCAAGCCCGCGGTGGTGGCCGCATCCAATCCGGCACCCGTCTCGTCTGCTGCTTCGTAGTTGTTGTCGGCGTCGTCGCGCTCTGTGTTGTACTTTGTTGGACCATTGCACCTTTTCCCCCCACCCTGTATACCTGGCATGCATTAAAGATTACAAGTCACGTCTGTACGACTGGTTAATACGAACAAATAAACGTTCTCAAAATCAAGTTCTTTCGCAGCTACCTATATACCATCACCTCAAACATCAACAGTTGGTAGACCTTGACCTCCAGAAGGCTCGTTCCATGTCCAAGTTCGTCCCAGTTGGCCAACGTTAACAGTGGCATAAATGAAGCTGGCGAGTGTCTTAGCATGAGCGAAGAAGACAAGGGTGATAATATAATCCTTGCGACCACATTTCGGGTCCTCACTTAATAAGCAGTCCTCAGCCACGCCCGCTTTGAAGACAAGTCAGTAAGCGGCGCAATAGACGGGTGGGAACACACTGAGGTATAGGACATAGAGCAGACCCAACAGGAGCGGGCGGTATCGTCGATCTGCGGCAGTCGATGGGAATTTGGCTATAAAAAAGCGCTCTTCCCTGCAGCCGCCCAGGAGACAACCAAGGTGGGGAAAGCAGCCAGGCCAAACAGTAGGATCCAATGTGCGATGATGGCCAGCTTTGAAAGCATTGCTGGTTCATGTCTAACCTCGGAAGTAAGTGTAGACATAGCAATTGTAGACAGGAGCTATGAACAGAGCAGCAAGTATCAAGTCTGATGATGAGGCTTAGAACCTAGGTATTGGGGCATAGTATGAAGCACATGCGTGAATAAATGAGTCTGCGACTAGTCGAACGTGATTTTCTTGCCTTCGGGAGCAGCGATTGCGCCAGTGCGAGCACCGCCACCTCTCCCTCTCCCACGATCACCACCCCTTCCCCTTCCGCCGCCTCGACCGCCCCTGTCAAATCCACCCCGACCCCGTCCACCACCACGATCGCCTCCAAATCCTCCACGGCCACCGCCACGCCCGCCAAATCCACCACGCCCGCCTCTACCACCACGGTCACCGCCAAACCCACCACCGCCAAATCCACCCCGACCACCTCTGCCGCCACCACCATTCGCATCACGTGGTTGCGAATAGTCAAGTCTGATAGGCCGCCCATCGAGCTCCTGCCCACTAGCAGACTCGTACGCCTTCTTAGCGCTCTCCAGGTCCTCGAACTCGACATAGCCAAAGCCTTTTGGCTTGCCCGAGTCACGGTCGGTCGGTAACCGCACGCTCTTGACATTTCCACCGTGTTCGCTGAAGAAGCTCCAGACCATGTCCTCGTCAGCATTGAAGCTAAGGCTGCCAACAAACAAAGTCGTGCTCGGCTCGCTCGCGGTATCGTTGAACGCCTTGGCTCGGTTTTCCCGAGCCTGGGTTTTGTCAGCCGGGCGACCGTAATCGATGTTGACTGGCCGCCCATCGATCTCCGTACCATTCATCTCTATCGCTTTGGCCACAGCTTCGGTGGTCGTGAAGTGCACGTGACCGAATCCACGAGATTTGCCCGTGTTGCGGTCCATCGCAACAACAGCAGAGACGACTTCACCGCAAGAAGCGAATTCTTGGGCCAGGCGGTCGTTGTCGACGTTCCATGATAGTCTGCCAACGAAAATGGATTTTATCTCTTCTTCGCCATCACCGCCAGTGGGAGCGGCAGTCCCATTCGCCAGCTTGACTTTTTTGGTGGGGGCAGCATCACCATCTGGGGCTTTGCGTTTGCCTAGAACAAGTTAGATACGCGTTCTGCAGTGTAGTGAGTACACATACCATTTGTCGTGACGGGAGCAGCGGCCGCGTCAGGCATTTCCTCGTCCGAATCAGAATCATCCGAATCGTCAGAGTCCGAGTCGGAGTCCGACTCTTTTTTGGCCGCAGCCTTGCCATTCGGGGCGGCCTTGCCATTCACTGCGGCAGTTGCCTTTTTAGCCGGGGCCTCGTCTTCTGAATCTGAATCGGAGTCGTCAGAGGAGTCGGCAGCGGCTTTGGGCTTGGAAGCGTCCGCCATTTTGACATCGTCACCGTCATCATCACTCGAGTCGTCTTCAGAGGAAGAGGTATCTGGCTTTGGGGGTGCGGCTTTTGGAGTGGATTTTGTGGGAGCAGATTTTGTTGCAGCAGATTTCGTGGGGGCAGACTTGGTGGGGGCAGATTTTGTCGGTGCAGGTTTAGAGTCACTGTCAGATTCATCTGAAGACTCGGAAGAGTCGGACGAATCGTCTTTTGGTGGAGCGACGACTTTTTTTAGGCGAAGGGGCAGCTTTCTTGGGTGCCTCTTCTTCGCTGTCGCTGTCTGACGAGTCGGAGTCAGCGGCAGCCTTGGCCTTGGTGGCCTTCTTGATTTGGGCAGCCTTGGGCTTTTCCTCCTCGTCAGAGGATTCGTCAGAGGACGACTCTGGCTACGTTTCTTTCAGTTCGTTTCACACATAAAAGTTGCTCGATGAACACAAACCTCCTTCGGTGCGGGCTTCTTGGGCTTCTCCTTCTAGTGACCGGTTGAGATTCCTGGTAGAAAAAAAAAAGCTGAACATACAGGTTTCGCCACAGGCTTGGGTGGGCTCGCAGCAGGCTTTTCAGCCTTCTTTGCCGGCTTGGCAGCCTTCTTGTCCACCTTCTTGTCGGCCTTCTTATCGGCCTTCTTGGACGCCTTGTCGACCTTGGGCGCTGACTTGTCCTTCGCCATGAGTTGAGAGAGCAGAAGAAAAAAATTGCCGAGGGATGTCACAGCCGTGACTATCAAACATTACCCACGCTGATTATGAACGGCGATGAAGGGGTCTTCGATATCGTCGTGGTCGGCACCGGGCTGACCGAGTCTATTACTGCTGCGTGAGCGACGCCAGTGTCCCCGGCAATCGTCTAAACAAAAGCCTCAGCGCACTTGCCAAGGCCGGCTTCAAGGTAGCACATCTTGACGAAAACCCCCATTACGGGGCATCCGAAGCCAGCCTCTCATTTGACGAGCTCGTCACCTGGCAGTCCGCCCCCCGCCCTGGCTTCTCGCACTTCTCGCGCTCTAGCGATACCATACCGCAACCGCGCGCTTATTCCTTGTCGTTGTCGCCGAGCTTGATCCCATCTACTGGCCCACTCATCGACGCCCTTGTCGCATCAGGGGTCTCTAGATATGGCGGGTTTAGACTATTAGAGCGTGTTTGTCTCTACCACCCGTCTGGCATCGCCAAGCCTGTTCCGGGAAGCAAGGAAGATGTCTTCAAGAGCAAAGAGATTTCGCTTGTCGAAAAGCGCCGTCTGATGCGCTTTCTGCAATTCGCGGCGGGAGAATTCGAGGACAAGAAGGATCTGGAGGGACATAAGGACACCCCGTTCCCGGAATATTTGCGCTCGGTGTTTTCGCTCAACGAGGAGATCACGACAGCTATCGTGTATGCTTTGGCCTATTGTCTTACCCCCAAAGGTGCCCACTACTTTCTGAAGTCATCCCTCTCTCCCTAATACTGCTTAGATGCTACGCTTCCTGCTCTTCATCGACTACGGAGATATTTACGCTCATCCGGACGTTATGGCGCCTCCCCATTCCTCATCGGGCACTACGGCAGCTCGGGTGAAATCGCACAAGGCTTCTGTCGCACTGCTGCTGTTAGCGGCGGAGTCTATATTCTCGGTCGACGCATCGAAACTATTGACTCGTCCGACCAAGAAAAACATATCATCCGCCTGGAAGAGTTTCCAGAACCAATTTCCTGTTCGCTCCTCATATCACGATCCGCTCCAGGCATTTCTCCGGTGCCTCCTTCATCCGAACCTTCATCGCCCTTCTCGGTCTCTTCACCAAGTCTTACTGTTGCAAGATGTATCGCAATCGTCGACGCGCCTATTCTGTTCAACCCGCCTGTAGAACAGTCAGAGGATACTGATTCACCTCCCCCGCCTACCCCAAGCGATACTGGCGTAATCGTGTTTCCGCCATCATCCTTGCCCGCCGGAGGGTCCGCAACCGCATCAGCGAATGCATTAATCGTCGGTGAAGGAACAATGTCTTGTCCTCGAGGAAAATGTACCCCGTTCCTTCTCTCTCTGCATCTTCTGTGCTCAAACGTTGTCAGGGCTCATTCACCTCTCTCTACCCCTCGTCGAAGACATCGACGACGCCGACCCCAGAACGTTATTGGAGCCCTACCTCAATGCAACACTAGGCTTGGCTGCGGCCCCGCTAGTGCCGTTATTCGCGACGTACTACCTGCAACATCCAACACCAAGCTCGGAGACAAACAAGACCGAAGGCATGAAACTGGCGCCAACGCCGCTTCCGCCAATCCTGCCTCTGCCGGATGCCGGGGATGCGGCTGCAGTCCATGCGCAGGACCTCTTCTGGGCTGCTGTGAAGGCAATGGGGCAGGAGAGCGAGGTTGCTGCGTTCTGGCCGCCTTCAGAAGGACAAGATGATGGAAATGACGGGGACTAGTAGGTTGCCATTGCCAGATGTATTTGTAATGTCTTGCATGAGGAGTAAATTTCGAGCTCTGATTGCCAAAAAGCGCGTCAGAAAATCGCATTCTTTCCTTTCGGATCAGACAAGGTGCGCGTTTCCGAGAAATGTCACTCTGACTTACGACTGCAGAACTCGCTTATTTCCAAATCAAGGTGAACCGGATAACTTGGGCGCCACCTATCCGCCCAAATAACGACATCTGAGCAAGAAAAGAGACAGACCCCATCCAATAAATTCTGCAGCTGGGCACAGAGAATGACAACCCACAGTTTATCGGTCCATGGCCCCCATCGATGATTCCCAACCCTCTCCCGACCCACCTCCGGCTTACATTCACGACCTGGGGTCCTCTAGCACGACTTCTAGTGACGGAAAAATCATACTGAGCCCGCCCACCGACCCCGAGGCCGCGCAGTCTTCTTCTTCGTATATCCCGCCCTCGGAAACCGATTCGCAGTCTGAAGTAGACTGGCAAGCCAAACTCGACACGCTCGAAAAGCGGATTGAGAAATACAACAAGAAACGGCGGAGGAGCGACGAGAAGGCCATTCTTGCGGCGATGCACGATCTTGCCAGCAGTCACCCCGACCCGCAGGTGAAGGAGTACTGGGCGCGGCGGGCGGACGAGTTTGAGCGGGCACCAGAGGCAGACAAGATGGCGGTGATGAAGGACGTTGCCCGGGCGATTGGCATTCTGGTTGCGGCGCCATTTTCTATTGCAGGAGTGATCCTCGTCGGGACGGGAAGGCTCCTTGAGGTTTCCGGGGAGTGGATCAGCCGTGGAGGGATCCCCAAGAGAAAAGCGAAAGCCACATTTTCGTTTTGACACGAGTTACTCTATTGTACCAGCACGCTTGAAGTCATGACGCACCCCCATTCCGGATGCTTCCAGCCACTCTCAACCATTAGCGACTGCTGAGCGGCCAAACACCTAACGCAGAAGAACTGGGAAGACTACGGTAGGCGAGATCGATTTGGTTCGTTTTCAATTTTGAATTTTGAATTCCGAAGGCAGGGAATGACAGATGGATGGCGGATGTTCAAACCTGAGAGCGGCCACTTATTTAATATTATTTCTCTCAAGTCTTATATGTTAGGAAGTACTAGATTTGTGTGTCTACGGGTTGAGGTGCAAGGGAAATACATGCCAAGTGATACTTTTACTCCATTTCTGGCCACATATCTGGTCCTAGTCTCTCAATCTCTAATGACATCTGTGAGAATACGTCCCAGCTACTTGCTAAGGTGAGGTCGGGCCTCCCAAGTGACTCGTACACCGTTTGTGCAAACTGCTCAAACTCAGGTGACACCCAGCGCAAGTGTTGCTCTCGTGGTCCAACCTCATCTGATAATGCAGCGCGAAGGTCTTCTACTGTTGCGACCGGTACCTTGATGAAGCAATTGATACCTCCAAACAGCTGAGGGTGTTCTGCAGCATCTGAAGGAACGTGGCCTGAAGGCATGATTTTGTCTGCCTGGTAGCGAATCTTGTGTGAATTCCAATAGCTACGAAAGTCATCAAGTTCGGCTTGAACCAGAGAAGGGAAGATCCAGTTAAAGAGATGGCTGTGGAATTCTTAGCCAAAATCATAATGGAAGGAATGAGCGGAACAGACCGATGGTAAACAGTTATCTCGCTGAAGATATGTTCTACCTTACCACGTAGAATATGTTCACGGATGGTAAGTCCTCGCTTTACCTTTAGCCATCGCCAGAACGCTTCAATGACAGTATTGTGGACGCTCTTGACACAAATGTGTGCAGGATAGACGTCAGGATCAATGTTCGGTGCAAAGATCTCACTGGCGACGAATTTTAGCTTAGCTACAAGTCAAATGATGATGATAAATGAACTCACCGTAGACAATCCTGCATTGCTAGCATCCATCCTATCTCTGAACCTTTATCAACGGTCATCTGTAAGCCAGTTCCTAGTGTGTTTATCTGAGTATCTCCATTCAATACAAAGAAAAAATGAAGACATACCACTGGTCTCGGCCACAAAATCAAGATATAGGTGACCAATGGCTGCATTCGTACGGTCATTTGGGACAACATTGATTTTGAGCAGCTTTGCTGTCCACTTGTCCTTGAACGCATAGATTGGTAAGCCTATACCGCCCATCTGTAATGCTTGTGCTCCCAGTTTCTCGTGCCCGTCAGAACAAATCTCATGGAAGGGGCCCAGTGCTGACAACGGTGTTCGATGTATTTGAGTTTTTTTTGCGGCCAGGATAGCGCTGTTCAGCTCCAAGCGGTTGCTCCCGCCGAACAATTGCCCTGATCTCATCGCTGTTGCGACCATTAGAAATGATATGTAAACCCGTTACACACTCTTTTACCTCTCTATGTCACAGTAGTTACTTCTTCCTCCTGTACCCTCAGCATCTCCAGAATATAGCATAGTCTCATTGACTTGGCTGCTGGTCCCCTCAGTGTTTCCCAATTGGCCATTGGGTTTCCATGATATCCCACGAGGAACATGCACGTACCGCGGGACCAATATCAACTTGTTCTGCAACTGCATCTTGACATAGTTTGGTCCATTGTTTTGCGCAAGATCTTTCTCGAGCTCATCTATCACAGCTTGTGCAGCCACTTCTGCTGCTACTCGCCGAGATCCTTTGACAGAAGGAATTCCTAGTCTTCGTTCAAGTTTATTGAGGACGGCAATACTATACCAGACAAGCAAACACATCAGACAACCACTTTTTATTCCAGGCTCCAGGTTCAGCATACCTGATCTTGAGTTGGTGGTCTTCAATCAACCGCTCAAGTTTTTGCTGCTGGGTATGACCCCGCTTCACGTACTTCAGCAGTGTCTCCCGCAACTGGTCGTCTGGTGGATCTAAAGAGTGCTAATGAGGTACAGTATTCCAATGGACATAATAAAAACTCACAAACTTTCACACTTGAGCCATTCACTCCTTTTGGATTCGGCATGAGGGTCAAGTTGAATGTGACAAACGCACATGTCACTATACTAATTCTCGTTCCACTCTCTCTCATGGCGGAGAATAATACAACAGAGTGTGAGGACTGTGGAGTTGTGTTTCTGAACCGTGAAGGTACTGGCAACTGCGCCAAATGCACAAAGCTCGAGGGCCTTGACCGTGACTCCGACAAGTATAAGGATATCTCGGTAATGTTGCCAAGGTAGTGCTTCAAGCTTTTCCAAGAATCACCAGTATTCGAGGGCAGAAAGCCAGCAGGAGCGACATAGTTTGTTGATGGTGGAAGAACATTGCAACTCTTGGGAAGAGGAGACTTGTTTTCTATAGGCACCTTGCCAGATTTGGCCTTACGAGACCCAATATTAGCTTCGTCTTGGGTCCGTTTGCGTTTATTCTATTTTAGCGTTGAATTCACCCCAAATAATAAGTTATAAAATCACCTTAGGCATGGAATCTTTCTATCTGTGTACAGCAAATAGATTTAGAGGACAGACTGGACCAAAAAATTAGCTGGACCATAATTTTTGTACTTGAATAAGGCTTACCGGAGGCCAAAACCAATGTTATTCCTTATTAAAGGAGAAGAAAGACACCTCAGACCAACGGTAACACCCGCTATGTGGTCTGATTCAACCCTAACACGGGCGCCAGTCAGGATTGACTGGAGGGTGGGGGGGGAGGCAAGGAAAATTTTGCGTCATGTCATTACATCAATCATAACATCAATCATCAATTTCCCATCACCAATCCGCCATCCATCTGTCATTCCCTGTCCTCGGCGAATTCAGAATTCAAAATTCCAAATTGAAAACGAACCAAATCGATCTCGCCTACCGTAGGAAGACGGTTTTCTTTTTGAATTGCTGAAGCGGTTGTAGCATAATAGATGATAAGTCGAGGCTTGGGATGAGGACAAAATGCTTTTTTGGGGGTGAAAGTGTACAGGAGAGACGACGGAGAATGTTGTACACGATTTTGATACTGTAAAAATGTCTATGGCTGGCAAGAACACCGACTCGTTGGTCGACCATTTAATTGGGTCTGGAAAGCTCTCCCCACTGCCCTCTGAATCAGGCTCAAATCCTCGAGCTCCGTCAACGACAACAGTAGGCCCCGGGAAGCTCCACCAAAGGGTGGTCCGAAAATTTGGGTATTTGAGGCCCCAAAATGACGATTTCCTTGTCCAAAATATGGGTATTTGAGACCCAAAGTCCGCCAGCCTTGTCCGAAATTTGGGTATTTGTGGGCTTGGAAGGCAACAGTTGCCGCCAAGTTGCCGTTAATTATTGGATTGTGTGTCACTGTCAAGTCACCATTGGCCTTGCTGTGTTTTTTACTGCGAAACTGCCATTGATGACGTTGTTTATGCTCGCTCAAAACGGTCAAACTTGCCTTTTTTGGAACAGTCACGTCCATCAAAATATGTGACATGTCACGACCCTTGTCCAAAACTGGGTATTTTAGGCCGAAGAAAATGGGTATTTGAGGCCCAAATCTAGAATTTTTTCGGACCACCCTTTGGTGAAGCTTCCCGGGGCCTACAACAGTGGCATAACAGTAGCTGACGAGTGTCATATGATGAACGAAGATGACGCTCGTGATGACTTCAAGATAATGCTCCTGGCACCATCCCGGACCCTCTCGCGAGCAGTCCTCGGCAATACCCACTTTGAAGACAATCAATGAGCAGTGAAACTTGGAGAGACGGGGGAGAACTCACCAAGATACAGAACATATAGCAGGATGAGTAAGAGTGGGGAGAACCGTCGACGTCCGTCTGCAGTGATTGACGGAAGTATGGCCAGGTAGAGGAGCACAGCGCTCTTCCCCACAGTTGCCCAAGAGAGGACAAAGTTCGGAAAAGCAGCTAGGCCAAGAAGCAAGAAAAGATGTGCGAGAATGACTTGTCCCAAATTTAATATTCCCTAGATCTACCTGGATCTATGTAGATCTAGCTTGATCAGGCAATCAGCCTGATAGGTTACTTACATTTGACGGAAAGGTCTAATCAGACTCTGACCAGCGACTGATCAGGACCATCAGCCTGATGGACCTGACAAGGCTAGATGGCCTTATTGGGCCTGACCAGGGTCGGCTGAAGAAATATTTAAAACATTATCCTCTTTCTACCTACCCTCTTATAGTGCCATTATACTATGACTTGGAAGTTACTTCAGTATTATCACCCCAAGGGATTGAACAGGCAATTCCAGAAGTCCAAGTCCGAGGTCATCCGGCTGAGCCAAGCATGCATATAATATCAGGGAGTTCAATCGGACTATAGGCCACCTTGCAACTTTTTTTCCCTCAACACCTAGAGGTATGATTCTTTTTATTATGAGGAGTACTACTGCTAGCTTATCTATTGCACCCAAAATTATGTTATTTGTGCATGTCCTCATGATACAATTAACTCTGCATTTTCTATTACTTTAGTATAATTACATAACTTGAGTAATATCAGGAATAGCACTATAGTGTGCAGAAATAATATACACCCCCTCACTGTCCAGTATCTTATGCTTATATATGACTTGAAATATATTATACTTTTCTAGCAGGATCAGGCCTATCAAGCTGCTGCTGCTGGATCAGGCTCTGATCAGTTGCAGATCAGGCTGCAGATCATGCACTGATCTGAGCCTGACTGGTCTTGACCCTGCCTAACATACCTGATATACTACTGATCAGATACTGATCAGGCCCAATCAAGCAGTCAGGCCTGATCAAGAAAAAAATAAATTTGTGACACTGGCTTTGAATGTGGTAATTTAAACATTGTCGGTTCACCGTCCAAGAATTCAAGCGCTTTATAAGACCGGGTCCAGATAGGAGTGGCGATCCATTTTAGGATGCCAGAGAAACGTTTGACGGCCGATCGGAGGTTCTGTCCGAGACTCCGAGGTTGTTGATCACCGTTCTCCTTCAGCGCAAGCTTCAGCCCTCAGTGTTTTCGACCAAGTGCAGATCGTACACTGAACCTGCCGCACGCTCTTACTCATGGGCCACGATATTTACTTCAGACTATGGGAAGAATTTTGGCCCAAACCGGTCCCCAGCCAAGTACAAGAAGGCGAACCCCTTTCAACACAGACGACCCATCCTGAGCCTCCTGCCCTCGCTCGATACATCAAAAGTATGACCCCCGAAGACTGGCTCTTGAAATTTACGAAAATCCATGCGGCTGCCAGTGACGAGAGTAAGAGCGATGAAGGAGCAGTCGGCGAAACGCAGCCCAACACTCCCCAACATGAAGAACTAGACGAGATCGCGGAGAAGAGCATTCGTTATCTTGACCTCACCCCAAACCTTCAATCCATCCTCAAGCCGCTGGACGCTTCACTTTATAGCTTGAAACCGGATGGCCCAGACGCAATTCACCCGGCTTTTATCATCCGTGAAGACTATATACGGTTCTACCAGCATGCGCTCCGGTGCATAGAGAGGCAAGGCCGCGGAACCTTCGTCCTCACCGGCCAGCCAGGCATCGGCAAAACCTACAGCTCCCACTATCTCGTCCTTCTCTTACTCGCCCTCCGCGAACCCTTCTTCCTCATCAGAGACCACAACAACTTCCACTACTTCTCAGACGCCGGTGTCCAGCGATGCAGCATCGACGATATGGATGACCACTTTGAGACATTGACATCCAGTTGGGTCATCATCGATGTGGACGACGCATGGGCGTCAAGGTGGACTCCGCCACCCATATTTGCGCATCATCAGTGTCTTGTATGGACCTCGTCGCCCCGACAATACCGCCAGACCTTCATGCAAAACCAATTTAGAGCTGAACTCTGGTTCATGAGACCGTGGAGTACTTTGGAAATTGTTGCCGCAACGTGGGTCATCCCTTTTGCTGATAAAACTGCAAGTAACAATCCAAGTCATCTTCGCAAAATGGACCCCGCCGCTGTCGCAGCAAGATACGAGTTCGTAGGGCCTATCGCAGGACAGCTATTCCAAGACCGAGAACCCACTCCGCCCCCGCTCGACGCTGCCATTGCCAGCTTTCTGAACGGAGATTTTTTTCCTTCCGAGTTGTTCGACGGAAGTATTCAGCCCAGCCATCCCTTATTCATGATCGCTCCGCAACGGATTTACAATGCGGAGGGCAAGTTCGAACTCGACCGGCGGCATTGTCGAGTGGAGATTCTATGTGCTGATGTTGCGAGGCGTCTCGTAAACGAGGTTCACGACAGCCTCGACTCGGAGAAACTACAACACATGCTAGTGATCACGTTCAATCATTCCCAGATGCGCTCTTTAGTCGCAAATCTGTTCAAAGACCTTCTCCGTCATGCATTAGCACAGGATCGCTAGAGCTTCCCGATGTCTTTGGTGGGGGCGCTATTGCCTCGTTGGGATCGATGCCCGGGTGGTCAGAAGGCTGGTAGGCAAGGCTGTCGACTGTTTGACCAGACTGTGGCGCAAAGCTCCGTATGAAGGGCATTCCAACACAACGTTGAGCCATAAATAAACGACAGCCCTGCGGCGCAGTTTGGCGCAGTATACTTAAAACCTGACGCCGATACTACCCACAACACAACTCCCATGGCCATTGTTGAAGAGAAAGCTCCGTCCGGCCCGCCAAAATACGAATCTGAATCCCCGCCGCCAAGGGTATCTGACGACAAAGTCTCCAGGGATAAAACCCCACCAGTCGTGGTGGTGCCAGCGGAGTCTTCTTCTGCACCCTCTGAAGCAGAATGGCAGGCCAAGCTCGATGTTTTGGAGAAGAGAATCGAGAAGTACAACAAGAAGCGGCGGCGAAGCGACGAGGCAGCCATTCTTGCAGCTATGCACGATCTCGCAGCTGTCCACCCTGATCCGAAAGTCAAGGACTATTGGACACGGCGCGCTGACGAGTTTGAGAAAGCACCAGAAGTGGACAAGTTGGTAATCTTGAAGGACATCATACGGGCAATGCGTCTTCTACTTGCGGCGCCACTAGCCACTGACCATTGCTGCGCTGCTGCTTATTGGAACGGGGACGTTGGTCAAGGTTTCTGGAGAGTGGATCAGTGGCCGTCGCTCTCTATCGAAGAAAAAGTCCAAACCAGGTAAGCACATCCAGACGGTTGGTCGAACATTGGCTTACTTTTATGTGTAGACATATAGTTTCCCCTTCTAATCACAACACTCGATGTCGGTTGAACTATAGACAACTTGTGGGCGAACTCTCTGACCTTGTAGCATCTGTCCTTCTTGTAGCCTTTGTTGATAAAATTGTCATTTCAAACCATACTGGTCCCAATAACTCTTCATTGCTTCCAACTCTTCTGTCATCCCACTTGTCTCCAGCCACGCAATAAGATCGCGCATCTTGAGTATCGATTTGACGCGACCCTTGCCCACCAAGCCCTCGATTTCGGCGACAGTGCTGCTAACGCCATCCTGACCGACTTCTTCGCGGTCAAGACATTGAACTACGCCAATCACCTCGCCTCCGTGTTTGACGACTATGTCGATGGCCCCGCGACAAGCTTTTCCAGAGGTCATCACGTCGTCGAGGATAACCACCTTTTTACCCGCAACGGGGACGCCGACCATCATCCCGCCTTCACCGTGGTCCTTGGCCTCTTTACGGTCATATGCAAGACCGACCCCAAGGTTGTGTTGGGTGTGGAGCACGAGCGCAGTGGTAGCAGCGAAGGGAATGCCTTTATAGGCTGGCCCAAATAAGATATCGAAGGTAGGAAGCGGAGACTCGGCCGAGTTTAGCGCGTCGACGATCGTGCCCGCGTAAGCGGACGAAAGAACAGCAAGGATGGGCCCAGAGCTGAGCAAGCTGGCGTTGAAGAAGTAGGGCGAAATTCTTGACCTCGTTCAAGCGACAAGGTGGCACAAAGATCGCCTGGGCTCACCGACCAGATTTGAGGGTGAAGGAGCCGAATTTGAGGGCGCCGATCTCCATCGCGTGCTGCATTAGTGTGGACTGGTAATCGGCAAGCGCCGCCATGGCGGGAAGAAGAAAGAAGCAACACAATCCATCACCCCCAAAAATTACAACGTCGAATTCACACCGTCTACACACATCTCAGTCTTGGAGTTGCGATATAATTGGAGAGCAGCCCTCAAGTCATGGGGACGCGGGGATTCTTCCTGCCCTGAACCTTTCCTACCGACATCGTTGTGGTAGTTTTCCCTTCCTACTTCCAATCTAATTTTTTCGTGGCACGCAACAATGGTTCGATCTAACCCTCCTTCGCTAAGTACCAGACTGACTTGTGAGGAATATCTGCTATGCTATCATGCAGCTAAACAGAGTGAATTTGTGACGAAGTATTGCACTCAACTTTAACGACTACCTCAGCACAAAAGTGAAGAGTCTCTGTGACTCTTTCACGCTCCATATTGACTTTGGATGTCATTTGTGGTTTCTTTATTGACTTGTCGCGCTGAACTCGGCCTTCACCAAACACGGTCGCATTCACCAGACACGATCGCATTCACCAGACACGGTCGCATTTGTTTTACCAATTCACCGAGCTCGCGACTGAACAAACATCTTCACGGCCTGGGGTCGGTCGGATCAGAAGACGCAGAGCGATTATTGCGACTTTAGAGCCTTTTGAACCATGCTCAAAGACTGTTTGTCCCAAAGCGCCTTCTCCGCTAATGCTGTTCTTGCAGAGTTGATGGAGGGGCCCACGATAGGCCAAGTGGACACCAGCCACTAGACACTCAGACGCGATTTGTATGTAACTTTTCTCTGGTTGAGCCATGTCCACTGAACTTGACAAATCAGATCACTCAACTGCTGAGAGCGCAGACGTAAGCTGGTGTTCACCAAACGGACCCCCATCCCGACTCATTTATACTTCCCGGCGGGCCCGGAGAGCACGAGATTATCCTGATCGACTTTGCATTCGTTCTGCAGCGCTTGGGAGATGAGCGCATCGATGAGCGGCGGATTGGTATTGGTGCTGGTTTTCCACTTGACGATATGGGGAAGCTATAGAGCGCGTTGACAGGCTTTCCGGATGAGGTCTTGGCGGTTGAAAGATGTTTATGAGTATTAATGCAACTTTACTGAGTCAAACGGGTTGAAGTCCAAACCCAAATTTCCAAGCAATAGTTTCCAGTACCGAGCGCCAACGATGTCGAAGTTATGGATTCGATACCAGTACAAGCTGAGAGATCTAAAATACAAGACTGCGGAGTGTTTACCGACCGTACCTAATTTCGAGTTGAGTTCAAGTCAAACCAATCGGGACGATAAACTCACTTTTGCAACTCCCACTCGCGATTGTCAAGCGGACAAACATTCCTAGTCTTGAGCCAGCGGGAAATGCAATGGAAATGGAAGGCGTGCTAAATGCAACTGAGATGGAGGACGACAAAGAGGGAAATATGCCGACATTACAGATTCCCCAAGCGGCATTGCATTCCTCCGAAGTCGCGGACACTTGGTTTGCCTGGCAATCGATGCCTGAGACGATAAGAGTTAGGTTAGGCTGGACTGTAGCGAAGATCTCACAGAGATCCATGATGTGGTTTCTACAGATGGCACAGTTGTCGACGACGATATCTGGCCGACATCAGTACCACTGAATACTCGCGTCGAATTAATCACCCCAAGCCCATAGAGAGACCGCGTTCCACTAGGCATCACGTCAGAATTCGTTCTCCTCAGCGAGCACAAAGGGTACACACACCTTCTTGACCTCAAAGCGAACTTTGCCCTCTTTCTGCTTGCCGTCCTTCTTCACCTCTGGAGTATCAACGTCCATGTCTGCCATCGTAGCGGTTCGTTTGACTTGAGTGGATGAGAGTCAGTGGAAGGCGCGTAACGTGCCGAGTCACGTCACACCACAGCTTTCTGAGCTGGCTGTTTGTTCTTACACGACGTTCGGACGTACAAAGGATGGTCTGACCGCGGTAGAGACGCGGATTTGTTTCTACCCCGTCGTCTTCCATGACATTACGACAAACAACATTTCCAGTTGTCTGCTCACGTCGACCATCATCGAAGCCCTATCCTCAATGAATACTTGATGAAACCCGACGTCTTCATGAGAGGTGATGCAAACTTTCAAGCCAAGCTTGGACCTTTGTTGGTGGAGTCCGACCCCGTTGTTGCCCGCGGCTGCTTTTCTGGTAGGATGAAGCAACTACTGCCTAGCTCCAACCTACTCCAGCCCTTTGGCCAACGACTCGACGCGTCAAATCCATTGTGGACGCACTCAATCATTGACCCTTTTCACTGCCACCCAAGATAGAGACCGAATACACATCTCCGGCAGATGATATCATTCGATCAAGCGCCGCGCCGACTCGTTGACAAGCTAACAAGCTTTGCTTCTTCCCTCCATCTACTTACAAGTACAAGCTCGCACTGGCAGCGAATTTTCTTCAAGCGCCGGCCGCAGCTCTCTTCATTTTCTTTCCTTTTCGTTCGCTCCGATGGTTCTGCGTGCGTTATCCAACATCCCGCTTTTGTGTTCTAACGCGAGTCACGAAATCAGCGCACTCAGGCACCAATATCATCGTCCCCCTCGTCAATGTTTTCCTCACACTGCAGCTCATTGGTGCTTGCGGACTAGTCGCCATCCTGCTTACTGCCATCATATCGAAACGCGTCAAAAGAAATGCGACCTGGTACAACTTTATCGCCACCTGGATCCTCTCCTGTCTCTCGTACACTTTCGTCTTCATCATTGGACAACAGTACACCCCAAATTTTGGACCGTGTCTAGTCCAGGCGGGAGCAATCTATGGAGCACCCGTTGTGTAAGTCTGCGGAAGGGGTCCGTCTCCATGATAACTGACACATTCTTCTTACTTAGGACGAGTTGCGCAACGCTTGCATTCGCTGTTGATGTATGGCGATCAGAAATTTGCCTGTTATAGCAACTGACGAGCCCGCCAAGATGTTCCTTGGAGTGCGCGCGACAGCGATCCAGAAGCCCAGCCAGCGTCGACGTTACCTCACGATATCGGTCCGTTGCTACGTTCAATCTGTTTGCCCCGGCCACAAGCTCACCCATATGCAGCTGGTCGTTCTGCCGTTTGCAATTTGGCTGGGCTTTGTCCTGCCGTTGTGGGTGGTAAGTCCGCCGAATTCTCTTGGTCCAAGTCTGAAAGAGACAACAGTTTGGTGCACAAAACCCCACTGAAGTCCGCATAGGTCGGTCATACATCTGGTAGCCAAGCTCTACTTATATAAGCCTCCAGGCCCGAATGGAACATATTGTGATTTCGAGTCCAATATTCCGTACGTCTGCTCTCTTGCCAATGTCTGATTCCCCCCGCCAACAAGAAGCCTCAGGTCGAAAGTCAGCAGCGCCATTTCTGTTGTGTCGACTTTCTCCCTTCTCCTCATCGAGGGTGTGTTCCACAGACGCGTAACCAGAGACGATCCTGATCCGACCTGCAGGCTACATTGCTACCCGGCTGATCAAAAACCGCAATCTTCTGAAGGACAGACAATTAGTCCGCATGGCCGTGCGGGTTATCCTGTTCAGTCTTCTTGGTGCTTTGAGTCTTGGGTTGGCCTCTTTCCCTCCTTCGGATCACGTTTTCTAATCACCTGATATCAGAATTGGTGTCGCCTATGTCCTGTACTCAATCCCAGGCTCCAGCTTCGACGTGATCATGTCGACCCTTCCCGTCGGTGGCTGCCTTATATTCGGGACGCAGGCCGACCTTCTTCGCGTGTGGATGTTTTGGCGCCATCCTGCAGCGACACCCGCCATCCCGAAGGGCACGGAAAGCACCCAGTCAATGGTCTCCAAACAGTATGGGTCCTGATCGACTGGTGGTTTCTTCTCGTTGTACTTGTCCGCCGTTTCAATATGTATTCGTATTTTATTTTGTCAAGTCCATGTTGACTCAGCCGCTCCGTAGCAGTAGTGCAGGATATGCTATTTCACGACTGCATTTCAGTTGGTCTCGATGTTCTTTGACGCGCAGTGCCACTCGTACGCGTGCCGGCCCTTTATGCTTTGGAGCTTCGACCTTTCCGTTTGTGGCAAATCCCTTGTCGCCTTTGTTGGTGTCAAAAGGCATACTCCATTATAAAAGTCGAACACTCAAGTGCCTCTCTTTCTCTTTCGCCTCGCAAACGGGTTCTCCCCTTGCCACCTACACACCTCCTCCATACGGCTAAACATGGCGCGCTGTCCCTGCGGCAAAAAAGGTGTGGATATTTGGACTTGATCACTGCGAGCTTCTAGTTGAACTCAATCAGCTTCGCGGCAATTCAAGTGCGATGACTGCACGCGACAATCGTACTGCAGCACCGAATGCCGAAGCAAGGTATATTCCGACAGTTTGTCTCAAATCTATTTCGCAACTCACAGTCATCGAGGACTGGCCGGCCCACCACCTCCAATGCTCCAAGTCCAAATCGCCCAAGAAGGGCCCTATAACCTCAGATAATGACGACGACGACACAGAGAATCAGGAAGACACCACGACCGGCGCCAAACGAGCGCGAGGAAGAGCCACACAATCGGAGCCGAAGCTGAAGCGCGTCAGGACCGCTCCAAACACGCCTGAACATCAGCGATTGGCCGATGAGGTGGGTGGCACAGCCACCCAACCGCTAAGCCTGCCCAACACGCCGATCGCAAGCCGGCTTCGCACTCTGTCGCTTGTCAACAGGGTCAACATCACGAGCGTCAGCGGGCTCGCAGAGCCACTCTCCAGATCGCCGCGCGGGTTTTTCGCTCCGGTGTTGGGCTACACCGACGACGGGGGCGGCCACAAACGGGCCTACGGCGACCTTGTTGATGCATTCCGCCTGCTGCGCAACGGGTGGCATGGACTGGAGTCCGCAAAGATTGAGGAGAAAGCGCGAGAAATGGAGTTCCAGGACTGGATTGCGCGGGCGGAAATGGCTGGTATTTTGCCATACTGGTGGACTGACGAGCATCAGGCAACATTGGAGCGGTATACTGAAGAGGATAGGTGGGGGCGCCTAGATCGGCCAGTGACAAGGGAAGACATACAACATCACTTGCCAAACGGAAACCAAGGCAGGATTTTGACATTGGAGCGAATGGTGGCAAAAGTTGTTAGGACTAATAAGCCAACTGTATGAACGAGAAAACATCTGTGCTACCCACGACAACGTGACCGCGAATGGCTGGGAAAATATATGTCAAGGCCCGATCCAAATTGCAAGGAATAGTCAACGCACATCATAGCTTACTGCTCTCTTCGACCACTGGCTTATCGCTCAAGTCCGCTATGAATTCCGCGACTGCCGTCCAATATCCTGGTTGAACACAAGTATCGTCTGTCGTGTTAATAAGCATAGAGTAGAAGCAAAATGCAAATGCTCACTATGTGAACCATGCTCGAATTCCATGAACTTTGCCCGCTCCAATCCGTGCTTGAATTCTACCCCACCTGGTGTCTTTATTTCCCCTCTCCTTGCGACAATCTCGAAAAGAGCGCGCATATGTTCTTTCGGTACTACCTCATCGAGCAGACCGCTCATCATCAATATTGGAGTTGAAGCGGGGATTCGGGGGACTTTGGACGCGGAATCCCATTTCTGGTGGCATAGGAACGAGAAGGGGCCGAGGAGAGGGAGAACTTGGGGTACGAGATTTGGTAGGGAGGTGAACGTGTTTTCAAGAACAAGAGCAGCGATCTGGGTATCGTGTGAATGACAAAAAGTTGAAGGGAGCGAACGGACCTTTGAAGGGTTCCGACTGGCCAAGTCAATCGAGACGGCTCCCCCAATTGACTGCCCATAGAGAATCTGCATACCAACTGAACATTGAGATACTCGAGACGAATAGACGCGTACAATCGGGGTTTGAGAGAGACACGGGTCTGAAAGCACATAGTCTAAACACGTTTGGGCGTCTATTACGATTCCTGTCCGAGTTAAGCTGACGAATGCCTCTTGCAGTGGACGTAACACACCTTTTTCGGATGGCGAGCCCTCAGATAGTCCATACCTGGAACGACAATGAGTAGAGGTCGACAGGTAGAGGGAAATGATTACCCTCTATATGAGACCATCAGCACATTACAGCGCATCTTGAGGTAGAAGACCTTCGCAAGAGGGATGCGGTGGCCATGGTTGCCTCCATTTCCGTGGAACATCATCACTGTAGGGCGACTCGCAATGAACTGTACCCAGTCATTCGTTTATCCGAAATGGAAAAGACAAGTACGCACCTCGTCATCAGACATATCCTCCCCAGGCACATCCGTCGCAGCACTGTTCTTCTCTGACAGTCGGCGGCTCTGTAACAGCAAATAACACCTCAGGGTCACTCCATCCGATGTCTTGAGCTCCAAGTCCTCGTAAGCAAGCCCAAACTGCGAGGGGACGGCAACATCTTCTGTGAAAGTCAGCCTTCTGCTTTGCTTAATCGAAGGGGTTGACCAGGTGGAAGTTGCTAACCCGTTCTAGAGCCTGGGGGGTATGCGGACGGGTAGATGAGATAGTTCTGTCCATAGTAAAGCAGTGATATGCCTGCACGAGTTTGAGTTTGGGGCCAACGTTTAGGTTTGGCGTACTCACCGACGGTGGAGAGTGTAGCGGCAGTTGCGAGCGTGCCCTAAAGCATATTGTTAGTGCGCGCGACACTGGTAGGCAGTTCAAAGCTCACTTTCGCGAAGGTTTCTAGCGATGGAATGAACCTAGACATGGTGGATGTGGAAATGGAAATGGATTTTGATTGCCTATGTTGGTTGATCCGTCGAGCTTCACAGCCACCATTTACCCGCCTTCAACAGTCGACTGACGAAAAAGCAGCATAACCCTGGCTCCCTCAATGCCCTCCTAAAGAACTACGCGGCTTCTGGCTACGGTCTGTGATTCTTACCTCGTCTTGTGTGTGTTAACTCTCTGGCGTTTCACACCACCTCATAACCTCAGGGGCCAACTTCTTTCTGTTTGCAATGCTTTTGGCTGTTCGTCGTTTCACGAAGACTTGTCCAAATTCACCAATGAGACCGAGAGCAGCTCCTCTTCACCAATCAAAGCCAACATTCTCTCTGGATCGGTATGTGGCAATCGGTCTCACTGCGATATGCTAATGAACGACTCAAAGCATGTTTCTTGTCAACTATCCCTCTCTTCAACGTTCGTCCGCGTGCCTTTGGGAAGTTCGCAATGAATACAACGCTCAGATCTTAGAACTTTCATTGGCTGAATTGAGCAACGATTGGGATTAACATCTCTGACGCCAGCTCCAGTACGTCGTCAGTTCACGCCCTCCAGCTCCTCCTCCTCAAATCCTTTTCCAGGGAACCATGTAAGAAACTGTCTTTCTCCTACGGAGTTTATTACACACCCCTTTTAGTTTCGAGCAGCTAATCGCGGTTTGACCTGGTCCTCGATGTCAGCCAACAAGCGATTGATTTCACCTTAGTGCCATGTTCCACCACCAGATGAACGAAGTTCCGGATATGGGGGGGGGCTATCTATCCAAACAGGATACCCATGGACAATAGTTGCCGGTTCCATTTTCTACGCTTTCAGTGCATTGTCTATCCACTGCACTCAGTTTCAACCTCACAAGAAGACGAGTTCTCATGAGTGGCTTGAACATCATCATCTTTAACGGCCATCTCACATGGCCTTCCTTCGGTAAACGGTCCGTGCTCTCTAGCGCTCAATCTTATCGGTCGTTTAGATCGCGTTCCAGTGCCATATGTACTATACTCGGCGTCGCTGTAGTCTTTCCAACTGACAACAGTAATCGTATCTTAGCCAATTATAACTACTCGACAACTTACTTTTCGTTGACTTTTTGTTATGTCTCAGCACTCTCCCAGAGTCTCCCTATGGATTTTGGGATTCCTGTTGTACATTTGCTGCTCTAAGGTCATAAGAAACTCAATTGGGCCACTGAACTGTAAACATTAATGTCTATTTACTTGTGGTCCCTTTTGCCGTTCGTGCACGTCCCTCGAACCTTCCAGCTGTTGGCAAAATCCTAGGCCACATTAAATTTTCCTCTCTTGGAGCGTCGGACAGACTTCAACCCAAATGAAGCAATTTGCAGTGCCAATGCTCCACTGTTGCTCCAGTTAAGCGACCCTCCGAGCACCTCAGAGTGTGCCAGTGGGTGACATCAGACTAGTAGAAAATTTGGAGTGGCCTAGGATTTTGCCAACAGCTGTCACACTTCGTTATTCGGCAAAATCATCGATGTGTGACGCAATCATGTGCGGGCCGTCCTACGGATGTGGTGCCAATACTTCCATCCAAGGCACTAGGTGTGACATGGGAGTGACATGTCACATCTCAATTCCGCTGTCGAAATATCACGATGAGCGAGACTTCACAGCCGGAGCCTCCCATGCAGCCAGAGCCTCCAGAGGGTCCTACAAGCACTAGCTCGACTTCACGGCCCGCTTCTCCACTGATGCCGGCGCTGACAGGTCATCAACTTCTCTTGGCTCTTGGCGTTCCCACTCATTCAGCCCAATCGCAGACAATTTAGACACAATTTCGGTTCAAAGAAGCCACATCATCTGGGTGTTTCTCATCGTCCAGGGCTTGCTTGTGGTATGTTCGTCCCTCCTTCAGCCAAGAAACTCAAGTACCTGTCCTCAGACGCTCGTGGTTACAAGTGCCAATTCTACCTCGCCGGTCATCCTTTTCATCAGTAACGTCTTCTTTGATCTTCAGACTGACACCTCATGGATAACAGCAACGTTGATCACCCTATGGGTTGGCGAGGCAGGTTTTGATTTCACCATCCACGAAGTAAATCGGAAATTTCACACTCCTGCTTCCTGGAATTCCGTCCAGCATGCCGTCATATTCTCACTGTGAGTCCTCCGCAACGGTTGTTCACGCATTATTCATCAGCTTCAAGATGTGAGATTGGATCTCAGGCAATATCTCACTCACCCTTTGACTCCCGTTGTCACTCATTAGAGAACAGGTCGCAAGTCTGCACCAAAAAGAGGTGGCTGTGATGAACTCTGCCAGTAAGTTTCAACTAGCTCACTTGACATACAACTAATATCGTTGTAGCCATCGGAGGTCTAATGGCGAGCCTAAGTTCTGCAGTATTTCCTGCTTAGGTGCATATTCTAAGACCCCTTAGGCTTGGTGTTACCACCCTTGCTGCTATGGTCGTCGAGTGGCGTTTGCGAGCACCTAAGAATGCATCCAATGGCTGGCTTTTCGGGTGGGTTTATGGTTGTTCAATTTGGTACACCAACTGACTGCTTATCCTCCAGGAATGACATTTCTGCATTTATTTCATGGGACGGTTACCCTTTTAATCATTGCAATCATACCTGCACATTTCATCATCTTCCGACTCTATGGCCTGGTGCGCACTATTTTCTCTATGTTTTTATATAGGTTTTCATCTCACTTTGTAGTTTTTGCTGGCAGTACCGTTGAGTGAGCATCCATCTGTTTCTCTCTCTCTCCTCTCAGATGACTCATTTGCTTCAGTATGGATGGCTGCTCAAGCAAAACAGCTTAAAGAAATTGCTCTGGCAGTAGTTCGGTCTCCATTTGACCTAGGCAACATCCTCCGTGTTTTGACGTACACTGTGATCACCTGTTCGAAAGCAGGAGTATGTATTTCCATCTTGACTCGATGAAAGCAGAAGTGAGCTGAATTGCACAGGTTACAACTCTTGTCTCCAGCTATGTCGTTGGGGCCATTCGGGACATTGCTAAGAACAAGATTGCTGAGCTAGAAACGATCACGCTCTTGGCTCCAGCACTACTTCGCTGTCTCGGTATGTTCAACTCGGAAGGTACCACAGTGGATTCTCAATGACAATAGCCCTCCATCTTATACGCCTTCCCTGGCTCTGGAACAAAGACCCGGAAGCAGGGATAGCTATGTTCTACACAGTTTTCAAAACTATTGAGGTCAGTCTGCACCACTTTACTTTTGTTTGGTTAGTCAAATAGTTCAGTGCACAATGATCGTTCTTCCGTCGTAAGTGCAGATCAACCTGAAATGAGACTTGCACGAGCTTGCTCACTAGTCTCGCAGGACAGCGTTCTTGGGAGGACTTTTCTCACACCAGTCGCACATGATGGTCTTCAAAGTGAACATTTGTTTGATTCTTTTTCTCGCAATCGCTCTCTTGGTTATCATTTGTCTTTCGCCCCATCGCCATATCAACCAAGCCGCGGCCGTGTTGTTGTGCAGTATTCCCTTTTTTGTCGACTTCCAAGCTGCAGCTCATTCCCATTTAGTGTTGTATTTTTTTTTCGTCCGAGTTGTGAGAGAGGGATCCGCATGACAGGGAGTAGAATTGTTGTAGAATTGCATTCAGAGGAATCGAATTAAATAAATTGTACCATTATATTCGCTGCTCGAGGATAGGATGTGACCGTGACTGGTGTATCGTTTCGTTTCTCAAGTCCATGGCGCAAACACCAAAAGACACAGATGTATCTCCCAGCGGACCACCTGGATTCAGATCATCCTGCAGGATCATACTAGGGTCGTCTTGTACGTTTATTCAACCTAGTTTCGGCCACATCTCATAGCTACAGGGGCCAATATATTGTTGCTTTCAATCCCTCTCCCCGTTCGTCGCTTTACTATCATCTCGTGGGTCTATTAACGGAGGGAAGTACTTGGTCACCCCGTTTAGCCCGCTCTGGTCGTGTATTGGTCTGTCCTTTTTTCCCGAAGGTGTCCAAGAGTTGAGTCTATCGAAAGCATGTTTCCTCTCGGCTATTCCTCTCCTCAAGGTTAGCGTGTCGCACTCATCATGAACTACAAGCTCAATACTGCGTCCAGATCTTCGATTTGTCGATGGCCAATATCAGCAGCGAATGGAGCCTGACGTCTGTTGGACTATCTTCTGTAAGCTTTCAACCACTAGTACCCCTCGCTCTCTGAATCTCTCCAGGGATCTATGTACGTTAATGTTTCTCTCGCACAACCTTTTGCGTATCATGATGTTGTCGCAGCTTTGAACAATTGATTGCGGTGGGATTTGTGATAATCCTATTCGGAAAGCAACTAATGCCACCCAGTTTCATGCCATCTATTATCGCCAACCAGATGTAGCTCTGCCACTAGGTTCGAAATCTCCTAGTTTCTGCACAAAGTCCTGATCTACAATAGCTCTCGGTTCCTTTCACTGTGGCATTCGTGCGTCACCCACACCACACGACCAAAGTCTCATTTGATAATCTCTCTCTCAAGTCCTGATGACTGGCGTCTATATCTTGGTCTTCGGCAAATACCTCGCGTTGTCCTCGTGTAAACCTGGTACCAATCGCTTTCTTTGCTCTTATTTGTCATGTAGATAAATCTCCGGTGGTTTATCACAACCTCGGCGTCTGCGCCCTCAGCCTAGTGCTCTCAATGTGGACCTATTGGCAAGGCGATTACTTCCAATCGTCTGCGGCCCCTAGCCTTGTGGTGTGTTGTTGGTGTTCCGTTCTCAAGCTTCACTAATACTGTCTAGCTGGCTACATTTGTTCTCCTAGGTGAGTGGCAGAACACTCTCCGACCGCAAACTTTCTGTCTATACAGGCTCCTTATACATCTACGCCGTCCAACTCCATCAGCAAACGAGTGGACCAAGCCCCAGCCATAGTATCCATCCAAAACGACTCGTGGTGGACCCGTCGACAAATATCATCGTGGAATTCAAACCCGAAGGGAAAACTGTCAATTCATGGTCTGCTACGCTGTCGCTGGTCCTATCCTTCGGGGTATGTTCTTCACAAGTCTCAACTCCTGTCGTCATTCTCAAATTTGCCAGATGATGATTCCTATCGCTTCACACCTTTTGGGCAGTACAATGGCTTTAATGCATGATCATATCCCTTTCCATTTCACCAGCACGGTGTTCATCCCACTCGTAATTCGGCTGGCTGGTAAGTTGCAACAGGAAAGCAAATAACAGCATGACAAATGACGACAGTCCTCCTCCCTTCCATACACTCAGTCGTCCTGACCGAGGCTGCATTGCTCAACGAGATCAGACGTGGCATGGTAACACCCTCCCTCCAGTTTTTTGTGTACCCGTGACGAAACTTGTGCAGGATTCCATGACAGTGCATTTCCCGTATGTCTTCCCACCTTCCAGTCCTATACCAACTTACGATTTCGGCCCCAGCATCAGCGTCTTGGCAGCAGCTACGTTCGGCAATCCGGTTTCCGTTCACATGCATCCGGTATCCAGCTGTTTCTTCCTGTTTTCAAGTGAGTCGATATGCTCTTGTTCTATCTCGCACCTGAGCGCGCCCAGTCTTTGCATTTTGGATTCTGCATGCTCAACGAGAAGAACGGATGACGGGGCTCCCTCTCTTGGGTGCGTTCGTTGACACTATCCTATATTTGTTGATCAGATGAACACAGTTTTCTATGTCACGTTTGCGCTCGCGGCGGCGACAGGGGTGCCAGTCTAATATGTTTGGCTCTAAGTATTATCATTATAAGCTTTGTAATATTATATCTACTTCCTCATTCACAGCCACCATCTACCTGGCAATCATGCTTCTAGGTGAACTTATATTTACGGAAAAAACCCCAATGCCTCCCAAAGAACTTCATGGCTTCGGGTTGTCTTGCACTCTGACTCTCTTGTGTTTCACACTACCTTATAATCTCAGGTTAAAGTTATTGTAGCAGCAGTATTGTATAACAATTGGACAACTGTACCCAAACATCAACCTGGCGCCCCTGCTGCGGCCGTGACCGTAAACATAGCATAGAGGGCTGGGTAAATCAGGTGTCCACAGAGTAAGATACAAGTCAATCAACGCACCGATTGGAGGAAAGCCAAACACCCGTTCTTCCTGTTGAGCGTGTTGTTGAGCGTGTAGGATCCAAAATAATAATACTGAGAGGCTGCGTTGAGATACCAAAAATAAAAGAACAAGAGCACTGACTTGCAAATAGCAAGAAAAGGCTGGATGCTGCATGCATAACAACAGCAATTGGATTGCCAAACATGGCTGCAGCCAAGAAGCTGATGCTAGAGACAGTTGGTGGAGAACTCCTCAAAGGCAGAAAGACACACGGGAAATGCACTATCATGGAATTCTGTGAGAGTTTCGTCAGATGGTATATATGTAGAAGGAAACCACAAAAATATTACCATGCCACGCCTGATCTCAGTAAGCAATGCACTCTCGGTCAGAGCAGCAGAGTGTATGGAGGGGAGAAGAACTGTCGCCTCTTGTTATACGGATTCTTTATAGTACATTGCGCTTACCAGCAAATCGAATTACGAGTGGGAGGAACACAGTGATCGCGAAACAGAAAGGAACATGCCCGTGAAGTAATGCCACGGTGCTGTCCAAAAGCCCCGCCGCAGTGGGAATCATCATCTAGTTCGACTAAGAAAAAAAAGCTAACAGATGCAGAACAACATACCCCGAAACATAGCATCAGCGACAGTATAGTCGACGATGAGTTTATCATGCTTTCACGTTTGAATTCCGCCAGGATATCTACCCCCTTTGGATGAATACCATGGTCAAGGCTGGATTGAGTGCTTTGGCGATGAAGCTGAACACCATAGATATAAACGGAGCCTGGGTCACCGGTAAGGTTTTTTATCGGACCATAGACTTGGTTTTTCTGTCCCACTTACCCAGGAGTACCGACGTAGCTAGCTAGATCAACATGAGTAAAGAAATGTGTAAACAAAAGGGCATTACCGTAAGGCTGATAACCAGACTAAGGCCACTGGGAGTTGCAACACGGTCGTCTTGCCAGTAGGTCCACAGTGAGACCATTATGCCGAGGACACCGATGCCGAGGTTGTAATACACCACAGGAGCACGATCTATCTGGCAATCAGAACAGAGTAAAAGTGATTGTCAATTAGCTTACACGAGGACTCGGATGCAAGGTACTTGTTGAAGATTAAAATATAGAAGCCGGTCATTACGACTGGTGAGATTGAGAGCGACTTGACATGTTGGCGGTTTACGCACGAATACCACATAGAGAGGAACCCAGAGCTATTGTGGATTGGATTTTGTGCAAAGACTGTGAGGAATCGAACCTAGTGGCAGGGCTACCTCTGGTTGGTGACGATAGATGGCATGAAACTTGGTTCACATCAGTCGCTTCCCGAGTAAAAGATCCTGGCAAATCCCACCGCAATGAGTTGTTCGAAGCTGCGGCAAAACACATAAAACGTTGCATGGAAGAAGATTCACGAGCGCTTACATAGCTCCCTGGAGACGCTGAGATGAAAGAGGGCCGATACTTGATATGGCTCACCGAAGATAGCCCAACGAACGTCAAGTTCCCGCCACAACTCAAATTCGCCATCGAAAAATCCAGAATCTGAACACGACATTAAACTTGTGGGAGAAGAATGTGCAGGCTGACCTTGAGAAGGGGAATAGTCGAGAGGAAGCATCCTTTCCATCACTTGTGTAGAACACGCTTGAAGAAAAGCAAGTAACACACCTATCCACCACCAGAGAGGATCTGAACCGGTGATCAAGTACTACCCTCTGTCAGTGACGCAATATGGGAGAAAAGCTACAAACGGGCACGGGCATTGCGAGTAAAAAGATGTTGACCCCTGTGGTTATGAGATGTGGCACAAAAACGAAGTCCAATGAGCGCACAAGACGAGGACAGTATCATACGACAGGACGATAGGAATCCATGTGGCCCACCGTCGTCGTCTTTCGATGTCGGGGCCATGGAATTGATTTGAGAAACGATGTTGGGGCTGTTACTAAGGCACGAACTGCGACAGGGGTGCCAATCGAACGTTTGGCTCTAAGTATTATCATTATAAGCTTTGTAATAGTATGTCTACTTCCTTAACACATCCTTCAACGCCGCTGCAACAATCTTGACCGCCTTCTTGACCTCATCGGCCGTCAACTCGCTCGTCAACGCCAATCTGATGCTTGGCCGGGCCTCGACCATTTCCTGGCCTCGCAGTCTCTTGGCCTTGGTGAGCATAACACCCTTCTTGAGTGCTTCATCGACCACAGCTTGCAAGGCCCTTTCCTCGGCATCGGTGTCCCAGTCCCATGTTGCCGCATCACGCGGTAGCACGGAAGCGGGGTTTGACGGCTTGCTCGAGGCGTGGACAGCAACAGCCGAAGATGGGTGGAGCCCATTTGCCGTCGGTTTGGTCCGGGCTTGGATGTGGATGATGGGGGAGGCAGGGTGAGAGGGGATAGAAATGTAGTCGAGGTCGTCCAGGATTGCACGAGCGACGCGAACATTTTGTTGAAGTTTAGTAAGAATAGACGGTGTCGAGCGGAGGATTTCGATGCCTTCGGAAGCGCTGACAGCTAGCAATGCGGGCATGGACGCTGAGAACACAAATGAAGGGCCATTGATGCGCTACAATGGTGTTATTCAACGGAAGAGGCAAGAAGAAATTACGATACCTGATGGTCGACGACATTTCGTGAGCCTGCACAAAAACCACCAGCAGCACACAGTCCGGTTGCCATAGATCCAATAATCATGTCGACTTTCTCAGCGGGTACGTTGTACAACTCGGTGAGCCCACGACCAGTCCGTCCAACGGTACCAAACGAGACACTCTCGTCAAGAATGAGGCGGTATTTGCGCTTGAACTTGATGTCGATGAGCTTGGGCAGGTCTGTCATAGCACCGTCCTTTTCGAAGATGCCCTCAGTAACGATAAACCGGCGAGTAAGTGGGCCACGGCGTTTCTTGCGCTCTTTGTCGATACTGTCAAGCACATCCTCGAGACTCTTGAGGTCGTTGTGGTCATACCAACGCACGGTCGACCGCGAAATTTGCAAGCCTTTCTGGATGGCGAAGTTGACACCGCGATCAGCGACAATGATGTCGCCACGCTTGCAAAAGGCGGGGATGACAGAGGAAATAGTCGAGAACCCTTGCGAGTAAATTATCGCTGCTTCAGCACCAAGGAAGTCCGCGATATCCCGCTCCAGTGTCATGTGCACGTCTGCAGAAAGTCAACAAAATTATGGGAGTAAACGGAGAACAGACCGAGAGTTCCGTAGAAGCCCGGTGGTCCACAACTGCCTAAACCATATTTGCGCAGGGTCTCAATGGCACGCTCCTTGATGACCTCCTTGCCGGCGAGACCCGTGAAGTTGTAGCTGGCAAGGTTGGCGATGATTTTGGTGTTGGGGAGTTGCATGACGGTTGGTTTGGGGCCATTGTGTCCGACGACAATGGGGACTTTTGCTAGGTCTGCTGCCTCATTGGCATCCAAAGGAGCCGCAAGGGGTTCAGGTGTCCACTCGTCGACAAGCTCATCTATTTCCTGGAGGATTGTTGGTGGTTTTGTCAGGAGAAAAGCCAACAAAACGAACCTTGTCCGAGAACTGGATGAAATGTTTCCTATTGCGCTCTGCACGCGTCCGCGATTGAAGGAGGGTGTAAATGGCGAATGCGGCGAGGATTAACTCGAGCACAGTCCTCCCTGGGTCGTTTCGGTGGGAGCTCTTGACGTATCGTACCAATACGGCTGAGCCAGGAATCTTGTTGAAGGCGGTCTGGACATTATGAAGGGCATACAAGAGGAATGCAGAGACGGCGTCGACGTTGGCCGACATGGTGGTTCCAGAACAAACCCAGCCCTTGAAATGATATTCTGGGAAAATGATTGGATGATGGTGACTGTGACACGTGTCACGCGAATATACCTCCAGCCCGTCTCTTTCCGCCCCCCGCTCGTTATGCAGTCGACGTCCCGTATTGCTCTCCGCCCGCTGCTACGCGCTCGTCGCACCCTTGCAACAGCCACTGCTGGTCACGCACCTACTTCCACGCACTCAGAGCCGGCCAAGCATGCTGCTGCCATTCCGCTATCCAACATCGAAGCGCAGTGGGCCCTCCTCTCGCCAGACGAGAAGTCCTCTGTTGCTGAGCAGCTAGAGGTGATCCAGAAACGTGACTGGAAGCTCTTGTCTCAGGACGAGAAGAAAGCTGGTCAGCCAGACATTTATCTCCAAGCCAACGTTTTCGCTAACTCCACATGCAGCGTACTATGTTGCCTTTGGTCCCCATGGCCGACGCAAGCCCATCCACGAAAAGGGCGACGGCTTCAAGATCTTCCTCTCCGTCTCGGCTGCCGTTGCTGTGTCTGGCGTTCTCTTCTACACCATCCGGAGTATTTGTCAGTTTGCCTGTTGTCTTTTTTCTCTGGTCTCCTTCTCATTTGCACTACTACAGCCCCGCCGTTACCCAAGACCATGTCGAAGGAATGGCAAGAGGCCATGAACGAGCGTGCCCTCGAACAAAAAAATGAACCCCATCACCGGTCCGTTATCAGCCTACATTTCCCATCCGATGTTTATTCTCCTCAGGTATCGCTTCCGAAGGATACAAGGGTCCGGGCTTTGTGCAATCCAAATAGAGTACTCCATACCGGATCTTTTTTAATTAAATCGTTCCTCGACGGCTCAACAACAATAATGGCGACATTATTCCTTGTCGGCTCAAAAGTTGCCTTTCTCTCCGCCGAGTGCTTTCTTTAAGACGGAAAACTCTCTGGAATGCCGAATTCAACTGCTTTCGACTAAACTTTGTTATTCTGTCTACTTGGTACGTTTGTAAATTTTCTCCAAAAAGCTTGTGAACACGGCTCTCTTGAGGGTTCCGGGTTGCGGACCCTCTGGAATACCCGCAATTAACGCGTTCAGCTTGCCGTAAACCTCCGCCTCGTATTTCGCATACCGCCCTCGCAAGTCAACAGCTTCAAACACATCTTTGACGCGTTGTTCCGCTGCGGGCTCGTTCTTCTTGCCGTAGTTGGCATCGAGAACAGCGCGTTGCTCTGGCGTGACGACCGCCAAGGCCGTATTGATGCACCAGGAGCACTTGTTGTCGACGATGTCTGTCCCTATTTTGCCTAGGATCTCTGGCGGCGCAGAGAAGTCGAGGAAGTCGTCTTGGATCTGGAAATACTCGCCCAGAGGAATAAGAATGTCCATCGCCACCTTATATGGCTCAATCTTCTTTCCATCAAGCTCGTAGCTGGCGGGAACACGCGACATGTACATCGCTAATGCGACGGGGAGGTAAAAGGAGTAGTAGGCGGTCTTGTAGATGACGATGAGCCTGTGCTTGTCGAGCGAGAACTTGTTCAGGTCGACACTGTCTTCTGGGGCGGTGATGAGGTCGATCAGCTGGCCCAACTCTGTCTGGAATGTGGTTTCATGGAAGATCTCGAGCAGGTCGACGTAGTAGGGTTCGGAGCGGAAGTGTTTCTTGATCAGGTAGTAGATGGCAGATTCGAGCATGAAACCGTCGTTTATCGCAATCATACCAATTCCAGGAGCGCGGTACCAACAGGGTTGGCCTCGACGCGTAATGGAGCTGTCCATGATGTCGTCGGAGACGAGGAAGAATGCTTGTAGCTACACTATACTGAATATCCGCGAGGAAAGTGAAGCAATAGACACACCAACTCGACACCCCAGCCCAGGATCGCGGCCTTGTAATACTCGTCATCGTCGAGTTTCGCGCCTTTGATAATCTCTGCGGTGTCGACAACAGACATTCCCCTGTTGAGTTTACCGCCAGGAACATTGTAATCTAAGCTCTGCAGCAAAAGCGTTAGTAGCAGTCGACTAGTCCAGTTCTGACCTAACCTTGGTGTACCACTCAACTGCCTCCTTGGGCATACCCTCGCCGGCTGCATACCCAACCAGCTCGTCCCGAATGCGCGTCCACGCGTGCTCGAATTTGGCTCGTTTTGCTGCCTTGTCGGACATGGTACGAAAACAAGAAAGAAAGAGGCCGATCGTTCCACTTTTACACCTGTTTCAAATTTATTATACTTAGCGAGCTATCTGATCGCTTTGCTTATTGGTGGAATTGTAGCGGCCGTCGTTTGTCTCACGAATCGATTGCGGAACCTGGGTTAGGGAGGATAGGTCATGTCGCAAGGCGCGATCTGGCTAAGCGGTGACACTATCAAACGTGGTCGCAACCCACTGGTCTATGATGCCAAAATTGTACACACAACATACTGTACAAATGCGTCTCTTTTACCAACTTTTCACAGACGATCTACAGACGGATCAGCCAGTTATAATGAGACAACACCCAAAACAACTCACCAACATTGCCCAAATCTGCACAGGCTTCCTTGACGCGCTCCACAAGAGTCTTTTCTCCTTCTCGCACCCAGACACGCGGGTCGTAGTACTGCAGCACTATAAGCACAGATCAAGTTGACAAAGGAAAAAGGAATACCTTCTTATTGGGCTTGTCTGCGCCTTCAGGATTGCCAACTTGGGTCTGGAGGTAGTCCTTCTTCTTGGTAACAAAGTCCTGACCATCGATTAGCTCGCAAAATATCCGTCAAAGGAGTGCAACTAACCCTGATGCCAACAAGATAGGCAAATTGCGTGTCTGTGTCGACGTTCATCTTAACAACGCCATTTCCGACGGCGGTCTTAATTTCCTCCTTGGTTGAACCGGATCCACCATGGAAAACGAGGTAGCTATCGACGAATTATTAGTTCCTAATCAGATAAAAAGACAGGGAATGGCCGACAGAGGTTGGGCAACCTTCCCACCGAGCTTCTCGCTTCCATACGCCTGATGCTTTCCCAGCAGTTCAGGGTGGAGACGGACATTACCGGGCTTGTAGACGCCATGCACGTTTCCGAACGCAGCGGCGATACTGAAGTTAGGGCCGATCTTGCTGAGAGCCTCGTGGACCTCCCAGACATCCTCTGCCTGCGTGTAGAGGCTTGAATTGTCGACCCCGGTATTGTCGACACCATCCTCCTCGCCGCCAGTAATGCCAATCTCCATCTCGAGCCAAAGGCCTATCGGAGCCATACGCTTGAAGTACTTGGCACAGATCTCGATGTTCTCTTCCTTGGGGTCTTCAGAAAGGTCGAGCATGTGTGACGAGAAAAGCGGCTCTTGGTGTTCTTTGAAGTAAGCCTCGTCCGCTTCAAGCATGCCGTCAAACCAAGGCAGCAGTTTCTTTGCGCAATGATCACTGTGTAGGATGACCGGACTATAAAGTTTGGGGTTAGCGGAATTGGGGAATGAACGGGTAAGACGACTAACACCCCATAGGCTTTGGCGACGGTACGGACATGGTGGGCAGCGGCAATGGCACCAGCGATGGAAGCCTGTTGTTTGTCGTTTGCCAGACCCTTACCCGCAAAGTATGCGCTGCCTCCTTGTGAGCATTGGATGATAATAGGAGCCTTGATGTCGCTGGATCATCGTTTAAAGACTGACGAGACGGGGTGCCATGAAGTTACCGAGCTGCCTCGAGGACTGCGTTGGCCGTGGATGAAGAGGTTACATTCTGTTGAATGAGCAAGGGTGTTTTGGGCGGAAATGAAGGGACCTACTATGGCCTGCCATCGATAATCAAACGCGATCTAGAGGAAAGAGAAACGACATACGGGGATGGCAAACTACTGGGGGTCAACACGATGAGGGAGGGAAGAGGAAACGCGCCACGGACCTTGTTTTCTTTCGCGTAGTCGAAGAGTTTGCGGACGTTATCGCCAGTGAGAACTCCGGCCTACAGATTTAGGGTGAGTAGACACGCTTGGTTAGCTTGTCCAGAGACGTACAGGAACTATATCGAGGACACCCATGGTGGTTGAAGCAGAAGAAAGTTTGCCTTCGGGTCAAATCGATAGTTCGGCTAATAAGTGTGATGTCATGAACGGCCTTCCGTCTTCGAATGACAGGTGTTTTTCTTCCATTTCCCCGCCAATTCAACACTCAAGAATTCTCTTTCCCTCTCCAACTCGGCACTCTCAAGACCAGCTCGACTTTATTGGGTCACATCCGCTAATTGTCATCAAGTCTAAAGTCAGCCTCATCCACCACCTTCCTCGATATTAGAAATCCTGGACATACCCAACGCAGTATTCATCGACTGGCGAACCTTTCTTCAATACCGATTAATGATTAGATTTCTTATGAAAATGCAAGTCGTTTTAATGCCAATCCAACTATTCGCAGCATTACCGACACCAAATGAGGACGATTAGATTATGATAACACTTCTCTCGTCGCCTGCACAATAATCTCCCACTCCACCGAATGCAACCGTGCTGCAAAATCGTCCAGCGACTCTCCCTTTTCGATCGGCACGTTCTTCACCACCAGCGGCTCTCCGCGATCAACATCTTTGACCACCCGATGTACCATAGCACCAGAATGCTCGATTTCACCTCGCTGAAACGCGTCGTAGGCCCGTTCAATAGCGTTAGTGCCATCAAACGCGCCCGGCAACGCTGGATGGAGGTTGATGACGGGTATAGTGCCCATGAGTGAGAGAAAACCGTCGCCAAAGACATGCATCCAGCCCGCGAGAACAACCACGTTCGGGTCGGCTTCCAACACTTGTTTGGCAACTTTTGCGTCGTAATCATCGCGCGTTTTGCCTGGGTTGGCTTTTAAATAAGGCTGCAGTGCCAGATAGCCTGTTGGTATTTGCGCTTGTGATGCCCTTGTAAGACCATACGCGGCTTTGCGATTGGAGAAGACGAGGACTATCTGAGCATTTGGGAGGGCAGGGGTGTTTTGGGCATCGATTAGCGCCTGGAGGTTTGTGCCTGATTTCGCATCACTGAAACTGGTCGACAATCGCTGCAGGTAAGGGTACCTGAGCCTGAGATGAGAACCACGACGCGCTTGTGGACCATAAAGTTGATAACGATGGGAGAGAGATGCTGATTAATTGCCGTGACAATGTGACAGGCCCGAGAACCACGCGACTCAATCTTGATCTGCAAGTCGGACTTGACCTGAACCCGGCCGCTAAATTCTGGGTGCCAATGGTGGTCAAGATTTCTCTGGCTCTGCACTCTTTCCACCATGATCTCGTGGCTGAGTCGGCATCGCCCTCGACGCCGCAAAGAGAGCGCGCCTAAACCCGAGCCGGCTGTGTCAACAACCCATTCACCAGCTGTCTTTCGTAGAAATCCACGAAGGAAAGACACGGATGCGACTCTGGTGGATGATGACTCGTCGGAATGTTCATCTCCCCGCTCGTCGCGGTCCTTTTTCGACAAGCGCTCTGCAAGCCCCACGCTTTTCGACAGTCCGCCACCCAGCCCGTTGAACGATCCCAAAGAGCTCCCCCATTCCGATGACCCTACCACATGGAAGAAACTGGAGCAGCAATCGCGTTTCTTTGGGCCTGTCACTATTGGCAATGAGCCACAAACACCAACTCCCCGTTCCCGACTTGGTAAACTAGCTTCAGCAACAGCCCACTCCATCGGCGCCGTTCTCCAGGCCTCTGTCGTGATTGGAGAAGCATCGAACCTCCCGTACCTCAAGGGTCTGGCCGGAATCATCTTACTCGTCTCCAACACCGTTCAGGTGTGTGTGAAATCCCTCTTCCTTCTTTCCCTTGACGGCTGATCCGTCTCTTCAGGCGACAGAAGACAACAAGGAGGACTGCATCCGACTGTCCAAGATGGTGCTCGACATCGCAACCATCGCAGCTCGCGGACTGGATGCTGAGCAGTACAACCAGGGTCTCCAAAGCGTCGACAGGTGTGTTTCTTTATCACAAAAGTTGTGTTGCTGAGAACGTTTGTCTCAGAGCTTGCGACCGAATACGACAGGCTCTCGATAGGAGCAGCAAGCGATCCTACGCGCGACGATTTCTCGAGTCAATCAACGAGCGTGAACTGCTAGTACAGTGCGAGAAGGAGCTCCAGCACTGTCTCGATGTATTCCAGGTCCGCTTCCACATATCTGCGGCCGCGGCTGTGTCGAGGCGAGAGACGCTCGACGAGAAGTTTCTTAATGATGTCGAAGAAGTTGTTAGGCCAGTCAAGGACGTGCTCAACGAGCAATCGGTGTGGGTAGACGAACCGGAAAGCATCGCAACTGAGGTATAATTAAACAATCACTCTATAAACTCGCTAATGCCATCTAGTTCGCTCACGATAGCGCAGACCACATCCCACCTGCATCTCAAATTTTCTACGGCCGTGATGCGGAATTGGCTACTCTTCTCGACCTCTTCGCGCCGTCTTCCAATAACCCGTTCAAGGCGCCGTCTCTCTCGGCCACAAACGCGTTGCTTGGGCAGCCCGGGTCAGGAAAAACGGCGCTGGCGCTCCAGCTTGTTCATCACCCGCGAATAGTCGAGCGGTTTGCGCAACGACGGGCTTGGGTCGGATGCGAAGGCGCTGCATGTGCCGAGGACATCGTCAAACGTCTGGCAAATCATCTCGGAATCGACTCTCCTTCGAGAACTGCCGTTTTGAATAGCCTGGGCCAGGGCGAGCGACCGTGGCTGGTGGTTTTCGACGATCTCGATGATGCATGGGACACAGATTCTCCAGAACTGAAGCTCTCCGTCGAAGGGCTTATCACGGATATCTCTACATTGCCGCAAGTTTCGGTCGTCTTGACGCTATGCGGGACACAACGGCCACTAGGGCCTGTCTACAGCAAGCCTCCAATACCGCCGCTAGGCTCCATTGACGCTTGTTCGGGCAGGGAGCTATTCTACGAAATATCGGGACTCGACGGCGAGCCCCAAACTGACGAGTTGCTGGCGCTAGTCGGCTGCCATCCATTTGCGACGACATTTCTTGCGCAGCAGGCGCAATTTGAGCCAGTCGACTTCCTACTAGAGCGCTTCCGAGAGACGCCAATTGTCGACGCCCTCGACACCCGCATCCGAAAAACGCTCACCTCATCACGCATTGGAGAGTGTCCAGCAGCTCTGGAAGTGCTCCGATTGCTTGTGCGAACCCAGCTCCAAACGGGGCCCGTGAAAAAAGCTGAGCTCGGAAAAGTTGTCGTTGCCGCCGGCCTGAACTTGCCCACCGCAATGGTCAACAAGTGCCTGAGCGCCTTGCACAAGACGTGTTTGGTCGTCCTCGTCGATGAGAGCACGGTGAAGGTGCCCGAGATTGTGTGCAACCATCTGGAATGGTCTGCGTCCTGAAGAATGACTCTAAAAAGTATGTATTAATGAGCTATGCCACAATTACCTTCATACCGCCATTAATTATTCTTATTATCTGCCCTGGAGGCTTACATGCATCTATGTATATGACAAACCAAAACTCAAGCAAAACAAGAAGTTTTCAAGGATTTTTTTCATGATTCCACCAGAAGGTCGGCAAGAAAATGGCCACCGAGAAAGTCGTACTCGTTTGCCTTCGCAACAGTCCAAAAAGGTGTCGCGTATAGCTTGCGCAGGAGCAAGGAGTTCATTGCTAACCATAGTCCACACAAACTGGGAGCTATCTGCGGAAACTCGGGGGTTTGAACTCCGTATACGTAGGAAACATTCAAGGCTGGTCAGCTCCACATACCAATACCATCCGAGCCAGCTGCCGTTATCGCCCAAGTTGGGCGCCTTCCCCACTGCTACATATAGAACATCCCCCCATTCTAAAAAAAAGTCAACACACGCGATCTATTGACGCCCACAGTTACCCAAACGAGCACCGACGATCTCCGCCGACAAGCGACCACCCGCATCGCCATGGGCCGCGCCAATGTCCCCCCGCTCTGTCCAACTATTTTGGCTATGAACGCGTTACACGAGCACGGGCGTTGTGGCAGACAAGCAGTGGTCTCTGCCACGCGATGCATAGCGAAATAGTGTAGACAGAGAAGGGCTCATGGAAGCACAGATGCCACCGTTGCAGCAGTGGGGCTCGCGGGAGAGAGTGGGAGCAGAAAGAGAAGGAGACAGAGAGAACACAAAACTGAGTTGCCGATGGTGCAGCTTTTAAGCATCTGGGGAATATCGACAAGCAAGATCAAATAAGAAGTCAAGCATTGTTTCTCGACCGATGGGCGACTCGGAATTCGAGTGAAAGACAAGGAGAGGACGCCGGAATATAACGGCCAACGCGCTGTTTTCGTGGCAAAAAAGGGTCCGACCTCCATTAGTAGTTGCCCATCGCTCAACGCTCCAGCTGCCCAAAGGCGTCAAATCGGGGACCAACATCGGTGCACAAAGGAAACTGATTAGATCTCACAACAAATACAACACAGAAACAGATACTACTCGTCCCCGATCTTCGGCGCAAGGTAATACCTCACAAAGCCTTGGCCGAAATCGTAGTTCACCTAGAGAGCAGTCAACTGAGCCCGGTGAATGATCCATCTCGGAACATACCAGCAAGGGAACTTCGTTGCTCATCAACAGCTCGACGGTACTTGTCAACGAGGAGGACTTTGCAAAGTTGACAAGGTACTTGAGGGAGAAGGTGAGGGAAACATGCGAGTTCATCGAGAAGCTGAACGGTCGCTCTTCTTCCTTCTCTTTTTTGCTGGTCTTGGCCTTTTTGGCAGGCTTCGAGGAGCCATTCGTCTAGTCAAAAACGATAAGACAGCGCTCTGGAGAAGATTATAAATCGCTTGCCTTCTTTTTACGCTTTTTGGTCTTCTCCTCCTCTTCATCTTCCTCCTGATCATCATCTTCTTTGTCTGACTCTGCTTTGAATTCCTGGCCCTCGTCGTCGTCCATATCCACATCGTCGTCGTCCTTCTTCTCTTTCTTGACCTTCTTTTCTTGTTTGACACCCTTCTCTTTCTTCACTTTCGGCTCTCCGTCACCTTCTTCATCTTCATCGTCTGACTCTACTGGCAGTCCTTTCGCACGTGCTCTATCGGCCTTGCGCTCTTTGTCAGTGCGAACGCGTCCTGGGTCAGTGCTCGACTTGAGCAAAACACTCCCATTCGCACTTTCGCCGTCACTCGCGAAGCGCACTCCCTCCTTGCTGACCTCGATACGGACGCTCTCGCCAAGTTGGCTGAGGTCGCGCACTATACGCGCAAATTCGGTAGAGGACATGACAACCTCAGCATCGTAGTCTGTATCGGGAATGCCAAGCGTGTCCGAGTCGATATCCATGAGCTTCATGTCATACTCCGCTATTCTGTCTGAGTCTGTAGTTTTTTCTCAGTCTGTGGCTGTGATGCAGGAGGCAGACTAAACGCACTCTTCGCTTCATAGACTAAGTTGAGCACGTCTGCCTCGTCAGCGGCCTTTATCGTGCACTCGTCATCGTCTTTTGCGCATTTTAGCACCTTGGTCAGGCTCGCGAGGTTGACACCCAGCGGCATCGGTCGGTCGCATCGGTAACTCTTGAAGCCGGATTCTTCAAGGTGGACCGCGACGAGCGCGACGTGTGAGTTGTCCATCGCCTGCAGGTTAAGACCTTCTTCGTTGCATTCGAAGTTGGCGTCAGTGACGAGCTCTTTGATCGCTGAAAGGGAAAAACGCGTCAAACCAGGGAGAGAGCAAGTCAAAAGACAAATCCTACCATCGAGCAGCTTTTTCAGAGCCCCGGCTTCTTCAAGCTTGGCTTCGAGCATGGTGTCTTATGGGAACCTCTCCAGGCGTTAAGGTGGGCAAAGAGAAAAGCGTGTCGCTCACCAGTAAGAATGTCTGCTCAACGATGAGAATGAAGCGTATTAGAGAGCAAGAAGACAGACCAAGGAGGCAGTCGAAAGATTTGGGTCCAATGGAGTGGATAGATGGTGGGAGGAGTAAACCAAAAGCGTGTCGTCCTTTCGCGTCGTGTCACAGTGACAGTCACGCGTTTTGATGGGCGCACGGACCACCAAGCACAAAACTTGCGACAACTGCAATCTATTCTACTAGAGATACAATTTAGATTTACTTATGCTATATGTTAACAGGCCCCTTCAAATAAGAGTTTGCGAGGTTTGCTGATATGCGGTGCGATAGAGAACAACGCTGGCATGGATGTCCCACAATTCGCTGCTGGATTGCCCATGATGATGCTTTCTGACACCCCAGCGATACTGTCGTTTTTGCCATAGGCCGAAGCGTCGAAAAGGTGGTCCGTTGTCTTCTCAAAGGAAGCCAGCATCAACACACTGTCCTTCATTTTCGCCACTCCAAATCGGGTGATTCCCAAAACTTCGCCTTTGTAGCTCATGACGTCCCCAAGAAGCATCACGTGTCGGGGGTCGATTATCATGTCGTGCGACTTCATGGTGTACTGAATTTCGTTGATAATAGTTCGGCGAGCTGCCTCGATTCCAAGGACTTTCGCCACTTCGATGACATGGTTTGATGTTGTGTGCTCTCCGACGACACCTATCAACACCATCAACTGGAAAGCAAATTGACAATGTCCAGAAAACAACCTTCTGTTATCATGCACTTCTGCAAACCATAACCTTCCACGAGTAATTCCTTGTCTCCTTTCTTGCCTTTAGAGTCGTCTTTGTCTTTGATGTTGATGACTGCTCGTTGGATGGAGGTGACGCCCTAAATCCTTCCTTTAGTGAAGGTCTCAGATGCAAAAGGTCACAAACTTTCACAACAACATCTGGTAACCCTCGCTTCAGTTCACGCAGTCTGTAATACTTGTCCTGGCCATCGACATATATCCGGAGCCGATCCTTGCGGGGAATCACCGTAATGGCCTAAGGCAATTTAGTTTGGCACTTCAAAGTGCAGTCAGAACTAACCTCTTGCTTGATTTTTAACTTCTTGTGAGCGACAATCGCCCACTTGACATCGTCCAATGTCAGTTCAAGCTGTCAACGACGGTGAGTTGCCTTTCGTTCTTCAGATGTGATCGTCTTACCTGTAGCTTTTGGATAGCATCGGTGTCTAGAATGATCCCAATATATGTGTATTCTGGTGCCCATGCTTCCTCCAAAACACTCGCAATCTATACGGCATCAGCCTCCAAATAGTCTACTCTCAACAACAACACATACGTCACCCAACATGGTTTTTTCGAGCCTTCCTTTGACAATGCGAGCAGACGCTTCACTGTTATTGGTGACCAGTTTGCAGCTGATGATAGGCGTGCTGATGTTTTTGGACGCATTGATGATTTCCTTAATACGAGGGACACCGAGAGTGACGTTCATGGATGCAACACCAGCAAAATGGAAAGTCTTCAGGGTCATTTGCGTTCCTGGTTCTCCGATCGATTGAGCTCCAACAGCTCCGACAGTAGAGCCTACAATTAGAAGTTGAGAAAATGGATGAATGGATGACCATGTTCGAACCTGGCTCAATCCGAGCCTTGACATATTTAACCCAGCAGATGTCCAGAAAGGCCATCAATTGTGCTTCGGTGACCTTGGATTTGTTGTCTACGATGGCCTTCTGCGCCTCTGGTCCGATCATATGAGCAATGTTAAGAAAAAGCAAAGGAAGAGAAATTTACTGTCGGCTCCCAAAGACAAGTCTGTGTACTCATCCCAGCTTGCGTCTTTCTCGAGCGCGTCGTACATCCCCCAGTGTTTACGTATCTCGGCTTGTCGTTGGGCAATTCGATCAGCCGTATAGCCACGGACAGTCGCTAGATATGCAGGCGTGCATTCGTTGGTGAACTTCTTTGTTGCCAATTGACGATCAACAATTTCCGAGATTTCGTAGGGTAAAAGTCCTCGCCCAGCACGCGAGGCCAGAGCCTAATTTTTCTTAAAAAATGAACTGATAACTATCAGTGAATAATGCTCACCGTAGCATGACTCCAAGCGCGATCAAACTCGATAGGCTGAGCATCGCCCTCTAGACAGGCGGGGTCAAGACCGTCATCTCCATAACGGAACTGGACGACGCCTCCAGTGGAATTTCGGACAGATAAGTCGTACTGCGTCGTAAGATCCTCCAAAGCTTTCATTAATCGACGCTGCATGTACCCAGTCTCAGCAGTCTTAACTGCCGTATCAACCAGACCTTCACGACCGGAGATGGCGTGGAACAAAAACTCTGTGGCTCGAAGCCCGGAAAAGAAACTGTTTCGGACAAAACCTTTTGATGGTGGCTCCTTAGACTTTTTGGGGAAGTGGGGTAGAGAACGATCTTGGAAACCATCCGGGACACGATGGCCTGCAATAATTTGCTGACCTACACAGGCCACCATCTGCGAGACGTTGATGACGGAACCTGGGTTGCAAGGTAAATCGAGTTATACTTTTGAAATAAGTTATCCCACCTTTTGATCCACAGGTAGCCATGATCAACGGGGCATTCTGACGACTAAGTTCCTTCATGCAAATTTGTCCGACCTTCTCTCGAACGTCGGACAAGAGTCGAGAGATATGGGCTTCGAGTGTCTGCTCTTGATTACAACCGGGCTTGTTCTCCAGCTTGCCTTTCTTGGCTAACTCGATGGCATCTTGACAATCGTCGTAGGCCTTTTCAACGAGGATGTCCTTCTTCTGAGAAAGTTCAGGACCGGGTATAACGTCGTTGATCCCCAACGAAAACCCATAATTCGCTGGGACACGTGAGTAATACTATGAGGCAAGATGCAAGTAACGCACCCAAGTATCTCGCGCAGAGTTTGGCAAGCCGATTCATCGCAGCAGCAGCCTCGTGAGGACCATAGTCCCGCATAATGACACCAAATATCGACTTCTTCTTCCCGCTTCCGACTGTCGCTTTGTCCATTACTCCACACATAATCTCGCTATTCACAACAACCAGCCACCCATCGTTGGGAGAAAGATCATTGGCGGGCTTGGTGGCCATAAAAGGATAGCTCTCGGCTTTAGCTTCCTCCCACTTATGGCACTTGGACTCGACGTTTACTCGGATTGGTGATGATTTATTTGGACGCATAAGAACGTTGAATATTTGTTTGCCTGTCCACAGACGAACGGGCTTCCAAATGGTCGGAGGAGGGAGGTCGATGTGAAGGTTTGCATCAGCCAAGTAGCAGCAGATTTGAGTAAATTGGCGTCGGTCGAAGAAGGTGTCTTTTCGTGAGAGGAGGAAAGATGCAGTGATGAAATCCTGAATGGCAGCGATGACGGGTTCGCCATTGCGGGGTGTTACCAGGTTGTTCTTCACACTCATCAACTCTAACGCTTCGGTCCTAGCTTCTTCCGTCTGAGGCACATCTAGTCAATTTTATTAGGACAATGTTGGGTCGAGGGAAAAAATTAACTGACGCAGATTCATCTCATCGCCGTCAAAATCCGCGTTATATGGTCCACAAACACATTCATTCAACCTGAACGAGCGCCATGGTCGCACCTTAGCCCGATGGCACATGATGGAGAGCTAAGATTGGTTTGAAAACGAATGCAAAGACGATGAACCGCCCACCTTGTGCAAGCTGGGCTGACGATTAAACAACACGACATCACCATCGATGACATGCCTCTCCACGACGTCCCCAATCGCTAACCCGTCTGCAATCGAGGCCCGGTTACCAAACTTCAAGAATTTCTTGTTTTCCCCACGTGCTACGAAATTGGCCCCGGGATGAACATCCGGCCCATTGCGGACGGCCGTTTTGAGAAGCTCGATGTTATGAGATGTTACGCGCTCAGGGTAGGTTAATACTTTGGCGACGCGCTCAGGCACAGCGACTTCGTCAATGCGAAGATTAGGATCGGGAGAAATGACAGTGCGGCCAGAGAAGTCTACACGCTTTCCGGAGAGATTGCCACGAAAGCGTCCCTGCTTCCCCTTCAGTCGTTGGACGAACCCTCGGATAGGCTTTTGTCCGGGCTGGTTTTGAATTCCGGGAACTTCCGAGTTAATGTAAAGCGCAACACAAAGTTGTAGAAAGTCCCATTGTTCCATGAACTGGGGTGTCGGTGAGCCCTTTTCGATACCTTGCTTAATAATGGCGTTCGTAAAGACAATTTCAGTCAGTTTGACAGTCAGATCGTCTTCGTTCGATGCACCGTCTTGAGCGACCGAAGGACGAATGCAAACAGGCGGGACAGATATATATTGCCAGATAAACTCTTCTGGGCGGCCATATGCTGGACGAAGGCCAAGGAGTTCGCAGTCCTGGCGTGTTAAGTTAACCTGGTGAAGACGGAAAAATTACATTCGCTGACCTCATCAGAAATCCGACGGAAAAGATCCAAGACCTTGAGAGGATGAAGATCCTCGTGTACGGGCTTATTGACATACATACTGAGCTCCTTTTGGAACTCGATGGCGGACTGAAAAGTCTTCCTGAACGCCTCTAACTCTGGTGCCGCCTTTTTTGCGCGATATTTATCGTGGATGATCTTGAGTGGGCCAGCCTTCTTCACAGTGCCATTAATCGAGGCGCAGTAGGGACAGTGGACAATTTTGCGCGCCATCGTGTTGACCGCCTTCGTGATTGATTGTCGCTGCATGTTTTCGAGGTTAGGACGGCGGAATCGCTTGATGAAGACACGTCGATCAGGCTCCTCGAGTAAAACCCGAGCACAAGTCTAATGACGATTAGTGAGTGTGGCAAAGTGAGCTATAAACACGCACTTTACAGATGCATTGGAGGATCGCAATAGTATGCTTGAAAAACCCGATGTGGAAGACCGGCAGATTGAGCTTTATATATGCATAGTGGCCAACACAGTTGACGGAGGATTGCCCGCAGGTCTCACAGAAAGCATTCTTCTCAGATGTCCCCTGGCCAAAGCGATTGTTAATATTAGACAACGAGTAGTCGTGTTTACACACCAAACGACGGTCCAGAACACCGTGCTTCACGGGCAAACGGTCTGGAGAAGTGTAAAGCGCTCTGTCTGTGACCTGGAATTCCGAGATCTTGACCGTCTCTTGAGCATTGAACAAGCTGAACTGCAGTTGCTTGCTATAACAGATTCAGCCATGGCATTGGGATGAATAAGCCAGCTACATGACTTTGGGAGCCTGGTGCGAGACTGGCTCCTTCATCGCAGCCTTACGCGACGAGGCCGGGTCGCGAACTTGTCGAGGTTCAAGTCAAGCCAGATTTGTGACTAGACTTTTCTGTTCAACACCCTGATGTTCGGAAAACGCGCTCTTCAAGCCTGTCGAAGGCCTCAAACAATCTTGCCTCGGCAGATACTATGCAGAAGGACACATAGACCGTATTCGACAAATTCTCAGAGCGCTGTCGGCGTCAGTCATCACCACCCTGCTCAGTTCACCTCAGCAGTGTTAATACTCTTCAGGTCTTCACCCCCAAATCTGCAGCTCTGTTTATAGTTACAGGACTGGGTCTGTTATGGTACTTCCGCCACGAGAAGGCAAAACTCATTGAACAGCAGGGTGCGCATCAAGCTACTTGCAACACGCCCCATTCATTCAACAACTTTAGAGCAGGAACGCGCTAGCAAATCTTATGGGCGGCCAGCTGTCGGTGGTCCATTTTCCCTCAAAACTCATGATGGGAAGACATACACTGAAAAAGATTTGTTGGGCAAATGGTCGTTGGTCTACTTTGGATTCACCAATTGTCCCGACATTTGCCCTGCTGAACTCGATAAGATGGGATTGTTTCTGGATGCTGCAGGTACGCGACTTCATACCAATCACTAAGGAGCTCAACTTGTGGTAGAAAAGGAACACGGGAAAGTGTTCAATCCGGTATTCGTCTCTGTCGATCCAGCAAGAGACAGCCCAGCGCGGATATCAGTCTATTTGAAAGATTTCCGCCCGGGATTCACTGGTTTGGTTGGTTCGTATCAGGAGATCAAGGCTATGTGCAAAGCATATCGCGTCTACTTTTCAACGCCACCAAATACCACTGCGAATGACGACTATTTGGTGGACCACTCGATATTTGTGTACTTGATGGACCCTCAGGGACAGTTTGTCGAGGCATTTGGCCAGACGGTGACTGTGGAGGATATGCTGGTTAAGGTGCGAGAAGCGATGGGTGTTGGGAAGTAAATTAAGATTCAAGCCCATCAAATGTATGATCGAGTTGCTCTTGCCGTTTGACCACAACCATTTGTGACTGCGTCACTTCTGCTCCCTTGTTTCCTCCACTCATAAGCGGCAGTGAAAAGCACACAGATAACCGAAGCAATGGCAGATCAGCAGTCGAAACCCCAGCCAAATAGGCTCCCCTCCCTCGGTCAACTCGCAGCTCGCATAAATAACGCTCATACCAATGGGGCCGCTACACCTCCCGCTCCAGCGAATGCAGCAGCCCGACCACGACTTTCCGCATTCACTCTTCGGACCAACTCGACGACGTCGGTCGCCTCCACCAACGATTCGATTGCAGTCAATGCACCTTCAACTCGATCCGTTTCACCCTCTGCACTCAGCTCTTCCTCCAGATCTGGCACACCCTCAAATGAGACGGCAGTCCCTGGTGGAGATGCTGATTTGACGTCAGAAAAGCTTGAGAAGCTGAACCTAGAAACGGCGCCTGTAGAGAAGAAAGGAACACCACGAGTCGGCTACAAAAATATTCCTAGTCTGGACGCCATCACAGCTCGTCTTGCAAAGACCCGTGCTCTTAGCATCGACGGCACCGCAAAGCCACCCGAACCAGAGATGATAGAGGATCCGAAAACGCCGGGATTTCCGATGAAGGCCCCAGAACATCCTCTCGAGTATCCTTGGTGAGTGGTTTGGCCGTTCGACGAGTGTCGCTTACCCTGTCAAGGACCATCTACCACGACACCAAGGCCAAGGTCCCATTTACCCCTGCCACTGCCCAACCCACCCCCAATCCGACCTCGTCGCCTTCCGCTGGTCAGGAAACTTTCCCCTCGGCACACACAGAGTCGAACGACTATGAAGCAGGGCTGACGGTGGTCGGAGAGTTCTCAACTGTAGAAGAGTTCTGCCGTTACTTCAACTGGCTCAAGCCACCATCACACCTTGAGCGCAATTCAAACTACCATCTTTTCAAGTCAGGCATTAAGCCGATGTGGGAAGACGAGGCCAATGCTAACGGTGGCAAATGGGTTTTGACGATGAAAAACAATCCGCAACTGCTCGATAGATGTTGGAACTGGCTAGCCATGGCGTTGGTCGGAGAAGAACTGGAAGAGGGTCAAGACTTGATTTGTGGCGCTGTTGTTAGCCTGCGTAGCAAGGTGGACCGGATTCAGGTCTGGACAAGAATCAAGGACGATGTAGAGCGCCTGAACGCCATCGGCAAGAAGCTTGTTAAGCTTCTTGACGTCTCTGAAGCAGACGGTATTGGACTGGAGTTCCAGGTGAGCTGCTGAAATTTCCGTCTTATTTTGTTAATGCTTATCTTACCCAGTTCAACACTGACGATCGCCCGCTGCCCAACAAGTTCCTCTCCATCCAATCGATGCCGATGACGTCTTATCGACCCACATTCCAACCGGGGACAGGGCGTATGGGTGGACATGGTCGCACAGAGTCAGTCGGCGCCAATGGCTCGCCATATACCCCCATTGAACCCAGTGTACCTGCGAGCGCTGGCCCTGGTGGCGCTTTTGGCAGCTTTGGTATTGGCATCGGAGGAAACGCAGCCTGGAGGGCAAAGGCACGACAAGGCGCATGAAAAAGCGAATCCAAATGTACCAACAACGAAGAGTGTTTGTGTTTCCTCAATGTAATTTATGCTGGGTAGTCATAAGCAGCTGGGAATTCGTGACTTCGAAGCCGTGGCTAAATTTAGCTTCCCACTCTTCCCAGAGCACTTCGCAAATATGTAGGGTCGTATTGCCGACGCCAAAGCCGTCTGAGCTCATGAGTCTCGCAGGGCAGTTGAGGGCAAGGGATGATTGGTACCTGCCTATCACTACCCACGATCCCGGTCCCGGTGAAAAAAAAGGCTTTCCTTCCCGCTTCATAACATAGGAAATCCAAAAATGACAAAGGAACATCATGGCACTTGAACCCCAACCTCCACCATATCCCAAACGGCCCAAGTTGAATCATTCCAACGACTTGTCGTTTGAGAATCTCGTTTCTCTTGCCATCCACCGCGACAGGCTTGGAGATGCCCGCAAAGTTCTCTGGCGCGACAAGGGGGAGCCTATCATTTATCTCTCAACTCTGCGCCAGTGTCTGGACCATGCTGTAGCCGGTACCGCTCGTATGTTGCGTCTTGTTCTGGCGGGTGGTCTGGTAACTTTTGACGGCTAGGGTCGGCGACATTAGGCTTTACCATTCGAGCCTCTTTCAACCTTCTTCTGGCCCTAATCAAGGCCCGAAGGATCCCCAAGTCCTTATTCGTCGCCTTCATTGTCTTCCAGTCTGATCCACCTTTTAGATCCCAATGGTTTGCGCTCGTTCGACACGCCATATTTGGTCAAGATACCTTCCGGTTCGCAGCGATGCTAGGTGCGTAGCTGCTATAGCCCAATCATGGGATTTAATCGTGTCTAGGAACATTTGCTGGACTCTACAAACTACTAGTCAACTCATTTCCCATCATCTTTCCACCCTCTCCTCGGGACTTGGATTCACCGCTCTCCCCAGAGTCCGGTCTGGCCACGCCTGGTCTTACGCGTCGTGCCCCTCGTCTTTCTCTTAGCACTCAAGCGCGATTGATACTGAGGCAACAACATGGTCGACGTTGGCATGCAGCTGTCGCGGGGGCGATCGCTGGTGGTCTCGCTCTAATGTGGGAGAAACGGAGTAGACGAGTCATGTTTGCTCAACAGCTCTTTGTCCGGTCTGTTGCACTCGGCCTGGTCGGTTAATACTGACTGGTCGACAGCGGACTGCAGGGTATTTACAACGACTACTCTGAGCACTGGGGCATCAGCATCCCCCATGGCGCTTCGATCGTCTTTGCGTTGGCTTGCGGCCAGATTATGTATGCCTTCTTCTTGCGCCCAGACACTCTTCCGCGGTCATATGTGAACTGGTGAGTTTCCCGCGATCCTCTATTGACTGAGTAAATGTGAAGGTAGGATCCAGGAAGCAAGCAAAGCGTCACCAGACTCGTTCAGTTACAACCGGCAAGTCGTCCAAGAAAGCATCTTCGATGTCAACGCGCTGGAAAAAGTTATGGCTCGGGCAGATGTAACTCCGTCCAACCTTGTCACACTCCAGTCCCTCCGCCAGCAGATTCTTTCAGGAGACCACTCGAGCATTCCACGATACCTTCCGTGTGCAGGACTCCATCCCATGTCCGACAGCTGTCTTGCAGTTGGCCTCACGCGCTTTCTCGAAGTCGCGCAATGGATGCTGCCAATATACGCTGCCTTACATTTCGTGCCCACTCTGGCATTGCGATGGAAGTTGTTTCGCAATAACCCTTCCAAGGTGCTTTCTCACGCGACCGTGGGCAGTCTCCGGAGTTCCGCGTTTTTAGGCGCGTTTGTCACGATCTGCCAAGGTCAGCGTTGTTTTCCGTGATAGTTCGCAGTGTTTGACGACGCCCACAGCCGTTTGGTGCATTAAACACAGGCTATATGAACGCATCATGGCTTCCCCTGCACTGCGACGAGTTGTACCGCAGAAGGTTACTGATGCGTTGATCTCGCGGTATACTTGGTGGATCTCGGGTCTATCGTGTGGGCTGGCGCTTTTCTTTGAGGACGAGCGTCGTCGCGGCGAGCTGGCGATGTATACGCTTCCCAAGGGGCTGGAAAGTCTGTGGATTGTTGCTCGAGGAAGGGGGCTCGTCGGTCGAACGGGCAACTGGGGAGAAAGCCTGTTGGCAGCCGTTGGAGCAGGCATGGTGATGGTATGTGTTGATTTCATTCCTTGAGGAGTGAGATTCAATTTCTCGCAGACTATATACCAGAACGATCCAGAGGTGAGTTTTTGTTACAACCGCGTAGCATCAGCTGAGGCGCTTTATGTAGCATCTCTCTGGCCTAGTTCGTAGAATATTATACCAGTTTATTGGACCAAACTAAGTTATGGAATTTCACCATTGTTAAACTTGGTCTGTTAACAACTTATTTACGCAAGTTGCTTGTCAAATGAACTCTATAAAATTGACAATTACTTGTACCCACGGGCCACACGGTCGTATTGAGCTTGTGACTTGTCAAGGTGTATTTGGTGAAACAAAGCTCGTTGAGTACAGGAATTATGATGAGGGCACACATGAGCGTGCAATACAGCGTATTGATCCATAAAATTTTTGTTTGTTGCAACCCCAAGGTTGTAGAAGGTTGTATTCGGCGTGGAATATGGAGCACGAGCGCAGTGGTTGCAGCGAAGGGAATGCCTTTGTAGGCTGGCCAAATAAGATGTCAATAACATAAAAAAAGGTCGGAAGCGGCGACTCGGCCGAGTTTAGCGCGTCGACGATCGTGCCCGCGTAAGCGGACGAAAGAACAGTAAGGATGGGCCCAGAGCTGAGCAAGCTGGCGTTGAAGAAGTAGGGCGAAATCCTTGACTCGTTCATGCGACAAGGTGGCACAAAGATCGCCTGTGCTCACCCTTGCTCACTGACTAGATTTGAGGGTGAAGGAGCCGAGTTTGAGTGCGCCGATCTCCATTGCGTGCTGGATTAGTGTGGACTGGTAATCGGCAAGCGCCGCTATGGCGGGCAGAAGAGAAGGGATCAAAAAAGCAACCTTGTTCTCACAGTCCATCACCACCGGAAAAAAATTATAACGTCGATCTTGGGGGGGCGCCCTCGACACGCATCGATGGGCTTGAGACAGTATGGGGATTGGATTCTGTCTGGGACGAGCAGCCTCGGAGCAACCCTAAAGCTACACGGACGATACGAGTCCCACTTTCGTTACAGTGGCAAGAGCTCATTGTGGTAGTCTTCCCTTTCTTCAGTCGATCCAATCTTTTGTTGGGCACAGACATACAGCTCTGTGGCAAAGGCTAATTTGAGAGGAATAACTCCTCTGCCACGCAAGTGTGTGACAGGGTATTCCATGGCCACTCAACCAAAACCACTTGTTCAGCACGAGAGTGAAGATTCTCCGCGTCCGAGTCTCCCTCATCCTGAATACTTCCTTTGTATGTCGACTTGTGTTTTCCTTGTCGATAGGCCGCGCTAAACTTACCTTCAGGGGCTCCTGTTGCATTCATACCATTGACCGTTTGTCGAAATCTGCCTGTTGCCAGCAGATGATGACTTTTTTCTAGTATCTCTTTTCTAGCAAGCATCCAAATGTCTTCTCCTCCGGTATTCTTGCCACTCCCTCGAGCTGCAGCTGTTGATTACGCATTCACCAGCATGCATTCTCTCATTGGTGCCCCTTTTGAAGGTATTGACTTAAAGGTTGTAGCATACAAGCATAATTTGTCTCCAGATTGTGGATCTTTGCCTTCGGGACATAGCCCGCTCTCACCCGAGACTTGTTGCAGTCTTCTCTGCGGTAAGTTGTTATTGTCTGTTCTATGCTTATGCACTCAACTCAAGGCAGGGCAATATGTGAGATCCAATACCTTCTCTATCCCCCTTTGCTGAACTTGTCTAGACTCCAACAGATGGTTGCGGTGTGTGCTTTGATCTTCAAGCCTGAGTTCAGTCTCTGAAATGTTTTCACACAGATTCATGCCCTGCATCAGTGCCAACTCCAGTTGATACCAATGCTGGGTCAGTGATATCTGCTCTATTTTCTCTTGTCTCAATTCCCTATCCCAGTCGTAGGGTGGATACTGTGTAGTAACCGTGCGTCACAGACACATTTGTACGGCGTGCGTACTTAACTGATGCTTTATAGTTCTATGTTACGGCGGGTACCTCCTAGCCACAGGGAAACCAATCACCCAAGGCCGGCCGTTAGGTGTGAATACCCTCCATCCAGTCCCCGCGCTCTGATGCTGGACAGTTGTTCACCAACTGAGGATTATACTCATGTGGTCTTTCTCTTGCCACTTTATCATTTCACTCTCGACATACCGCCTTTCGGAAGACACCATTTCGCCGCGTCTGAGGACCGATCCCTTGGGGACGAGCAGAGCTGTAAGTTTGTATTGCCAACCCAAGCACTTCGTGTTGACTCTTCGTGATAAGCTCGCTTTGCTCTGTTTAGGTGAGGCGATAAATCAGATTCAAGTCTTGCGGATGACCGATTCAACTAGTATTGGGCCTTTATGTCTGCTTCCGCCCACCAGCAAACGCCAACCCCGACGGAGCTGACCATGACCAGAATTCTAGTGTTGGTTACCCTGCCGAATTGCTTGTGACACACAATGTTTTTCCTGCCTACATTGGGTTTACGTATTCAGCGACATCGGTGGTGCTGGCTGTGGCACTTATTGTGAGTCTATCATTACCGATGCAACCTCATTCGACACTTTTAGGCTATGTATCATGCTTCGCGCCATCTTTTTTCGGCGTCGCTGCATCTTCTATCGTTGAACATGCGCATGGAGGTCATCGGTGGCCTTATTCTGCCACTGACTATGACATGCCTTGGTAAGCCATTTCCACCATGTTCCGCAATCCCTTGACAATTTTCAGTGACACTCGCAAATACCCCAAATTTGACTGTCAACTGGCTGGCTGAGAGTGAACGTGGCGCGGTAGGTCACATATACCCAAATTTTAATCTTCGATGTCTGAACGTCTATAGAGTACATTTCTTTTCCTATTCCCGTTGGTCGCTCTTGCTGTCGTCTGAGCTGGGTCTAATTTTCTCAGGATGATCGTCCTCTTGGGTGTCACCAGCATGAACAAACCTCTGCCAATGATCCTCGAACCCACCTCCAGTTTTGTCTTGTTTTTGGGCGGTTAGTGCTTCCTTGAATGACCGCTTATCTCTCTTCTTATGTTAACAGGCTTTGTTTTCACATCGATCGAGTACCAGGAACCACTGAGATTCGCTCGTCTCTCGGGATGTGCTGTCATTGGTGTGTCCCCCCTTGCTTCCAAATATGTCACCTGATCTGGTTACAGTGGTTTATTGTGGCCTTTTGGCATATCTGTTTCAGGCCGATCCAACTCCTGAAATTCCTGTGTTATCCCTTCCTTGTGTATGAATGTTATATATACTGCATTTTGGCAGACTTCACACTTTAGCTAAGTTCAAATATGCGCGGTGACGAGGCGGCCATTTTTGCGGCTATGTACGATCTGAGCTTCAGGTGGAGACTCGGAATGCGGTCTCATTCTTGCCACGACGAGTCCATGACCAGTCAAGAGTCAAGACATTGTGCCGCTTTCCGCCTGATCATCCAGCGTGAAACAAGTGACCGTCACGATTGCTCCTTCGCTCCGACTTTGCTCTCAAACCAGCCCACCTGCCTAAAACACATCACAATGTTGTCTACATCCTTCGATTTCACCATGGCTTCAAGCCTCCAGATACTGAAATCTAATGCACCGCTGGCGGCCCTTAACTTGCAAGAGCTTAGTCTTCAGTGTCTAAAGCCAAATAACCTGTATGCTTCCGCCGTCCAACCCAACAAACGAACCTGCGATCGCAAAGAAATCAACGAGCGGCCTACCAAGCGCACTAAGCTCACCCGTCCACTGTCTTCTAAGCAAAAGAAATCTAGAATCGTCAAATCGACCTTCCCACCAGCCCCCCTAATCATCAACCTGCCTCAGACAGCAGCATCCTTCATGCGTCCGTGGCCTTGGGTCCTTCCAATCGATCATCACGTGCCATATACAACTACCATAATCGAGATGGCGCCAGAGCCCACCTCCGCCGCAGATGCTACACACCTGTGGAATCTTCATATTGCGTTACAAACCATGAACGAACTCAACGACCTAGACATGGAGCCTCATTGGCTTCGCGAGGATGGCGAAATGGATGCGGAATTCACTGGCCGACCACTGGAGTACATCTGGACTCCACCTGTCCAAGCCGCACAAGGCAAGTGTGAACACTATCTGTTTTTTCCCGTCTAACTTTCCTGTAGCTTCTCCATCTGCTATCACGCATTTCCCATATAATGAACCTGCCCTCCCACATAATGAACGCCAGCACATGCCCTCTCACCAATGCCTAGAAGCGACACCCCCCAATAGCCGACAAGGGGAATGCGGTGTAGCTGCCAGCGCCTCGCCGACCGAGGAAATGGAACTAGAGCATGCCCAAGTCATTCCGCCCCCCGCTCCCAATTCGGTCGTCAGTGTCAGTCTTGAGAATGACATTTGCACCGTCATCACTCCTCCTCCCAACCCGGGTGTCGCCACCGAATCAAATCCCGAAAAACCTGCTGTCGTAGACCGCACAAAGAAGCAAGAAAGTTCGATTCATACAAAAATCGAACAATCAAGCCAGCAAGCCAACCGTGAAAGCGGAAGTGACTACACCAGTTCCAGTAACAAACGAACAGGCTAAAAAGTCAAACGACGACGACCTCGACGACCTCAAGGCGCTCATCGACGAATTCTCTCGTGGAAAACGGGCTAAACAGCCGGCTGCTTCAGTCATTCCAGTGCAGCCCAAAAAGGCAGCTGTAACAGACACTTCTGACCAAGACTTCGACCTCGAGGCTTATATGATGGCCCAAATCGAGGAAGTTACCGGCGTAAAGAACCCAACGGAATCCGACCAAAAAGTAAATAAGTCCGACTCGGCGAAGGTGATTGCTGGCGACAACAAGCGTCCGAAGAGCGCTCTCACTGCACCAAGTCCCGTTGCTGACGGAAAGAAGAAGAATGTGATGTCAAAAGTCGCAACGCCGATCAGCGAACAGATCCCCGATTTCGAGTCGCTCTGGGCCGATGCCGATATCGCCCGCGTTGCTGTTTAATCGTTGGACTGCGGTGTGTGTTTGCGTGGAAAGCCTTAATTCCCTGCTTATCCAGCGCTTTCAGGGACAAAAACATTTCTTTTCCTTTTATCTCCCCAGCAAATACTGATTTCATAGATTTTAAACTCAAGCAGCAAACAAAATCAAGACGATTAGTGGTTTGGAACTTCATCTTTTCTGTTTCTCTCCGCAGGCCGTCTCATGTGTGCAGTTGCCGCCACTTTCCTTCCAAGCACGCTCATTTTACAAGCCCTCTCCCGAGTCTCCCCTCTTTCTTGGCTCTGTGCATAACGGCGAACTTCATGCCATTCATTTGACTGCCTTTCCTTCAATCACACTCGCTCAATTCCTTCTCTTTTTTGCTTGTCTGGTGCCCGGGCTTAAGCCTACAACTGATCATATTTCCAGGTTTTTGCCGTCACAAGTTTTGTTCAAGCCATCTTCTGCCATCTTCTCTGCTCAGTTCCCGCCACGCTCCTTCATACCACGGTCATTTCGGAAGACTCGCTCTTTTACAGGGAACCGAGCGCGCTGCAAGCGGTGTCCAACACGCTCGTTCAACACACTCATTTGCAAACACACTCGTTTCCCGTTCCATTGATTGTAACTGATTGGTAACTGACCACCTGTAGTCAACATCGTACTTGGAGAAATCGACCTGCGGAGCCTCCAAAGCAATACGTTTGAATTTCCTTCTTCTTCTCCTTTGAGGACGCGCCACATTCTTTTGGACTGCCATGATTCCTCGCGCTAGCGAAATCAGCACGCTCTTTTAACCGCCACTCGTTCAACGCTCGCTGTTTTACCATTCGATTATTTTCTGCTTACTCTGTCGAATAGTTGGCTGACGATGTTCACAGAATCATTTAGGTCTACCGACACTCATCAGCCCATACGTTTCACGCACACACTCTCTAGATCTGTTTCGCTCCTTTGACGTCGACCCGCGCGCATCTTGCTGCCCTCACACCCGTTTTGACCACAATCATTCCAAGCAACAGCTGTTTGTCTTTCACTTTGGCAGTCAATTTGCGAGCGAGCGGCCTCGATACTCTCATTTTACAAGTCATTCTCTTGAATTGCCGTTCTTTACTCGTTTCGGACCCCTCTTCTTCGTTTACATACTGATCGAGTTCACAGGTTGTCTACTAGTATTCTGGGCCATTTTATTGAAGTATCACGGTTGGCTTTCTGGTTTCTCTCTTCCGTTTGAGTTTTCCCCTACGTTCAGCGTCGGCCACATTCTTGGTCATTTCCTAAGCCAATGCTTATGTAATCCAATCCTTTTCGACGCTGGACGCACAAGCAACCTCCATACACTCTTTCAACTGACACTCGTTTGACACGCACTCTTTGGCATTTTTTCCTTGTATTATCTTCTGCATTAAGCCCTTGCTGACTACATTTCCAGGTTGCTCATCTGTAGTCTCGTCTCGATTTCCCCGTCGTGTCTTGATGCCGCCACATTCCTTTCAGCGACAGTCATTACTGCAACTCACACTCTTTTCTGGCGCCTACGAATGACCTTAATCCCACTCTCTTTCCTTGTCGCTCATTTGACCGTCCACTCGTTTACACAAGTATCTTCTTTGGCAGACTGACACATTCACAGAAGCGATCCATTTTACACCATGTTGCTTTTGGCGACACCACTTTCGTTTGCAGTTGTGTTGATTGACCGAACCAAACTTGGATAGGTATGTAGCGCATCTTCATCGCGGCGAGAAACTGGCTGATTAAATGCTTCAGCATTGTTGGCTGCGCTGCGTGGAATGAGTGCTGGTCGCTTATAGCCATTGATCCACGTAGTTGATTGGCTACTCGAAAGCACTCCGAGCTTCGTACCGCTGGTTGAGCTCGGAGGATGTTCGAGTTTTGTAGTTACCTGTACTTCGTGTTGGTTGTGTGACATGGTCATAAATTATCCTTCGTCTCTCTCCACCATGCCTACCCAGTCTGTACCTTCCTCGCCTATACCTACCTTCATCGATGTCCACGCCAAAGACCGCCGCCATATCCTAGGAATACTGTCGCGCAAAGTGCTGCAAAATACCATTGCCACCGTCGCCCACTCTCCCAAACTCGTCGCCCAGGCTATCTTCCCCGGCACCGACGAAAACTCGCAAGATGCTGTGTTGAAGGAGAATATTATGCGTCGCATTGTTCGCAAGAGTCGTAACCATTACGCCGCAAAACCACCCAAGGCGAGCTCGATTCCCCCAATTCCCCCGCCAATGCAACGTGTTTTGCGCTCGATTCCTATTGGCGCTGAAGGCTTTGTCGAACCGATCCATGTCCCAGCTATCCCCAAGAATTCCACTCTCAAACCCAGACGCGATGACTACTTCAACCTCCCCCCGCCCCTGACCCCGAGCGAAAACCGTGCGATCATGTGCTTGTCTGCATCCCAGCCCAACAACAGCGACGCTCAAAGCAACGCAATGCTTGTTCTCTCTGACGAGCGCCAGACTTCGCGGCTTCAGATCGACGCGCTGTCCTCCCAAATCACGGCCCTCCGTCGCAACGAGCCGGCTCCCGATTCTGCACTGGCAAGTCAGCAGCAACTCACGGTCGCCAACAGCAGCAGCACCCTTGCGACGCTGAAGCCCAATGCTTCCCAGACCAGCCTTGCTCCGCCTATGCTGACTCATGCCCGCTCCTCAGGCTCCCAGCGCGAAACCTTTCATGTCGTCCGTGAGCTCGGTCCGGACACGGCCGATGAAGCGATTCTCCGAGTTTTCCGTCGCAAGAGCTATCAGGAGCCGTCCACCCAGTTCGAGCATGGCAGCGACCCGACACCGTTGTGGTAGCTTTTCGTCCTTGCCATTCGATCCACTCTTTTTGTCCGGTATATGTCACTGGCTATATGGGCAATGGTTAACGTCTCTCGGGCTGCTGTTATTCGTAAAGTAGAGGAGATTGAACAAGTTTGTGACCCAAACCGCTTGCTCAACACAAGAGGGAAGCTCATCATCCCTTTCTTTCTGAGTGCTTCGCTTTGGTCGACAAGATGGAGCTCTATTTCGAAGTAAAATGGGGACTTCATGATGATATCAAATCACAAATTATATCCATAAATACCGCCCAACAAAAGATAAGTAGTTAACTGAGATCATTCAGACTAGAGCGCAGCGTCCGTGCTCGCTCTTCTAAGGAGTCGAGACTCGCCTGCAAAGCACCTATTTCTTGCTTGATGCTCTCCGTGGTGACAGCACCCGAAATGGGGGGCGACACTGGCGGCCTGTTGTTATTGTCGGTGCGTTTGAGCTCATCTCTCATCGCGGCGACAACGCCAGCAACCCATTCATCCTTGTCTTTGCCCCCCGCCCTAGCCAGCTCGCGTTCCGTCTTCCTACCCTTGTCGACGGCGGAGCCCATTTTCATGTAAGTCCACAAGTTGCTGGCCACAAGCACAACAATGAGCGCGTAGAGAATCGAGCTCGATGTCGAATTCTCCCAAGCATCGTGTATAAGCTCCAATGCGCCCTTTGTGCTCTGCTTCGCAACGGAATAAGCACCGTCGAATGTGTCCCACGCCCATTGGAGACCCCGCTGGCTCCTCTCTTTCTCCCGCTTCTTGTTATCCGTCTCAGTCGCTGTGACTGCGCTGGGCGTGGATGGCGTCGGTTCAACAGGCGGAGCAACAGCCGCTGGGTCAACCCCCGCAGGCATAAACTCGGCCTGATGCTCTTGGATATAAGTCCGCATGGCTTTTTCGAGGTCGGCGTGATAGACTCGCTGTCCGTCGATTGCGGATTTCTCGATAATGCCCTTGATAAAACTCCGGCCAGTCCACTCGACAGTGGTGCTGACGACAACCTTCGTCGAGAATGCCCCAGCCCACATGATACAAGTGCGTGTCTTCACCGAAAAGACACCGCCGCTAGGCACATCGGGGTTGCGGGTGGTGGTCAAGGTTGTGATGTAGTCGTCAAAGTCGACATGGACCGACTCGTCGCGAATTTCGCACTTGGTCTGTTTAGGCCCCAGCGATGCGTTGAGTGGTTTGATGTACGACATATTCCGCGCCAGTAGCTTCGAGCCAGGGCTTATGGGTGTCCAGTCGGAAACTTGGATGTCTGGTTATCGTTTTTTAGTTGTGCCACGTGATGCAAAATGACAACAAATACCCAATAGCTTCTGGTTGACCGACATGAAGTCCTTCATGAACCCACTCGCAAACATCAGGTTGTAAATCCTGTCAGGAGTCCCCGGGAAGACCGTGTTCAACGGCACTTCTGCGAAATGGGAGCCATCTTTCCCACAAGCACATGTAGTCGCCTTTCGCTGGGGCCCAACTGCCGCTCCCCCGCCAGCTGCCCCAATAATCGTGCCTTCTGCGATGGTAAGGTTGCCTGCCTCTGCACCTGCTTCCAACGACCCAGAGCCAATCGAAGCGGCATCACTGGGTCGAACCAGCCTCCAGATGTTATGGATGACGTCAAAGGTCGTGTCGCGCGAGAGGAATGACGCAAAAGTATAGTCGAGTCGTCCCGTCCCCACGCGAATAGCGTTCGGAATAACGAACGCGGTCATTTTCTTCTCCAAAGTCGTAATTTCGTAAATAGGTATCAATAACTGCAAATGGTCAGGCTAGTCGGCGAAATGTTGAACGTTGTTGACATACGTCAGTAACCCAGCCAAAGATATTCGCGTGGAAGCATAAGTGGTTTTCTGACACATAAAGTCGTCCCTGTATGAGAATTTCTCGTTGTAAAGCACATCCATAGTCTTGGGGAAAAATTAGTACCCCAAATCAGGCAATGAAGAGACACACACACCCTCGATAAGATAATCCCCCTCCGGAATCCCTGGGAAAAGTTCGTGGAAGTCAGCGTTGCGTTTATTGCTCGCTACGGCGAATCCTGTAACTGGAATGTCGTCTTCGCCTAGATCCAAGTCCTCCAGCCCGCTACCACCCTCATCGCTCGAGTCGTCCCCACTTCCCTCGTCAGAGCTGTCTAGTCCAGAATAATACCCCCCTTGCTCATCGGGCGAATGCGCCTCCCCATCCCCATGGCTCATTGCTGAACCCGTTGTACGCCGTCGCTGATGGTCTGTCATCTGCCGACCTCCCCTCCCGTTACTCGTCCCGCCACCAGAATGGATCCTGCGATGGTTTGACTCGGGACTCGCTGTGAGCCTCCTCGTTGCCATGGGGTTTTGCATAGGAGATGTTACGAGTGACGAACCGCTGTTCTCGTTGTTGGTGTTCATCACCTGCGGACTGAGTGTGCTTTGCTGTGGAGCTGTCAGAGCGGGGTTGGCCATTGCCAGTCCAGATGCAGCAATAGCGCCAGCAAGCCCCATCGGCTTCTTTGTTGCGCTCCGTTTCCAGGGTCTGCCGGTACCTTTTTTCTGGCCTTGGGAGGTGACAGAGAAGACATCCGTGTCACGCCTCTTGGCTGGGGAGATGGACGAAGGTGGACTGCCGCTCACTCGAGGGAAGATGTCGGTCGGTCGCAGTGCAGTCGGTGATTCGGAAAGAGGGATTGGTTCTGAAGAATCGCCGTCGCCATTCATGAGTGTAGACGGAGGAGATGTGGCTGCTCGCATGTGGGAAATGGGAATGGGCACTGGGAGCGGTTCGGCCCCTTTGGATTTCAGCGACTTGTTGGACGATTGGGGTCGTAGTGAAGGCGGTGCAGGGAGATTGGCTGTCTCAATTTTGGGTGACGATTTGGGAGTGCGCTGCTTCTCCTTGCTCTTGGGGGTTGGTGGTCGGGGAACGGGTTTGGTTGGTATGGGTGGGCGGTCGGTAGGGGGAAGGACGTTATCTGTCGGCTTGTATGTCGGCAAATCTGGAACAGGTTCTTGACTGACAACTGGGGAGGGAGGAATAACTGTGACGCTTGGGTTGGCCGATTTGGAGTAGAGGCTGTTAGAGCGACTCGGTCCGGAGCCGTTACTGCCCACTGTGCGAGAAGAAACCGAGTTGGCAGCAGTTGCATGATCAGCAGAGGAAGACCCCCTGCTATGCGACTCTGAAGGTGGGGAAGGGGAACTCAATGAACGATCCCGACCAGCACTGTTGGCATTGGGTTGTTTGACCAGTTTAGACAGGAAATTGGGGGCCATGTCCACAACAAGTGGTGAGTCCTGTGTGAAACTGTTTGCATTCGAGCATCAGAGAAAAACAGACGATCACTTGCCGACAATTATGGAGGCAAATTCACTGCCAGCGTGGTCAGGTAAACTTCCTCGGAACGAGCAGTTTAGGACGATAAGATCGCTCAGAGCGTGGGCCAGATGTCCGCAGGGGAAGGAGTGGAACGAAGAAACGACTGCACTGGTCGAAAACCCTATCCAAACCAACGAAGGAGAAGGCGGAGGTCAAAAACAACCAATTGACGTCGACTGATCCGTACCAGCTCCCCCGTCTCAGAATCAAACCAAGGTCCAAAAATCCGAACGCTAGTTCATACTAAAACAATCTAGTTTTGCCTGCATGTCATGCCCTGTAAAATGGCGCGAATCCAAGCATGGGATCCTAAATCTATCCTAGTATCCTATCCATGATGACTAGGTGCCGGCTGATCGCCGTCTTCGACCTTGCTTTGATAGTTTTTCAACTTTCTTTCCTCCCTTGAGGTGTGAGTTGTGAGACATGTTGCATAACATAACTTGAACTTTTCACTCAACCACTTAGACTCCAAATGGGAATGCCGGCACTGTGTAAAATTTGGGTATTGTACTATTTTAATCAAGTGTCTGTGTTATATGTTACATTGACTGAAAAACTCATTGTTAAAATCACCTTAAATCAGAAGAAAAATGTTTAGATCCAAAAATTCAAAACACTTGATCAAAATAGTATAATAGTAGGTGTGTTTGATCTGCAAGTCATAGTACACCTTGCAACTATCCAGATCACATCCTAATAGCAAGCCTTGTCTAATTGATCAAAAGCCCATTTTTTTGACATATCTCCTTGATTTTGGCCTTATAAACTATACATTGATAAGAGCTACATACCTATATAAAAATTTTCATCCAAATTCACCTAGGGGCGTTGGAAATCAGCTATTAAGATACCATGCAAAATGGGTTTTTGAGACCCAATTTTGAATATCTTTTTTAAAAAAAAAGTTGGGCATATTTGGGGAACTACTGCAGATTGAGAGACTGTGTTTGTTGGAGGTCTTAAAGGACCCTCTTGCTAGGGATGCTGCCTATTACCATAACGGCAATAGTCATTGACTTTGATGGATTTGTGAAATCCATGCAGAAGCACTAACACAGAATCCAACTCAGCCAAAAGACCACTATAACCAGATGCTGGCTATATGCACTGCTACTATATATCTATATAGCTGGTACACACACATTTTGCATACATGTACCAGGATTTTCTATGGCCACAGCTGTCAGAATCACAGCTGTTGAAAGCTTGCAGGACCAATGGCATAGCAATAGTAACAGGCCTATATTATTCTCGGTCACGTGCTTCCCACATGTGCATTCCTCCTAGGGCACCTGTTCCCCATCGTCACATGCTGCATGTTGTGGACCCTTGGTGGCCCGACACCAGTGCTGGAGCAGACAGGCTGTGTCTTATCCATAACAGTTGTCACACTGTTGTTAAGTGAAAACCTCACAATTGTTAAATTGGACTCTGCTGTTGTTTGGTTATTTTAAGAGTCATTCCCAAAACGGCCATTTGCTGTCAATGACAGTCAGATCAAAACACCTCCCCACAGATATCTCCCTAACTGGCCATTCAGGACTCATGCTAGTTCTTAGATATGCACTGTACCTATGAAACAAACAAAAAATGGTGGTTTTCTATATATGTGTTCCAAAATGCGGCTTATCACTGGGACATTGGGTAAGGAACTAATGAATTATAACTTACTATTAGACCCTGCAGGTTAACCCTGAAAGGGTCCGGGTTTGGCAAGATTTGGAAATTGTTGGACCCTGACCTTGACCCTGATAGACCCTACCCTGAAATGCTGCAAGTCAACCCTGACCCTTGCTCTACCCTAGATTGACAATCACATGGTCAAGTAATCAGCAGATGAGATACCATAAGTATGAGACCAAGTTTAAGTACAGATAGAGGTGGCTTGAGAGTGCTATTATGTAATGAATAGACTTATAATTTTTTTTCCAAGTTTCAAGGGCTGAATGTGGGGTTTGGGATGCTAAGAGTCACAAATCAGTGGCCAGATATAATGGTAATCTACTGATAAGAAGGCTGAGTATCAAACCCTGGGTTCAAGAAATCTTTTTCTTTGCCTTTTAAACCTTTTATTTTGGCCCTGGTTGACAAGGCAAGACAAGAAGGAGATAAGATGGACAATAAGATGGTGATTGGATCATCAGATGTCGATGCAGATGTTGATTGACAGTGTGGAGTTAGACATGAGGCAGACAGCACATGAAGGCATGGCTAAAGTATGATGTTATTGCCTCTCATATTAGGCATGGTAAACACATGGTAGTAGTGTATATAAGTAAAGTAGATTTTGTCTTGTACCCCAGTCTTCGAATTCCATCATCTTTACAATATCTTTTCATAGTGCTTCTTGCTAGCCTTCACTGGCCAACTGGCATCCTTTGATTTGGTGTTGTTTGTGACACTGAGACTGTAAGTACAGTTTTATACATAACTGTCAGGGGAACCTCCCTTTCGGCCCCCCGAAGATGTCTCCGATTCTGGTCCGATTCCAGTTCCGACTCCAGTCCGACCCTCCATCTCGCCTGCACAATTACCGATCCGTCAACGCCCTCCCAACGGTCGCCCTGGGACCTTGCCTGCGACGCCGCCCAAGCCTTCTGTGCCCGACAGCGGCAGCTACAGACAAGCAGTATATAGTCAGCTACCTAGCAGGCGGACCCTTAGAGTTTCTTCTCTTTGGATCCTCCCCTGCTAGGTCAGCTCCATTTGTATTCGCTTACCAATGTTCACACTTTGGATCCTCCCCTGCTAGGACCTTGATCTCAGGCCTCCGGGTTTGCCCTTACAATACTGTAGCATTTTATTCAATTCGGCGGTCACGCGTCACACTGGCCTGAAAATGCCGAATTTTTTTCGGTGGTCACACTCGACAGCCCAGATGCTGAATTCCCTCAGCTGATTTACTATTTTTGGGTGGCGCGGCCCTGCGGGCCGCGCCGTAATCTGCCCAAAATTTTCGGCGGTCACACTTGGAGCCGCCGGACGCCGAAAATTTCATTTCGGCGCCGATGTCACACCAATTTCGAGCGCCGAATTGAATAAAATGCTACAGTAACATTGTAAATGATCATGTGATGTGACAGTCGTGACCAATCACCAGTCAGTGACTGGTCTGTGCACATAGCACTGTACTTGAGTAGTTGGCCATGGGGCTGTTTCCCTGGCTTTGTGAGGGGAAGAGGGTCCAAGTGCCAAGTTGATACCAGGGGAACAGTCCCAGGGCCAACTACTTAAGTACAGGGCTATCTGCACATGGACCAGTCATGTGATCAGTCACAGCTGGCACATCACATGATCCCCTTACAGGCTTTAGTGCACCTAGACCCTCTTCCCCTGGCAGGCTGGTGCTAAGGACTTAAGACAAAAACTAGTCCAGATTCTCAGACCAAAGGCTTTGGTTTATCTTGATATCTGAAGCATATTAGACTAAATATATAAGCTAAACATTCACATTTATGTAAACATACATAATCACACTTAATTTGAAATTTAGAAGATGAATTCTAATTGCCAAACCCTGGGTTTAAGAAACCTATTTTTTTTACCTTTTAAACATTTTATTCTGGCCCTGGTTAATAAGCTAAGACAAGGAGAACATGAGATAGACAATAAGATCATGATTGGATCATCAGATGTCAATGCTAATGATGATTGACAGCATGGAGTTGGACATATAAGGCAAACAGCATATTTGCAATCTGCCACAAAAAAGTCCAGCTTTAGGCTGCTTTTTTTTTTCACCAAAACCCCAATGTGACTGCAGTTTGCCTGGAAATAAGACATAATTTAGATATTTAATAATCCATTAGTCTAAATTAGTTTCTGTATATTAAGATTGAAGGCCATTAAAGAGTAATATGTGGGGATTATTTCATGCTATACCAGCTTTCTAGAATTGTGTCCTACAGTTGGGGACAGTCAAAGGCAGCAAATGCCATTTCTGGCCCAGATACTGTATAGAATGCTTTGAAAATGTGAAATTCAGAATCAGCGACCCCAAAAACCCCTATATAGCATGCTTATGTAATATTCTAACGATAAATTGGGTTTGGCCAAATTTTTGGGAGATTCGATTTATATTATGACTATCTTGGGAGAGTTCAAAAAGTTTAAGATGATGTTGCTACTTGATCTAAGGCAGCTGCAGCTGTTTGTGAGACCCCCCGATGCTGCTTTTGCTTCCACACAGCTCATTCTCACTGGTCGCAATGTCAACGGCGGCCAGCAGATGACAGTCTGATTGACACCCTGTCCGACAGTCTGTACGGCAGACCCAATGGCGGTTCGAACGGGAGCCAGGGGTTTCTTTGTGAGGCTCTTTGTGTGAAATTTTCATTTGGAGTCAATGATATAATAGTGCTGACTTGATTCATCCACCATCTAAGCACGACTGGCACCACACGGTGCATTTGCAGCCACCCTACTAGTGACACGGATCGGTCATGCGAGTGTGTTTCCCACGCTTTCTACCTTGCTTCCCAACCACCACCTCGGATAATGGGCGCACATAGAAGGCGGGAATGTAGGGAGGGATGTTGAGGAGGGTGTAGGAGAGGGCTGGGGAGGGACGGTGAGTGGTGAGAACTACCGAGCTTCAGCCAGCTCACGAAATTTCAGTCAGCTCACTAAATATTGCCCCCACTCTCCTGTGGCTACTTCCTCGCTGTTCCCTTTCATCTTTCGAGGACCATCCGGGACGCCCCTCCCCTTCTCACATCTCGACGACCGAGCCCGTTGAGCGCGCCGCCGTTGCCGCTCGTCGGCTGACACAATTTCTGGAGTGGGGCCAAAATTGCCTTTGCCACCCCAGGGCGCGTATTCCGCTGAATCCAGCCAAACTGCGGCGCTCTACTTGACCATCCGGACGCTTCCATTACCGAGAGAACGGCGGTCATCGGCCCACGCATGCCTGCCCACCGCCATAGGCCATTTCCGACTGCCCCCGCTTCCCCTGCGCCCAATCCTTTGCCGTTCGGCGTCAAACTGCAGCGTTTGGCCTGGCCAAGTCCTTTCTCCAAACGCTGAAACTTTCAGCACGAACGGCGGAGCAGTTATTCCCCCGCCGCTCGCCCGCACCTCCCCCTCTTGCCTTCCTTCCTCATTCTCTCCCCCCTCCCCCTTTATCACCACCCTTATCGTCGAGCTGCGCAATCAGCGCGCAAATGCGCGCACACGGAACGATCTCCACGTCCCTCGCTTCCGCGGGAGATCTGACCAGCTCGATCAGGGCCAGCGCAGAGCCCAGTTTGGTCCAATCTTGGCTGCTTTGGCCCCGGTACGCGTCGGCGATGACTCATGAGACGTACACCATCCGTTTCGGCGCGTCTCGGCGCGCTATGTCGGCCGTCATCGGTGGTCGCCGTTGACCGCGTTGTCCGCGAAATCGGTAAGGACTGGACCTAATTCTTGATCCTTCCGGCTGAAACCTTGGGCGCAGATAGCGCCAATGTGGCGCTTCGAGCTCCTCCCACTCTCGAGGCAAACGGGCCATTGGTTATCCCTATGCTCGCCGACTTCCATTGCGCGAAACTTGAGGCCGACGGGCCAAGTTCTTGCCTGTTCCGCCCGACACTCTCACACCCGTCGGCGCCGTATTTGATGATGGTGACGCTCGAGTCTCGATGTGGAGTGATGCTGCTGGTTTTCTAGTTTTGCTCATGCCGCCTCCGATCTGGACGTGCCAGCGTTGTGTACTGTGTGCTGCCGTCTTTTGCGGCATCCTCGGTGACATGTATACCCTCCGGTGAGGAACGAGGCAAGCGACGCCAAGGCTGTTCGCAATCATGTGGTGAATCGCGATCCAACCGTGAACTTGAAGTTGGCAGTGGGCCTAATCTTGTTGCTCCCGGGTTGCATATGTTCGGCGTGACAGTATTCCTCACGTGGCTTTGTAAATACTTGTCGTAGCGGCATTTGAGTTGTATCTATAATAATATAAGGATTCTGTACATGTTCACATACTTTTGGCATATATGAAATCTTTGTTGTTGATATTTTTGAACAAAGAGTTTAAACAAAGAAACCCTGGCTGCCATTGGAACCCCCGTTGGGTCCGCCATGTGGTCTGCCACATGGGCTGTCAATCAGACTCCCATCTCCAAACCGCCATTGCCATTGCGCCCGGTGTCTGCAGCTGCTCCTATCAGGCCGGCTCAATATGCATCTATCCAGTGAAGAGATCATAAGCACTTTATGGCTGATCCCCTCGATGAATTTCAAATGTCTCTTCGGATTCGGATTCTCCTCGTCAATCCGATTCGAATGGTATATATTACATAATCATTCTATAGGTTTTGGGGGTTGGCCAATGTAATTGATGATCATCATCAATGATCAGATCATTGTGAGCCAACCACTCGTTGGATTAATCTGAAAATATTACAGGGGATTCCTATGGACTATAGCTAGCTTTCCACAAATTCTTATGAAAATCCATAACCCCCACCTTACTTTGCTGCCTTTGAGTGTCCCCAACTGTATACCTTCACAAATACTTATCTGCTTGCAGTACTGTACTATTTCATTCAATTCTGCGGGCCTGTGACCTGTGACACATGTGGCAGAAATGTGCAATTCAGCCAAGGGCTGAATTTGGTGTGACCTCCTGCTATATATGGAAGTTCTGCGCGCCATAGGCGCGGAACCTTTTGGAAATTACCATTTTGGGACGGTTTGGGACCAAAGAAATTCACTGTGACCTGTGACAGGCAGAAAATTTTCGGCCAAAAAAGTCAATGTGACCATGACAGGACTAATTGATTGAAATAGTACAGTATTCTGTGTACTTGAACTAGTACTGTGCTCCACTGCTACTCTCATATTTGCATTGTGCATCAGATATAACTTTGATGTTTTAAGTTCCTTTTAGATTACAATAATACTACTATTTTTTTTGTACTATATACTATTAAATTATTAGGAGAGGATATGCATATACAGACTATGTAGAATAACTGATACATCTATATACATTACCACTGAGTTGCAAAGTTCTCTGACCTGGCTGCAAGTATCCAGGTAAATATTTGTTTACACAACAGATACATATAGTAATTGTAAATCTAGTATAAATTAATGCATATTCAACTTGGCATGTCTACTTATAGGAAAGTAGCTACAGTATATACAGAAGGTTTCTTAACCTAATTCATCTCTCTCTAGTCATAATTACTGTAATGTAAAGATAAGAAGTCTAAGTATGTAAGTTTATCATATTTTCAAGTTTCTGTAAACAGGCATATAAAATCTCTAATAAGTTTGCCAAATATTATCATTAGGGTCCAATGAATCCTTTCTATCCAAACTTGCATTTTTATGAAGACAATACAGCTCTTGCAATGTAATTTTTCGATATAATTCTGATATAACCAGGTAAGGACATAATGGAAAATTTCCAAACTTGGGATATTTAGAGATATCATGAAAATATATCTACACACCAATTTTCATTTGAATCTACCATCATCTTATTGCACAGTAGCAGAATAAAGATTTTATATCATAGTGAAGTTGCAGATCACGAGTGGCTTTAGGTCAAAATTTGGGTCCGAATTTTTGCCAAGGTTCCTGACTCTGATGGCTTACGAGCAGCTAAATTTTACGAACTAATCATTACGTTCCATGACACAACTAGCTGACAAAGTACAGAGAGGCGGTGTATGTTGCTCCGAGGTTTCTACGAAGGTTTTTGGTCAGTGCCTTCGTGTTAGTTTGTCTTTGTTTGTCTGATCTACATTACATCATCATGTACAGTAGTCACCGGGCAGGGACCTTGCCAAAGCAAGGTTATGATGTAATCAAACCAAGTTCATCTACTGTAAGACTCATCTTGCGCTCTCTCAGCCTATGCAACAGCAACAAGTGCAAGACAACGCAGCATGACGTCTCTCTAGCATAGAAACCCTCGGCGGTAGGATCCGATGTATGTCCCTCCTCTGTCGAGTAAGGCAATCCTGCGCGCGTTGAAGTCGCCGAGGAAGTTTGAAGAGAGTTTGTTCAAGTTATCACTAAGTTCCTCATCCGAGTCCGACTGGAAGGCAACGGACATGACCTCTGTAGACCTTTCACAGGTTCCGATTCTCTTTGCGGTCAGTCTGCAAGATTATGTTGCCCTCAAGCTCTCCCAGACTCGGAATATTGGGATTGAACGAGACACCTGGAACCATGCTCATACTTTTTTATCTTTGTTTTTCGATGCTGACTAGTATTAGAAACCGATGGTCCATCAACTCTTGGAATAGAAGGATGGCTTTCCTCTGTGCTCAGGCTTGCTCTGTGCTCATAAAATTTATCTCTGTCCATCGTCTTTATTCTTCTGTCAATCACCTTGCCGGCCACCTCTATGCTATGCGAGCCCTACGAAACTGAAAGGAGGACGTTACGAGTGCCGCCTCCAGCTCTCCAAAGAAAACACTCCTCGTTTCCTGAAAGTCAGACTCTTTCTGTTATATCGCCTTCAAGTTTGCTAATCATTCCATTCTGCCGCATCTCAACACAAGAAATTTCAGCAAATGCAAGCCATGATATTAATAGAGCTGGAGCCAAAATCCATGGCATCGGACCCGGATGGTTCGGAAATTGGAAACCCAGGACCAGAAGAAAGATTTGTTGAGCGGTGAAACATCGTTGGCTTTCCTGGGCTTTGCTCTCCGCCTTACAGTCGGAGTTATGTAGCTGCCCACGATGACTGTAGTACCTATGCAAATTGAAATATAACTTTAAATGTTGGTCGACCAAGCAGATATCTGTGTGACAACGCAACCGTGACATGTTTCTTCAGCCATGTCTGTCGCAGTCATGAGCTCACCCGAGCTCGCAGTCCACAAAAGAAAACGGTATTTGGTCGCAGTGTCTCCCTAGTCAATGACTTACCGTGTGTAGGTCCAACTCACCTGACGACGACCTCCCGCCAGCTAGTCGTAGACGCTCCAAATCACCTCGTTTACTCCCGAAAGTCATTGATATTGACCCTGTACGACGGGCGGAGCGGGAAAGACAGCTGGCGGTAAAGATGGCCGCAGCAGAGCTGGACAAGGGCAAGGAAAAGCCGAATGAGAGGGAGAAGGAGCTGGATGCCCAAGCCGAGTTTGCTAAATTGGTTGGGTCGCGGTCCGGTGGTGTCTATATGCCTCCCGCTCGTCTTCGCGCCCTCCAGGAGGCCGCCGCGTCAGACAAGTCCAGCAAGGAATATCAGCGCTTGTCATGGGACGCTTTGCGCAAGAGCATAACTGGTATTGTCAATCGAGTCAACATCGTCAACATCAAGGCGGTGGTACCAGAACTCTTCGCTGAAAACCTCATTCGTGGGCGCGGCTTGTTTGCTCGGAGCATTATGAAGGCCCAGGCAGCAAGTTTGCCCTTCACCCCCGTTTTCGCGGCTCTCGTGGCTATCATCAACACCAAACTTCCCCAGGTTGGCGAGCTGGTATTGTCGAGGTTAATCAGCCAGTTCAGGAAAGCCTTCAAGCGGAATGACAAGGTTATTTGACTTGATTTATCACTAACAGACGCACACTGACGATGCACAGATCGTATGCCACTCCACGACCACCTTCATTGCCCACCTTGTCAACCAAGCCGTCGCCCATGAACTTGTTGCGCTCCAAATCATCATGCTTCTCATCGAACGCCCCACCGACGACTCCATTGAGATTGCCGTTGGCTTCATGCGTGAAGTCGGCGCATTTCTCGCCGAAAACTCTCCAGTAGCCAATACAATCGTCTTTGAACGCTTCCGTGCCGTCCTTAACGAGAGCGCCATCAGTCAACGAGTGCAGTACATGATCGAGGTGCTGATGCAAGTTCGAAAGGATAAGTACAAGGACAACCCGATTCTGGGAGAGGGCCTTGATTTGGTCGAAGAAGATGAACAAATTACGCACGAGATCGAGCTGGAAGCGGAGCTGCAGGTACAAGAGGGATTGAGTATGGATTATTTTGGCCCTTTATTGAATCAACTGACGCACTAATTGCAGATATATTCAAGTTTGATCCCAATTACCTCGAAAACGAAGAAAAGTACAAGCAGATCAAAAGCGAAATTCTAGGCGACTCTGACGAGGAGTCTGGCTCAGAGGAAGAGTCGAGTGATGACGACGAAGATGGGGGAGGTATGTGCTCAGCCTAAAGTGCCAGCAATCAACTTATTGTCTGCTAGTCGTGGAAAATAAAGAGGGAATCGAGGATCGGACGGAAACAAACCTCGTCAACCTCCGTCGGACGATTTACTTGTCCATTATGAACGCGCTTAATTACGAAGAGGCGGTCCACAAGTTGCTCAAGGTCCAACTACAGGAGGGCCAAGAAATCGAGCTTGTCAACATGATCATCGAGTGTTGCTCGCAGGAACGGTCCTACTCGACTTTCTTTGGCCTTATTGGGGAACGCTTCAGCAAACTCAATCGCGTCTGGACAGAATGTTTTGAGCAGGCGTTCAACACCTACTATACGACCATTCATCGCTACGAGACCAACCGCCTGCGTAACATCGCGCGTCTCTTCGGCCATCTTTTGTCCAGCGATGCGATTTCGTGGCTTGTCTTGGAATGCGTCAAGATCAACGAAGACGACACGACAAGCAGCAGTCGTATTTTCGTGAAAATCATGATGACAGAGCTGATGGAGAGTATGGGGCTCAAAACTGTTGTTGAGCGCTTCAAGGACCCTGAAATCAAACACGCCTGCGCTGGGATGTTCCCTCTCGACGTCCCGAAAAACACTCGATTCGCCATCAATTATTTCACCAGCATCAATCTGGGTGCGCTGACCGAGGAGATGCGCGAGTACCTGAAGAATGCGCCGAAGATGATTATGGAGCAGCGGAGGGCCATGTTGGAGGCAGAGTCATCTTCGTCTTCAGATTCGGATTCAAGTTCCGACTCGGACTCAGATAGCGATTCTGATTCGAGTTCGAGTTCTTCGGCGGCGAGTAGGAGAAATGCACGTGACCGAGACCCTCCTCCAAGAAGAGGTCGGGACGACACCCCTCCCCGGAGCAGAGCGCCGCCTCCAGCTGGCCGAAATATGGATGCATCGCCACCACGTGATAGTTACGGGCGGAGGGAGAGACCTTCTCCTCCGCGTCACCATGCTCGTTCCCGCTCCTACGAAAAATCGCCTCCTCGCCATCGGGATTCGCGCTCTCCGCCCCCGCCAAGGAGGCGATACGACTCGCGGTCGCCACCACCGAGAGAACGTGACCGTGATCGCGGCTACGGCCATGGCTATCGCAGGAGTGTCTCTCCTCCAAGACGGCGCGAGCGGTCACCTGACTCCCCACCAAGACGCAGACAGGACTCACGCGAGAGGGGTTACCCGAGGGACGGCTACGAGCGGCGTCGATGATGATAATTGCCCTGCAGATGGCCTGTATCATTTGTGTTCCTGTTGGGAAAAAAGCCATATCATAGTCCTGCAACAAGAACGAGATTTGAGAAAATTTGTAGCTGATTCAACCAGAAGATTTGTCGCTCGGCGCTTTCTCTGGATTAACCTCGATTATGTGGTACTTGTACTTAGATTGGAATAGTAGTCCTAGTTTAGGGCACGTTCGTGCTCAAAATTCAAGGTAAAAGGACAGAGTGCTCTTCGATGACCACATGGATTGATGGTCATGAACCCCTCATTCCGTCGCATAGCTAATCACGCTGAACACGGAAGGGAGTTCACAGGGAGCTCGGGGGTCCGGTCGGCCAGTATCAGATATACTGCAAGCGCGCAATAGACGGCTGTAACCCAGATGGGCATACTCGACCGTTTAGCAAAACGACGGGACGCACCAATGACAGCACAGCCCCAGAGACGAGGCAATTTAACTTCATTTTGCCACTCGATGGACGAGAAAAGAAGACCTGGCGACGGCGCATTAGGGACGAGGAAATGATGATCCAAGAGAACAACCGACCGCCGACATACAAAATAAAGGCGGAGGCGTGGTCGAGAATCATGGTCAGAGACTTGTTCAGGTAGGCACCGAGGAGGACGGTCATCCTGAAAAAAGTGAAACCCAGTTCAGAGGGCAACGAGGGCAACCAACGGGAACAAGAAACAAAGTGTGCTCTGCGAAAGGTTAGACATCGAGTGAGATTTGCGTATGTGGCCTACCGCGCCGCGCTCACTCTCCGCAAGCCAGTTTGCAGTCAAATGTGGAGCATTTACCAACGTAACTTGAGGACCAAAGGTCAGAAAAAAGAGGAGTAGTTGGAGAATGGCGCACCAAAGAGAGTCATAGTCAATGGCAAGATAAGGCCGCCGATAACCTCTGTACGGAGGCCCAACAGTCGAAGATGCAATGAAGCCGCCAACAGATGATACGAAACATAATTCATGGCCTACGTGTTGTTAGCTGGTGATTACTTGATAGCACACGTACGAAAAGTGTCGCTGCGAGCACAAAAACTGTGGTTGAATGCCCAAAATAGACAGGAAAGACATCTTGTGTAACGTGCAGGTCGACATGATAGCCCGGACTAGATTTCTCAGTTGTGTCGGTGCTTGTTGACAGGCGGAAGCAGATATAAAGGCCCAACACTGAGTAGTGATCAATCGTCGTCTGGTTCGTCTAATAGCAGTCTACTCACCCACACAAAATAAAGCAAGCTGAGGACGAGTCATCAGCACAAGCGCTCGGGGGAAAGGCATCAGCTTACAGCTCTGCTCGTCCCCAGAGGGTCTTTCCTCCAAATAAGGCTAGGATCCATCGACATGTGGGATGGTCGGACCGATATGCGAGAGAGAACAAGAATGAGCGCAGAAAGCAGGCCCCTCAGGAGGTACACAGCTGCCCAGCATCAGAGCCACGGTCGAGTTCGTTCGAACACGCTCGTACCAAAGGGCCGCTGCTCGGTGATTGATCTCCCTGCAACCACAAGGTATCCGCCGTAAGTCAGAACTACAAAGAATCAGCCATGAATACCAGCTCCGGATGGCGCGGCGCACGATTGTTGCACATGATCCACCCCACAACTGAGAAGCCAAGTTCAGAGAGCAAGACAAATAAAAGGGAAACAACTGGGACCGAGTGACTGAATCAGCTGTGGTTCGCACTAACGCAGAGCATGGACCTGAGACCTTTCAGAGGACAGAATCGGGTGCATGGATCGGAGTACATACCGCGATGAGCTGTTGGAGTCTAAACGAGCTTAGCAGGGATAGTTAGAGGAGGTGAGAGACGCCACATGTTTCCCTGCCCTCAGTTTAGTTCGTCGGCAGACGACAATCGGGGCACTCACTGCGGAGAAGATGGCAACAAGCGTCGGTTGAGAGCGGGCGATGTCCCGAAGGCAAAGGTCTACAAGCTGCAGACAAATCAGGCCTGAATTATACCTGAAACCTCGGTATCCTACCTTCAGGAGCGGCACCAACGACAGAATGCATGCTAGTCAGGACATGACGAAACAGCTATAATCGGGAAGTAGCAGGAATACCGCAGGAAAAGACGTTAGGATATTCGCCGGAAAACAAGTACTGTCAAAGAAGTCTGCGTCTGGCGGCGACAAGTGCATTTTTTGACGAACGGCCAATGGTACAAATGCGATAGGAGCCCCTGAAGGTAAGTTCAGCGCGGCCTATCAGCAAGGAAAACACAAGTCGACATCCAAAGGAAGTATTCAGAACGAGAGAGATGCGGAGAAGCTTTACTCTCGTGCTGAACAAGTGATTTCGATTGAGTGGCCATGGAATACCTCAGGCTGTCACAAACTTGCGTGGCATAGGAGTTAATTCCACAGAGCTGTATGTCCGTGCCCAACAAAAGATTGGATCGACTGTAGGCAGGGAAAACCACCACAATGAGCTCCTGTAACGAAAGTGGGACTCGTATCGTCTGTGTAGCTTTTTGCTCCGAGGCTGCTCGTATGAGGGTTCGTTTGTACAAAAAATAATTTGCGCGCGCGCACATGATTTCCGCGCGCACACAGAAATTTGGTCAAAATTTAGTAAGTTACACAAGTACATAACTGCCAGCTAGCTACGGCGAGGCACGAGCCATAGCTAGCGATAGATAAGGTAGCGGAGTGACGCGTGTAGAGTGGGCGAAGTGTTGTTTATTATACCACCTTTATATCATCGTGACTTTCGCGTCACGCTCAGGCTTCGCGCTCTCGACGCGCCAAATTCGACGCGTCTCGCTTCTCCACTCAGCCCGCGTTTCGAGCACACCAGCCATGGTCCAATATTACGCGAACGGCGACCAGCTTCCTAACGCGGGTGTCGTGGCACCATACCAACCGGATTTCGACTTCAGCCAATTCCTAGTGCTGCCCATACCGCGCGAGAACTACAACCTCCCGCTCGAGGCCCGCAACATCCAAAATATCAACATCGAGGCACACAACACGGCATCCTGCAATGCGACCCAGGAGGCTGAGGATGACAAGCAAGGGACACGAGATGTTGGCCCACCGCTGAAGTCCCTCTTCGCCTACACGACCGACGAAATACGCGAATATGCTGAAGACGAAGCCCTCTACAAGACGCTCAAAGAACAGGGCCCTGTTCCACTGATTTTCGCGCGGCTCGTTGCGAATTTCAAACGACACAACTGTCGAACGCAAAAGCTGCAACACCTTCTCTCGAAGGATCTTTTGTCGGCAAGGCAGACGGGCTCCGGACGAAACATGGGACCATTATTCCAGAGTCTATCATTGTGGCTGCGTCCCTTGGCTCCCCACCTCCACTCTTCGCATTGACTCAGCGCTGCCTCGACGAGTTTAGCAAAGCACCCTCTTCCGTCCCAGTTCGTAACGTGCACCACCCAAAACTTGGCAACCGCCTCACCCAAGCTTTTGACTCGGAGACCTTCATGAAGAATATCGGACCGCATACCACCTTCACAACCGTCGAGGCTTTTCCTCTTGGTTTCGGCGACTTATTGGAATGCTTCGAAACATTGAAGATCATCGCAACCTACTTGGCTGGAAAGAACCCCCCACCCACATCCATTGCAACACACGTCCGCGACCACATCGACTGGATCCAAACTGAACTGCCCAACTACGGCGCCCACATCGACAAGTGGCTGCCCTGGTCTTGGTCCAGATTGATGGAGATGTTTTCAGCTAACTACAAACACCAGGAGATAGAATACAACGTATTCCGCGAGCTCTACAAAAACATGATCGCAAACGAGTATTCCCCAGCAGTGCCGCAAACCAAACACCACGCCCCATACCGTGTTTATCCTGAAGAAAGAAGATAACTTTCGACTTTGCATCGCAAGCGGCAGAACCGGTGAGTGTAAAACCATTCCTCCTTCTCCATTCTCCCTTTCCCCTCTCCCTTCTCCCTTTTCTTCTTGACGGGTATCCGGACACAAATGTCGGCTTAGCGCTTAGCGCACGAAGACATCAGCCTAGCTTTTGAGCACGAAGTCGCCGACCTAGCCTTCGAGCACGAAATAATATGTCATTTCGCGTTACACGCACGAAGACAAAAGATTCACACAGAGCTACGGCACGAAGCACCATAGCGTTTATCGCACGAAAACTCACACCTACAACGCTATTAAAACCACGAAGCCAAAATTTCTTACCAGCCCATTACAGCTCGCAAATCTGCCTCCCGGTTCCCGCGCCTACTTGACATTGAGGTTCATTGTACCATTCCTGTTCACCCGCACAAACCTTACCTTACTACATCAACTATGTTAGTGAATGTTCCTCCACATGTTTCTTCATCTACGGGCGGCAGCTGGAGACGGCCATACCGGTGGCGTTATGCCGAGCCTGGGCAGCCAGCCAGTCAGCATTCGCCCAGCCATAACCTCCCAGCAGAGCGTGACAGATGTAGTATAAGCAACTCATTACATCTCTCTCTTTTTTCTTTCTTCCGTTCCGCATTGCTCCGGTAGGGTGACCGACCAGCGTCGTCGGCCGCGCTACTCGCTTTGGAGCAATGCTCCTCTCGGGTGGTCCGACTCCTGCTATGCGATCACCCAGAGTTGCGTCGAGTGGGGCCACCGCTCCTGATCCGGACTTCGGCCCGGGTCCTCCAGTGCATCCCTCGGGCTTCGTCAGCCAAGCACCCGGAGCGGCTCTCGGCCTCACCCAGACACAGTCAATCCGGCGGGTCTCCCGTTCTCACTCAAAGACTCGGACCTGCTTTTCCCGCGGCCACTCTACACGCACAAGCTACCTTATTGCCAGCTAGCTACGGCGAGGCACGAGCCATAGTGTGACAGGTATATGCATAGTACACGGCCAAATGCCATACATCAGTCGATAGATCACTCTGTGACAGTAGCATAGTAACTTGATCTTGTCTTTCATCTCTGTTTGCATCCTCTTCCTCTCCTCGTACCCCTACGACTGCCTGAGTACGCCTTAACTGCTTCCTCCGTCGTAGGCTACGATTACTCTTTGCCTGAGGGATGTCTGGACTCCAGCATCCAGTCTGAGCATACTGCATCTGCTCACCTCCTGCCCCCGTAGGTTAAAACGGGGTTCCTACCGGTTCCATTTCACCACCCAGAGGCCCTCCGGACCCGCGATGCACCGAGGCATCACAATGGAGCCCACCGCGAGGGGCTTCAAGGGTGGTAAAGTGGATATGCTCTATGCATTTTCCGAGAGCTGGTTTGGGGGGCAGCGGAATTCCAGTTGCTTCCCGAACCATCTCTTAGGACCACTACAACCCTCCTCTTCCCTCAGACCAAGCTGAAGAGCGAGGAGTCGGCGCCAGTGAGCCCGACACGATGATGATGTGGCACCATCAATTGCTGCTTGTAGCTGGATTCCAGCTGCAGCAACAAGTCAGCTTGGTCTGGACTCCCCCTCTTTCTCTTACCCTTCTCCAGAGGGGACAGACTGAGGCAATAGGTCCAAGGGGCAGTACTGTCCACTTGGACCATTCCCCCAGCTCTGTTTCTAATTCTTAACTCTTCATTGCTACTTCACTTCTATCGACACATGTGGCTACGCATACCTCACCATCACCTCCTCCATTTCCCCCAGTCAATTCCGAGTCAACGGCAATGAACGGCAATGCCTCCACCTCCACCAGTGACGTGACATGGCCACTTTCCCTTTCGACTACGACAATCCATTCCTCTCAAGCTCAACACGCAGGCACTGCAGCGCTCCCCCATTCCCATTCCGTTTACCCTCTTCCCTTCGATATTGTCTCTCGCCTCATCTGGGAAGCCCTTTAAACAGGAAGGACTTGACAGGCTTGTCAAAGGTGGGGGCAGGAGATAGCCTTTGTACTAGTGTGCAAGCAAGTTGTTGGCAGTGGAGTTCTAGACTGCTGGATTCCCGCAGTGCTACAGCTTCACTGCCTGAACATGCAAGTACTGTCTCCGCCTTCCCAGCCAGCACCCCATTTCTTTTCCCTCTGCTCGCCGTCCTTCATTCCGGAGCTTTCGTCAATTCTATCGATGGTTGTGTGAAGCTCCAGCGCAGTTCCAAAACGCCTACAACGTGTCCTATGACCCCAGGCTAACGACGGAGGCCTCAAATTGCTACTGTCGCTCCCCGCATTCGTCAGCCTGCTATTCGCACAGCGAAAAACAACGGGCAAGGCCGTTTGCTGTGGCCGACACGACGGCGGAGGCAACGCAGTCGATCAAACGGACGAAGCTGAAGCTAGTGCTTTGGCGAGCGGAATGCTAGAGCCTGGCTGGATTCCAGTCGCGCCGACCACAACCCTCGTGTCGTTGGCTATCGATTCCCATCTTCTGCTTCCAACAACTCTACGCCAATCGCTAGCGATGAGCTTTCAAGAAGGACAGGCGACGAGTTGCGCCTTCTTTGGATTCGTAGTTGTGCTGGCAAATTCGCGAATAAGTTGTCGGCGGCGGAGTTTGGCTGGTGTTCGTTTGGATATCGCTTCCTCGAGGACGACTCTCGAAAGCAGTGTTCCGGGTCTTGTCGGTCTACTACGCAATCCTGCTCGCCGGCAAACGGCCAGCAATGAAGACACTCAATTGCAGTCCTCGACACTCTTTGCCCGGGA